TAAGCATTCCAAATAGTAATCATCAATTTACAAGAGATTTGAAAGTTGTGCGGTTTTAGTTTTTTTCATTGGTTATGAAAATATTTTATGTGAGATAATTTTGTAATTACCTTTAAAAAGTTCAAAGATTAGTTAAGCATTTTTGTACAAGATATTGAGATCATTTTTAGTTAAGAGTAAACCTTGAAATTTTGAACATAAATTTTTTTAAAAAAATGAAACAAAAAATGAAATAAAAAAATCTTTAAATTCGCATCAACTACAAAAGACATTTAATCTGCATGTTGCAAAAATAAAAAAATATTTGTATTTGCATCATTTACATTCGTACTTACATATGCATCATAAGAAAGACATTAGCATTCACATCTGCATCACAAAATAAGGACATTTGCATTTGCACCATAAGAAAGAAGTTTGCATTTTGAAAAAGAAATTTGCATTTTGCATCGCTTGCATCTGCATCACAAGAAAAAAATATTTGCATTTGCATCACTTGCATCTGCATCACAAGAAAAAAGACATTTACATTTGTATATCTTGCATTTGCATCATAAAAAAGATATTTACATTTACATAACTTGCATTTGCATCACAAGAAAAAGACATTCATATTTGTATCATTCGCATTCGTACTTACATATGCATTATGAAAAAGACATTTGTATTTGCGTTGCTTGCATCTGTATCACAAAAAAATATATATTTGTATTTGCATCACTTGCATTTGTATCATGAAAAAGATATTCGTATTTGCATCACTAGCACCTGCATCACAAGAAAAAAAAACATTTACATTTACATAACTTGCATTTGCATCAAGAAAAAAATTTTGCATTTGCATCTCTTGCATCTGCATCATAAGAAAAACATTTGCATTTGTATCACTTGCATTTGCACTGGTATTTGCATCTTAACCATGGCATTTTCATTTACACCATAAAAAAGAAGTTTGCATTTGCATCATGACATTTATATCCTAAAAAAAATATTTGTAGAGGCATTTACATGAAAGGAACATTGCCATGCACATTGTGAAAAAGTCAAATGTAGCATCTGCATTCTTATATTTACATTGACATTTGCATTCACATTGACATTTTCATTAGCATCATTTAACAAGAATAGATATTTGTATCATGATTGCATTTATCAACTTTGTAAATATTAGAAAAAAAAGAAAAAAAATCTATCATGAAAAGATGAGAAAAAGAAAAATAGTTTAATAAGAGACCAAAATATCAAAAAAAAATTTTAAATATTGAAATAAAAATTTTTTTTAGCAAAAAACGAAGGTATTGTTGAAAAAATGAGAAGAAGAGATTTAATATAAGATAAGACTTAAGTCCAATCAAGCTTGTCGTAACAGTTTTGGAGCTGTCCGACAAATTTGAAAAATAAAAGAACGAAAAATAGAGTTGCCACTAATCTTTTTTGACTAGGTGCGATTAGTCACATATTAAAACTTATCATTTTAATAAGATTTTAAAATTAATTAAAATTTATTAAAAATATAATTTTATGGTCTACGAAATAGTCTAGGTTCAGGAGTCAGTTATGTGTGAAGAAGGATTAATACTCTCACAGCGCCCATTTAAAAATGGTACCACTTAATTACATGTTATCATATAATTTTAATAAAAATAGTCTTATTTTCGATGTTTAAAAAAATAATTTTCTTGTTTTTTTTATTTATTGAAAATTAGTTTATTTTATTTATAAAAAAAAGGTCTATTATTTGAATTTTATTCGAGAAAAATAAATTAAAACTTTTTTATTGAAATAATTCTTAAAATGTTTCAATTCATTAGTAATATTGAAAGAACTCTTTCTCACCTAAAGATTTTTTAGGCATCATTTCTCGAAATTCCTTAAAATCTCATCTTTGGAGGTTTAAATTTATTTTTCGTAAAAAATTTTATGACGTGCATGCAATGCAAATGATAATACGTTAATGCACACATTTTATTTTTTATTTAAAAATTTTATTAATTTTTATTATTATTAATTTTTATTTTTATTTAAAAAATAAAAAAGAAAAATTTTTATTTTATTGAAGATTTTCTATAAATATTCCAATACACTGATAATATTTTTAAAAAAAATCTTTTCACCTAGAGATCTTTTAAAGCATCTTTACTTGGAATACTTTTAAAATCTCATCATCGGATAAAATTTTTTTTTCTTATTTTTTATTACCTATTCTTAACTTATTAATTAATTTTTTATTTTTTTAATTTTTAACAAGAAAAAAAAAATTTTATTGTATTGAAAACTTTTTTATAAATACTCCAATACACTGTAGTATTTAAAAAAAAATTTTCACATAGAGATTTTATAGGTATTACTACTCGGAGTACCTACGAATCCCATCGTCAGATAAAAATTTTCTTTTCTTATACTTTTTATTAATTTCTATTATTATTATATAAGGTCAATTTTAAAATTAACGAAATTATAAAAATTTAACAATATATTTCATTATTTATTTTTATTAATTATTATTATAAAACTACACAAATTTAGTCTAGCAAATTTAAACATTTTAGCATGCATAAGTATTAATAATAAAATTTAAAATAACAAAATAATATTTTTAAAAAATTTTAAAAAAAATTCACCTGAACCGGACCGATCAACATCGGTTCGGTCTAGTCTAGCAATTCTGGGCAGAAGTGATTTAAGCCGATTCGATTAAACTGGTCAAGCCTAGGGCTAAGGGGCATCAGGTTGACAGGTCAATTTGCACGGGTCTCAGGTCGGATCTAGGTCCACGCGTGGATTCTTTCATTCAACAAAACGACGTCGTTTCAGCCATTTCTTTAAACGACGTCGTTTTGAATCTCAGCCTTCTATAAAGCTAAAAAAAAAAAAAAATCTCTTATTTTTCCTTTTCTACCTCTTCTCTAACTCCTCCCTCTCTCAGACCCTTTTCTCTAAACACAATCGATCGGTCGTCGTGTCGGCAGCTTTCGTTGATCATCGATCGATCATCGAAAAATCTCAAATTCTCCCAAAACGTTTCCTTCAACTCCCTCTCACCGGATCTGACCTTTTTTTCATGGAAAACAGCCCCGATCTACGTAGATTAGGGTTTAAAGTTTCGATCTCCCTTTTTTTTTAACTAAAACTAACTATATTTTTTTTTTGTAGGTTTTGCTTGGCGTTGGGTTCCTCGTCTACGACGAAGACTATGTTTTTCTTGTTTTTTTTTTTTTTGTTTTTCTGGTTTGTTTTAGTTTCTTGGTGGATGAAAAATTCAGTGGGTGGTCTCTGGCTTTCAGGTAGGTAGGGAGAAAGATGTTTGAGCTTGGGGCTTTCTAGTAAAGGTGGAATGAATAGGTTCATAGGTGTTTGAAAGCAGGGTGTTTGGTGGGAGAATCTCCTTGGGTGTGTCTGAGTTTAGCATTTAAAGGGACTAGGTGTTTAGGAAACAGAGAGTGATGATGGAGCTACAGTGCTCTAGTGAGGGGACTAGATAATAAGTGGCATGATGGCTAGGACAAAGGACGTGGGTGGCAGTGGTGCCGTGCACAACACCCATTGGCACCAGCCCCTACCTCTTTGTTTCTTTTTCCGTTTAGATTTTGTTGTTTGTCTCTTTTTTTTTTGTTTTCAAAATTTTCATTTTTTTGTATTTGTTTAATTTTTATTATTATATTTAATAATAGTATTATTATCTTGTTAATATATATTATTTAATAAAAATAGCAAATTTGATCAAGGCCGAACAAATTTGATGTTTACAAAGCTGGCACCCAAACATATTTCTAAGATCTCTAGATGTAATCTTTAAGACCTTCGAGCAAAATAATTTTAAATTTTCAAAGTTTTAACGCCTCTATTGTACGAAGAGCATTCAAAGATTTTAAAATCTTTAAGACTTTCGGACAAAAACTCTAAGACCTTCGAGCACAATTTTTAAGATTTTCGGGTAAAATATTTTAAATTTTTAAAGTTTTCATGCATCTAATGTATAAGAAGCATTCAAATATTTTGAAATCTTTAAAACCTTCAAGCACAATTTTTAAGACTTTCAGGTAAAAGATTTTAAATTTTTAAAGTTTTAACGTCTCTAATGTATGAAAAGCATTCACAGATTTTAAAATTCTTAAAACCTTCAAGCACAATCTTTAAGACTTTAGAGTAAAACATTTTAAAGTTTCAATGTTTCAAAGCCTCAAAACCTCTAATGTATGAAGAACATTCAAAAATTTTAAAATCTTTAAGATTTTCGAACATAATCTTTAAAACCTCTGAACAAAATATTTTAAATTTTTAAAATTTCAATGCCTCTAATGTACGAGGAACATTCAAAAATTTTAAAATCTTTAAAACTCTGGGCACAATCCTTAAGACCTTCGAAAAAAGTATTTTAAATTTTTAAAATTTTAACGACTCTAATATATAAGGAGCATGCAAAAATTTTAAGACTTGTAAGATATCTAAACATAATCTTTTATTTTATTTTCAAAAATCATTGAGTTTTTAAAGTTGTTTTCAGATTGTTTAAGTTTATTAGTTTAAAAAAAACACAAAAAAAAGGAAAATACAAAACCAAAAATTAAAAAAAAAAAAACCAAAAACAAAAACAAAAATTCAAGGAAAAAAAAAAAAAAATTGAAAAATTTTAAATCGTTATTCGAAACAAAATTGTTATCTATAACTTTACCGTATTTTTTATTTTTAATAATATACAAAAAAAAAATAATTATAGACGCTTAATTTTGTTCAAGTTAATTTAAATTTATTTAAACCAATTTAAACGAATTTTTTCTTTTCGAGCTAAATTTGTATTTTTTAACTAATTTAAACATTAAATCAAATTTATTCGAACTTATTTCAAATTAGTTGTTTTTAATTTTATTTTATTATTATTATTTATAATTAATTTAATCAACTAGAAAATTGTAAAAAAAATATGATTATAAATAATTAACTAATTAATCAAATTACAAATAAATATAAATAAAAATTAATTACAAAATTAAAAAGGAAGCAGAAAAATAGAATTAAACAAAGGGTTGTGGCCGGCAATGTCAGAGACCTCTTCTGCTCCATTCAGACCTGCGCGCCAAGCCAATGCCATACACTCCCCATTCTCTGCCCACTCCACGCCACAAGGGGCTAAGTCCCCAGCTAGTTTTTCCTGCAAGGCAACAAAAATTTTCAAAGATAAAAAAACCAAGAATAGTAAGAGAGGGGGGGCACCATCATAAAAAACATCCAGGCACCGAGCCCCATTCAGCACCCTCATTGTTATAGCCTTGGAAAGCTCCTAAAGCTCTAAACACTCGCATTACCAACCTTTCCCAAAAAGCTTTAGCCTTCACAAACTAGCCCAGCCTCAGCTGCACCAAAGGCCTTGACACAACCAGTACCGTGCCTACAAGCATTCCTGCTAGACCCTTACACCCAGCTCCCTAGAGGCCCCATCAATACACCCAGACACCCCTCGGCCCGCCACCTCCAAACCCCCATGTGCACGTACCCAGCCAAACCTGCATCCTAGAACCACCTAGCGTAAGCCCCACGTCTTGGCGCCCGCACCCTTCACCCACAAGCGATCGCTCCAGCCTCTCTCATAGACCAGCCTCTGCACTCCTTACCCAGACGTTACACCCTCGCCACCACGCACCAAACCTCACCATCCCCAAACCACCATTTCAACCAAATCGAAACCTTCAACAGCACTCCACAGCCATAGACAAAAAAAAAAAAAAAGAAAGAGAGAAAGAAACTAAAGGCCTAAGCTACTAAAAGACCCTTCAGCCCCTGAAAGGCCAAAATCGCGAAAAAACAAAAAGCAACAGATCCAAAAAAAAAAAAAAATCACAGTCCTCGACCTAGTGCTGTGCAACTCCCTGAAAAAGAAAAAAGGTTAGATTCGGTGGTACCAAAAAAAAGGAAAAAGAAAAAATGTAAAAAGAAAGAGAAAAGGATGGCAGCGTATAAGGCAGCTCTCGACTACCTGGGACACCATGGGATGATCTGAATCGTTGAAGATGGAGATCGAAGACGGAGTAGAAACATACTAAAAAATCAGAAAGATCAAACAGTGGTGGAGGCTAAAAGGCAATTCGAAGCTTTGGATTTCAAGTTCAGATCTAAAAATATAGAGGTAGATTTGTGAAAAACGAGCGTTGGATCCGTGATGAGGAATCAAAAAGGAGTTTGGAACCGAAATTTTGAAGTCGAAAGAGTTTGTTTGGTAATGGCCACTGCTGACTCCTTCGTCAGGAATTGGAATTTGTAAGGGGCTCTGGCTTTTTAAGAAGATGGGGATGGTTATTTTTAAGAAAGGAAGAAAAAAAGAAGGCTGTTAAAAAACTTGACATTTATAGTACCCCCCCCCCCCCAAAAAAAAAAGAGAAGTCAAACAGGTCAAGTTGACCCCATTTTTTGTTACCAACCACCTGTCTGACTCGACCCGTGACTGGCTCCTCCAGACCCGAACAGTTAGCTCCATTAGGCCCGGTCTATGGCCTAATTGTGATAGAGTCCAATAGCTTTTCTTGGGCCATTGAATTGCTTTGTTTGGATTTTAGTCCAAAATCAAGTCTAGTACGATTTCTTCACTTAGTTTTATTTACATTTGTTACATTTATTTAATATTTGTTTTCTTTTAATTTAAGTCAAAAATAAAATAATAATAATAATAATAATTTTAAAGAAAGCAAGAAATATATATGAAATATATAAGCATATAAAAAATTTTATTTTAAAAGAATTATAAAAATTAGCTTACCTAAAAAGTCCACCTATGATACTTTTAAAAAAATTCATAAATTCTTAAAATTGAAACCTAAATCTATCTAAAACCCTAAACTAGTTTTAATTTTATAAACATTTGCATAAAAACCTTTTATCAAGTAATCTATTTTCGAATATTACCTAGATGTTGTGATGTTTACAAAATTTTATTTTTTTTTAAATTTTCATATATTTTCACGATTCAAAAAAAAAATAAATTTGTTTTGTTAAAACCATGATTACAATAATATAATAATAAAAATAATAATATGAGATTTTAAAAAATCGTACCTAAATATTAGAGAGTTCAGATAATCTCTTTATGTTTAAAAACTCGATTATTAAATTCATATTTGATCATCATTTATATATGTTTCATTTTTTAAAATTAATATCTTCTTTTATAATATATATATATATATGTTTACTTTAGTTATGGATATTTAATATTAATTATATTCGATTTTTGCTACATAAAAGTTTTTTCTCATAATTTTTAGTTTTGAATAAATAAAATTAAAATAATATTTTATAAAATATAATTGTTGGTACTCTATCTAGATGTTTGAGAGTTATCAATGATTATCATTTACAAAGAGTGTTATTTTATTATTTTAAAAAGAATATTGTGATAAATCTTAAATGAAAAGAGTTATTTCAAATTATACCTAAATATTGAAGAATTTGTAAGTAATTCTTTAATTTAAAGATTTCTTTGATATTCTTAAATAAAAAACTTTATTAAAATTACTTTTTTTAAAAAAAAAGGAAAATTATTATTAAATTTTAAATCGAAATCATTTTATCTAACACAAAAAATAATACATGATTAATTGATATCAATTTATGAGCATTATAAAAGTACTAATCTTTCATTACAGGTAATCGACTCGAATTTGATCATATTTTATCAAATTAAAATTATTTTTTAATAAAATTTTAAATTTGTTTTATTATTTTATCAAAAAAATAAAATTTTTGAATGATTAATCATAATTTAAAATAATTGATAGCAATTTTTTATTTTAATATAATTTTTAAATATTTTACATTTAACCATTGAATTTTTAGATCGATACGTTACACGTGCTTTTATTGAAAAATTTAAAAACTTTTTTATCATTTGATAAATTTTCAATAAAAGACCTAAAAGGTAAAATATATATATATATATATATATATATATTTAACCGCCAGTAGTCTAATCAGCATTTATCTGTCTACTGCCAAATTGAATGTTAGGAGTAAATGTGATGAGCTTTCTTTCATTGTATTTAGGGTGATTACAAATGTTGATGATTCATACAAAGTTGGACATCACATAAACCTGCAAAAATGACAGCTTGCATTACTATTATTATTAATTTTATACAGGACAACATTAATCTGTCTTTGCTATAAATGCAGGAGGTGCTGAACCAGACAGTGAAGGTGGCAGATACCAACGTTTGGCAACATGAAGGGTTCATATCTCCCTCTCCTACTAGTGTTTTTCCTCATCCTATCACCTGTTAATGGTAATGGTAATGATTAATGAATATTCTTTAATTTCCCTTTCATTTACTCTTTTCCTGAGCTCATTGTTGTGTATTATTTTTTTTCTTGGATTGGAAATTAAAACAGGTGAATCGGCTGAACCATGCAAGAACTCTCCAATCCATCTTACCAATTGCTCGCATGAAGCATGCGTGCAAAGCTGCGTTGAGAAGTACGGTGAAAGTATCAATGGGGGATGCATCGATGACGATACTTGCTGTTGCAATATGGGATAGAAGATGGAAACGAAATACTTAATTTAAGGCAGTTTTTTTTTTTTTTTACCCTAAATATGTCCATCGGCTCCGATAAAAAAATGTCCAAAAAATAATTATGGAAAGCTGGAATCAGCTATTTTTCATCAATTAACTTTCGAGTTATTATATGTTTATTTTCCAATCCTTGATAGCTTCTGCCTTACCTCTATTTTCCTTTTGCAATATATTAATGTTTATTGCTTTTGAACAGTAGATTAAATAGCTTGCACATTTTTTTTCCTTGGTGAAATTTGCAACTTCAACTTATCATTTTATTAGGTATTGTTATTTGTTTTAGTTGAAAGAGACAGTATTAAATCCTAATGATACACTTTAGCAAAAGCTTCTCATTGGTATCAAAATTACTATTTTGCTATGTTAATTTTTTTAAGTTGGTTTTTGATGTAATGACACTGATTTTTTTTTTTTAATTTCACAGGTGAATTTAAAAATTGATATATATTATTTTTAATTATTTTAAAAAATATATGTTATTTTTTTAATCTCCTGCCAAAGTCTACAAATTTTATTTAATGTAAAAGAGATAATTTATGTTTAAATCCTAAACCAAATTAAGATAAATAAATTTATTAATAATAAAAGAAAACTATAGAATGATTTTGGAGGATAATAAATATTAAAAGTATAATCAATCGAGTTTAAGTTTATATAATATTAAATTTGAGTTTGAACTCGATTTAAAATTTAAAGCTCAAAACTATTTGATCGAGTTTTATTTTTTTAGTTCGAATTTGATTTAAAATAAAAATTAAGTTATTTGAGCTTACTCAATTGAGCTTGATTAACATATAAAAATAAAATTCAATTTTTATATTCGATAAAAATTTAATTATTTATGCTCGAATTCAAATTTAAAATATTTTATTAATTAAAATATTTTTAAATATAAAAACTTAATTATACTCACTAACTAATTGAATTAAATATAAAACTATTTAAATTCGATTCAATTTATAAATTAAATTATTTAAATTCAAATTTAAATCGATTATTTAAATCGAATTTAAATAGCTCGTGATTATTTATACCCTCTGTAAATACCACTACACTAAAATACTCTTTATTGGGTCTTTTTTTTATTTATTTCCCACAATGAAGCATCCAGTCGCTGACTGTAACAATAGTGAGAGGCTGAGCTAATTGATAGGACTAGCGATTTTTTTTGGATGATTTTGCTGCTACTGAAGGCTAATTAGTTTAGTAATTACTAGTAATTGCTAAAGGAATCAACAGCAACAAAAAATGGGCATTCTTTTTACTCGGATGTTCTCCTCTCTGTTTGGTAACACAGAAGCTCGAATTCTCGTCCTTGGCCTCGACAATGCTGGCAAAACTACTATTCTCTGTAACCACATGCACATCGTTTATCTTTCTATTTTTATTTTTATTTGTGGGTGTTATTTATTGGGTAATTTATTTATTATTTTGGTTGTCTTCCATCAGATCGGCTTCAGATGGGTGAGGTAGTCTCTACAATTCCAAGTGCGTCAGCTACTCCTTCAATTCTTCTTGTTTTGGGTTTTCAGAATTGTTTTTTTTTTTTTTAATTATTAAATAAAAGAACTGATGGCTTCTATGCAAATTCTTTCTTTTGCATGTTTGCAGCGATTGGGTTTAATGTAGAAACTGTAGAATACAACAACATCAAGTTCCAAGTATGGGATTTGGGTAAGTTAATCAGCTGATGTGCGAACTAATAAATTGTTCTCCTTTTTAGCAGTTATAGGAATCAGCACACAAGCTTGAGCAAAGCTGCCTTTAAGTACTTACAATTGAACCGTGAACATTCAGTTTGATCCTATAGTTATCTAGTTGGCCTACTCAGCCTATCTTGCATTGGCACAAAGCATTTGGGAATTGGAAACTGTTGTTGACCTGTTGCAGTTCAAATAATATAGATTATATCAGCTGAAATTTTTCACTCTTCATGTTTGTAACTTGATGAATTTACCAAGAAAGTGTCTCTAGTGTTGAGTTTACACATGTAGCTCTGTTTTGCTTATCAGGATGAGCTTCTTATAACCATTTATTTATCACCTTTCATATGTGCCAGTAATTTAGGTAGTTTGCTCTAGTTCTTTGCTTATTTTTCCTGTTCAGTAAAACCAATTTGTTGATTTAATTAAATGTACTCTTCTTTTTTAACAGGCGGCCAGACAAGCATCAGGTAACTATCTTTTAGCTTCATTTTCTGTAGGAAACATCCAAATGCATTTGATATAGATAAGATTTTCAATTGCTGTGTAAAAGTAGCTTTAACTGTCTATGTCCTGTAATTGATGGAGATGTAACCTCCAAGCCACTTTGCTCCCTGTCTATACTTCTTTCTTATATGCTGGTATATTGTGGTTTCTTCTTTCCTGTGCTTTCCTTTAACTGAAACAATGAGGTTAAATGAAAGAAGATTCATCATGTTATGTTCCGTTTCCTCAGGAAGGAGCTGCTGTTTTGGTCAATGGAATCTTTTATTTCCATTTTGCATTCTTTGTGGATCATTTTAGTGTTGTAATGGTGCAATTTGCTGTTTGTGATGCGACTAGCATGCTAATTAACTTCTCCCCCTTTCAATGCTCCTTTTCCACTTATCTTTTGGGGCATCTGCATTTTTTACAGGCCATACTGGAGATGCTATTTCCCAAATACACAAGCAATAATTTATGTTGTTGATTCAAGTGACACTGATAGAATTGGAATAGCCAAAGAAGAATTTCATGCCATTTTGGAGGTATTCTTACAGCTAGACTGGCTAGTCATGTTTCCCTCCAAATCTTAATTAATTCCTTTTAATGCGTAATTTAGAATGCTGATTATACCATTAAACTCTTGGGCAGGAGGATGAACTGAAAGGTGCAATAGCCTTAATTTTTGCAAACAAGCAGGTGAACACTATATCTCCTCTATAGTTCACTATCCAAATCTGGAAATTTTGGCTTTTTGTAAAGTATTACTCTGTGAACAGTACAAGATTCCCAAAACCTTGATTTTTCAAATTTACAATTTTAAACTCATTGTTCTAAATGAATAGGATCTGCCTGGTGCACTTGATGCTGCTGCTGTGACTGAGGCTTTGGAATTGCACAAAATAAAAAATCGTCAATGGGCAATTTTTAAAACTTGTGCAATAAAGGGTGAAGGTCTCTTTGAGGGCTTGGACTGGTAAGAATAGTTTGTTATTAACATACTTGACATTTGGCATGTAACTATATCAATATTTTGGTTTTAACAGGTTGTGTTGCCTTGTACGAGGTTTATCTCCAGTCTTGTCTCTAGTCACAGGAGTTGTTTTGTATCAGACATAGTTTATGTTGGGATGTAGGCTTTCATAGGAACTATTGTAGAGTAGAAGCATTGACTTTAATATAGTTTCATGCTTTTCTTTCCCCTTGTTATGATAGTGTTGTGGGCATTGCTGATTTAGAGTTCTGTAAGCCTTGCCTGAACTTCCTAGAAATAATTGCAAGAACTAGGAAAACTTGCAGGAATTAAAAAACGACATGAACAATAATCTAGATCAAAGATTTCAGAGATGGTCCATCAAATTAGATGTTAAAATGGATGTGTATCATTTCATTTAAAACTAAAAACTTCTCTTTTGATAAGAAATAGCAGTATAATTTTCCTCTGGGCGACATGCACGGCAGCCCTTTTATGTTACTGGTAGTATTAGCTTATTGCTAAAGTCTTATAGAGACAATAGAGGCTCCATTTAAAATCGTAAATTGTTTTGCAGGTTATGTAATGCTCTCAAGTCAGGAGGTGGCTAATTTTTTCAGAGAAAATTTCAGATCAAGGTTTACTAAATGTACCTGATCCTGAGCTAATCAGTGTTACCACCATTGACTGACTAGTAATAGTTGGCATGGGATTTAGCTTCATTTCCTCATGGTATTTTATTACAGGTCGAGGTGTACAATTTGAATTTAATAGAATTTTGATTGATAGATGGTTCTAAATTTGGTTTGGAAAAAAGACTTGTTTACTTGATCAGAACTAGGCCTCTCCTCTGGTCGTGGAAAGCTTGATTACTACACTGATGGGCTATGCTCTGTATCTTAATTGCAGTTGATCAGATTTAAAGTTAATGCACAGGAGGTTGAGTCTTGCCTCTTGTGCATTCATCATCTGCGGCAGAAGCGAGAATAATCACTGAAAAGTGAAAAGAGAAGGTGAGGATTGTAGTAGAGTTAGCCAACGTGAGGGAAGGATTGCCTTTTGAACTAACAAAATATAAAAGTCAAACTCACAAAAAGTTGGAATAGGAAAAAAAAAAAAAATTACGTTTCATGACCTCTGCATGATATGACACCTCTACGGTAAGGTGTAGGTTAGAAAGATGACAAAAACTGCGTTTCATGACATCTGCATGATATAACACCTCTACAATAGGGTGTATAACTCCTCTACAGTAAGTTGTAGGTTAGAAAGATGACTCCCTCTTTCTTTTTCTTCTTTTTTATTATTTTTCTGTATTATAATTTACTTTATGACCAGTTGCTCCATGCTAGAGGGAATTTTTCTCTTCAGTTTTATTAGCAAACCATCATTGTTTATTTATTTATTTATTTATTTTGCTTATGTAAATAATAATGATTAATCAATTGAATTTGATTGGGACAATTAAGGATGGTTGCTGGGCGGTGCTTTTGTTTTTCTCTTTTCTTCTTGGTGATTTTAAACGTGGCTTTTTTCATTTTATTTATTCTAATAATTGTAATCCAAAATTTATTTGGTTAGGAGCGCCGACCGCGTAAGAAACACAAATTCTAGCTCGATAAAATGAAATTAAAAGTGTAAAAGAAGTTGAAAATTTGATGAGCGGCCATTTTAATAAGACAGTGCATATGGGATTATAGATAACGGTTGATGTAGGCTCACTCAGGGCAGTCATTAATGAACACACACAAGCAATAAAATTCCCCAAGAATTGGTGCGTGGGGAGTTGTTTTACAAGTAACTAGAGCTGTCTGTTTATGCAAGTTGGTCGCACAATCAATAGACATTTTTATCATATAGTAGCACATATTTCCTATTATTCATACTTTTTTCTTTCTTATTTATGACTCATAAGCCCCATTTGTTTAAATTTTTTAATAAATTAAGGATGGATTTGGATTGAAACGCGCATCTGATAGAAATTTAATTGTTGTGAAAAGTTATGCTAACCACAGTTTTAAAATCCAAACCAAGTAATAGTGGAGGGTGATTTATGCCTATCTGAGTTGTCGCTTTTGCAAAGAAAAAAGACATTTTGTTATAAATCTTCTTCTTACAGTCACATTTGCAAATTGCCGTAGGCCAACGCCCCATATCCAATCCAAAAGGCTAAGGCCGAGAGTCACAGCTCACAGGCAGATCCCTCCCACAACTTGAATGTCAAGCGGGCCCCCACTCCCACTACTGTTCTTTTCATGCACTCTCTCCCTTATTGTTTACGGCCAAATAAGATCCATTCTCGAGTGGGCTCCACTTCGCTTCAATTGAAATGGACAACTCTCTCCCTTCGGCCCTCCAATTTGAAACCCGTAATAAAATCCCTTAATTTCGGCTAAGCCTCTTCCACGTGTTTCCCTTCCATTGGCCATGTCCTAGATCTTCACTGGCCCACTAGATAGACACGCGTTGTCATCGCCAACTTAGCTAATAAACCCAACTCCCTTCTCTCTTCTTCGCTTGGCTTCTTCACGCACCAAAAATATACAACCAAGGGGAACCCAACTCAACTTACTGACACGGAGAGAGAAAGAAAGAGAAAATACATTTTTCCAAACTGAGTTGTGGAAATGGCGTCCAAGTTGTGTGACTCCTGCAAATCAGCGACGGCCACTCTCTTCTGCCGGGCAGACTCAGCCTTTCTCTGCTCCAACTGTGACTCCAAAATCCATGCGGCCAACAAGCTTGCGTCGCGTCACGCTCGGGTTTGTGTGTGTGAAGTCTGCGAGCAAGCGCCGGCTCACGTCACCTGCAAGGCCGATGCGGCGGCTCTCTGCGTCACCTGCGACCGAGACATCCACTCCGCGAACCCTCTCGCTCGCCGACACGAGCGCGTCCCCGTGACCCCCTTCTACGAATCCGTTAACTCAGTCCCAGCCGTCAAGCCCAATGGAGCCGTCAACTTTCTGGACGAGCGTTACTTCTCCGACTTGGATGGAGACGCTGACGTCAGCAGGGAGGAAGCGGAGGCGGCCTCGTGGCTGCTTCCCAACCCTAACCATAAGGCTGTGGAGAGCCCGGACGTGAACACGGGCCATTACGTGTTCTCGGGCATGGATCCGTATCTGGATCTGGATTATGGGCCTGTGGATCCGAAAATGGAAGCGCAGGAGCAGAACAGTTCTGGAACTGACGGTGTGGTCCCTGTCCAAAGCAAGAGCGCCCAAGCTCCGCTGGTTAACGATCACTGCTTCGACTTGGACTTCACCGTATCCAAACCCTTCGCTTATGCCTACAACCCTCGCTGTTATAGCCACAGTGTAAGAAAAGCACCTTGAAAATATAACTATTACCAAGTATTAAAATTGTTATTTATTTAATTAAAGTTCGAACTTTTGCTTTTGATTTGCAGGTTTCATCGTCATCGTTGGATGTTGGGGTGGTGCCAGATGGTAGTGCGATGACGGACATATCAAACCCGTGCGGTAGAGGGGCGGAGCCAACGCAGCAGACGGTGCAGCTTTCAGCAGCTGACAGAGAAGCGAGGGTGCTGAGGTACAGAGAGAAGAGAAAGAACAGAAAATTCCAGAAGACGATCCGCTACGCCTCCAGAAAAGCTTACGCAGAGATGCGGCCTAGGATTAAAGGCAGGTTCGCGAAGCGCACTGACATCCAAGTTGAAGCCGATCATAGTAACATGTACGGATTCGGAGTCGTCCCTTCGTTTTAGAGTTAACCTCTCCATTCCCCACCTCATCATCCCTTGTGGTGTAGTTATATTTTTATGTTAAATTTTGGGGTTTTAATTCTCAAATGCTTTTGCTTTTGTCCTGAGGTTTTTTGGGGGGAAGGATTTGCGTTTTTAATTACTGTGTTTTTATCGCAGCTTTTGAAATTGCTTTTGCTGTATATAAGTAGGTGATGAAGAAGAAGGTGTTGTAATCCAACTAACAATGGAATCTGGACCATTGATTTTGTACAAGTTTTTATGTAGTAGTAGTCGTAGTAATCAGTGTTTCTCTTTCTTTTCCTCTTGCCTTCTATTGGTTTAAACAAAAATTACTCTAACATAGACTGTATGGTAATGATGATTATCTGGTGTTTAAAAGTGTAGGGTCTTTTCTTTATTTGGTCCCGGGGGTATCAAAATCTGACATTCTATTGGGCATTGGATTTGAATTGAGTAATTAACTTAAAACTAGGAGAGTTTAGTCAAAGGAACTGCTGCTTCATCTGTCTCTAATTTTTTTTTTTTTTTTAAATCTGAAATTCTTCAGTTGGTTAGGTAAGGCTTAGAAAATATCATAAATATGGGAACTGCTGACTTGTTTTACTCATGCATGTCTTTTTTCTTTTTCCTGATAAAATTAACGGGTACTTTTAGTTTCAGAGGTTTAATTATCTACCTAGTTTAAGTTCAGCAGAGCCCATTTATTTGTTTGCCTGCTGCCACACCTTCGCCTTTATTTTTGGGAACGAGGGGAGGGTGTTTCATTTGTCTTAAAACTGTATTTTGGGAAGAGGAGAAGAGAAATGTAGGTTGTTTTGCACTTCCCATTATTGTTCTCTTAAAAACAATCAATTTATCATATTATGTGGGAAATGAAAGAAAAACTCTCTTCCTTTGCCTTGAGTGTTAATGAAGTTTTGGGTGAGGACGATGTAATTGGGATAAATAATGCATTAGGTAAAATTGGTTTTGATTGTTTTGAAGATTATATTAAGATGTATGAAATGTTTTATGCATAAGAAGATACAAAGAGTAGAGGTTGGGGGAAGGGGAGGGGTGAAGACTGAAGAGATGAGGTGGTGGAGATGATGTATGTGACTTCCACCAACCTAAATGACATTCATCATGGTTGGTTTGATGTTGTTTTCGTAGTAATGGTCAATACGAGGGGAGCATATCAGTTTAATTGGACTTTTATTTGTGATTGGTTGGCTTTGGCTTGGCTGTTTTTTATCGACAAAAGCATTTAATTTCTTTCTTTTAAACTATTCAAGCCTTGGGGAGCAAGGCAGAGATTCCTTGAATAACATTTTTAATACTATTCTTTATTTCCAACTAGTTGTAATAATTAATAATATCCTTTCATTATTAAAACAAAGGCACCCCTTCTCAGATCTCATTGCCTAGAACTAGAAGCGCTATCACTTTTCTTATTCTCTTTTTTGATGAATGAGATGAAATTAATTCTTCTCTCTGCTAGTTGGTTTTTGGTTTCCGTTGAAAAACGGTGCTGTTAAAAAGAGCGCGATGAAGAAGCTATCAAGGTTCGCTTGTCGTACGTAATGGCAAAAAAATTGCCTTATCGACCTTTCTTGATGCTCTGAGCCGTCATCTTTGCTTGTTGTGTCTTTCTGTTTATGATGCAGTTTTTCTTGCTTCTTTTTTTATTTCACTTTGATTTTGAAAAGACGGATGATGATGATGAAAACATCAAGGTTCGCTCGTCGTACAAAATGGCTTATTTGCCTTGTTGACACTTCTTAATGATCTGAGTCCTCTTTTATTTCTCTGCATGCTTGTGAAATGTGCAAGTGGTTGGTTTTTTTCTGTGAATTAAACAAAACTTCTCAATTTTCTGTTTGTGGTTTAGTGACTTGGGTTCATGATTCAGATCCATTTGCTTCGATGATCAAGGAAAGCAAAGTTGTCAGTCAGATCTTTTTTGCTGAAGCATGATCATCAATCAAGTCATGCAATTACCATGCCCATTCTAACGCAAAACATTGAATTCTTTGGTACATCATTCAAGTTGTTCATTTGCAATCATTTTTGGGTGAAACAGAGTTCAAACTGATATGTTTGAACCGTTTGGTTGAGGTTGTCTTTTCATCTGTATCAGGTTAATTAGCTGACACTGTTTTGTTTCCGACAGGGCTTAAAAGAAATCAGGAAATCAATGATCAAGCGAGACATCTTTGTGTGTTGCTTCCCAACAGTAATTTACATTGGCTGGTTCCTACAAAATATGGTTTCAATAGTGACTTACATGTTTTAACTTGATCCCATGCTCGGTTTTACACCATAATTATAGCCGGTTAAGGACAATGAATTCTGTTAAAAAATGTGTATGATGTTGAATTCTATGTAATGATCTCCGGTTGCCAGGGCTAACCTGAGTCAATTGTTCTGCCTCCCGCTTTACTCTATAAATTCAAAACCAAATCGTAGCTACTTCAGGACAGTAGAGTTTGAAACCCAGCAAATCCTATACTAGCATTGATTGCACGTATGAAACAGCAATACAAACACATTAGGGCCATACATATTATACCCTCCATGCACAAGGGAATTAGCGTATTAAACTTTCACTAGATATTTCTGCTGCCCATGAATGATGCTGTCTGGCTCGTACCGAAGGAGTATTCAAGACTAAACTAGTCAATATGAAGGAAAAATCATTCCATCTACCACAGCCACCCTGGGCAGCATGTGGCCAACCAAACTTCATACATACACCAACAATATTAAATGGATAGATGAGAGAACCTATGGAACAAGCAAATCTTTGAAGGAACATCACAAACAAAAGAACGTGAACTAACTACATTTACAACGTACACAACTGGACTTGGTCTTGAGACTCTTTACAAATTCACACGTGCACATCAGTTCTGACTATATGCAAGACCGGATGTAGAGAAGCTAAACTCAGATACAGTTATATTCTAGAGGCTGAAAAGATGTAGTACACATCAGCAGCCTGACACATTTGTTCATATTTCTATCATTACAAATTACTGTGCTGTTATACTTTTCTATGACTAGCTATTACTCTTGACGTTTATTTCACCTCACTTTTCCGGTAGCTAGAGAACCAAAACCTAAAACCATGCTGGGAAAGGATGCTTAAGCAGAAACACTACGAGAGGAACCGCCTTGATTGGCCAAGAATCGGACGACAACGCAAGTGATATTGTCTGCACTACCTCTCTGGTATGCCTCTTTCATCAACCGCTTTGCTGCCTGCTCAGGATCCTGTATTGGCTTTATCATTGAAACAGCCTCCTAAGGAAGGTAAAGCAGCAGTTAGGAAGGTTGCTAACCATGCTCATTCCTTCAATTAAATAGGTTAGGAGAATACTACACTGCCATCCATGATCAATGCAAAAAGCTGGCAATTTTCCTCAAAATACTACGAAGCTTGACAGACACACTGTTATGTTCTGGGGTGCCAGTAAGATAGAGGCATTAAGTAAAACAATTGTTCCATACCTCATTTGAAACAACATCCCACAGTCCATCACTTGCAAGAATAAGGAACTCAAGAGAGCTGTCAATCTTTTCCTCCTGCAAGCTCCAAAGAGATATCAAAGTTACAAAATGCTTAAAAACCAATAAAAATACTAGTAGTAATGAAAATGTAGTACTCGTATAATCATCTCTCAAGTAGGGTTCCTATTGAGTTTTCAAGACATCAGGCAAAACTCTAACAAGCAAGGCTACTTGCAAAATTTTCATGCTGCGTTTGTGAATTACAGGGTTCTATCTAAATTATGGTGTATAATGACATCTCAGGAACTCAGCATCTTTCAACAAAGTCTTCAACCAGACCTGAATTTCTGGATCAGCAACAACAAACTGCTTCAAGAGCCTGTCACCAAATGCACGAGAAACAGCAAGAACGCCTCCCACTCTCCAAGTTCCTACAGAGACAATTTCACTCATAATAAAAGGAAGAGATTTAACACATCATAGCAAAACTTAAAAGAAAAAAGCGAGGACGGTACAAAGGGGAAAGAGAAATGATTAGATGTAAACACGCACCAGCCCACATGACAAATCCTCCTGCATCCTCAATCCGTTGTCGCTCATCAGTTTGATCTGGCTTATGATCGCGAGACACAGCAATAGCTGTTAAGAGGAGATATCATACATAAGTCATGTATAAATAATCATTTTAGCAATAAAATAATCCTTTAACAAGATTTTCAAAAAGCCTGACAAATTTAAACCTACACCAAAATTGGTGGAGCAGTTACATAGAAATGCATAATGTTAATATGTTCGAAGCCATACAGAAACATATAGAGGCCTCGATGAGCTTTCATTTTACAGGTCAAGCTAATGGCAACTTCATATGTGGTGTCATGAAAGAGATGAATATGAAGGAAAGGAAACAAAAATAAAAACAATCAATCTTACCATTGCCTCCTCTGCAGATAACAGCTCGGGAATCCCCAACATTTGCAACTAGCAATCGGCCACCAACGAGTATAGCCGTAGAAGCGGTTGATCCAGCATCCTTATTCTGATTATTTTCTGATTTTAAAAATTCGGAGTCTGTCTGGTAGAATGCATCAGCTGGGGAGATTGGAAACATTTAAAAGACAAGTTAGGCTGACGAATGAACAACCCACCATAAAAGAACACAACTATATGATACAGTTATAAGTGAATAACCTATAGCAGATTTCGTGTCAGAAATGAACTTTGGATGCCTGATCAAATTACTGAAAAGGTTTTGCTTCACATATTCAGCTGCCCGTGCACCTCCATGACCTGATAGAACCATGCTTGTAAAGATCAGGTTAAACAATTTATAACTAAGCATAACTAGCCAGCAATGAGTTGTTTTTATGTTCCTCACAAAAGAAATGATTTTTAATGATGCATGGTAAAAGAAAATCTACTATGGCAGAATATAATGGCATAAACCGTGTTAGAAGATGTGTTTAGGACTGCTAATGTGTATTCATTGAATGTTTCATGTTGTTCCTGTTTTTCTGGTGTTGGTTATTTTTTTTGTTATTCATGCTGGTGGTCATGGCTTAATCTTAGGATTATGATTTTAGTGGGTAGTTATTAATTAGGCTTTAAATTGTAATGTTTCTGATGTTAAGAAATGCAACAGTGAGTAAAGTTTTCTTTGCTTCAAAAATAACAACATTTGGTATCAGAGCTATCTTCTTAAGGTATCTGTGTGTGAAATTGACGCGTCATGGAAGCTGAAGCCAGTTTCTCCGCAATTGCTCCGGCGGTGTTCGACGAAGACAACTACCAGATTTGGGCAGTACGTATGGAGACATACTTGGAAGCTTTAGATCTTTGAGAAGCAATGGAAGAAGACTATGAAATTCCTGCACTTCCAAACAATCCCACCATGGCACAGATCAAAGCACATAAAGAAAAGAAGACAAAGAAATCAAAGGCAAAGGCTTGCTTGTTTGCTGCAGTCTCATCCATCATCTTCACTCGTATCATGTCTCTGAAGTCAGCAAAAGAGATATGGGATTATCTCAAGAATGAATATGAAGGAGATGAAAGAATTAAAGGGATGCAAGTCCTTAACTTGATTAGGGAATTTGAACTTCAAAGAATGAAGGACTCCGAGATGATTAAAGATTACTCCGATAGGCTTCTGAATATCGCAAACAAAGTAAGGCTTCTTGGATCTGAATTTACTGACTCAAGAATTGTAGAAAAAATTCTTGTTACAGTACCTGAAAGATATGAAGCAACCATCACTGCCTTGGAGAATACAAAGGATCTATCAAAAATTTCCTTAACAGAATTGCTTAACGCTTTGCAAGCACAAGAACAAAGAAGACTAAGATACAACAATTGAAGGAGCTTTGGCAGTCAAGCATCAAAATGTGGCCAAAAGCAAAAGAAAGAAGAAAAAAGATTTTGAAGGAAATGGGGCAAGTACTGCATCAGCCAATGCAAAAGAAAAGAATGAAAATTAGAAGAAATCCTATTCACCTTGCCCACATTGTGGAAAGAAGGGTCATCCTCCATTTAGATGCTGGAGAAGACCTGATGCTAAATGCACTAAATGTAATCAGATGGGGCATGAAGCTGTTATCTGCAAAAACAAAATTCTGCAACATGGTGAAAATGCAAAGATTGCTGATCAAGAGGAGGAAGATCACCTGTTTGTAGCTACATGTTTCTCCGGCATCGAATCAAGTGAGAGTTGGCTTATAGAGAGTGGTTGTACTAACCACATGACACATGACAAGGATCTATTCAGGGAACTAAGCAACGCAAACTCATCGAAAGTTCGAGTTGGTAATGGCAAGTACATAACTGTGAAGGGAAAAGGAACAGTTGCAATTTCAACTTGTTCGGGTACAAAGTTCATTTCTGATGTATTATATGTCCCTGAAATTGATCAAAACTTGTTAAGTGTTGACAACTAATTGAAAAGGGTTATAAAGTTGTGTTCGAAGATAAAAGTTGCTTGATTAAAGATGCAGTTGGCCAAGATATTTTCAAAGTAAAAATGAAAGGGAAAAGCTTTGCTCTAAATCTATTGGAGGAGGAGCAAACTGCTTTCCCAATCAAAGAAAATATCACTGAAGTATGGCACAAGAGGCTCGGGCACTATCATCATCAGGGGCTGCTGCAGATGAAATCCAAGAATATGGTAAATGATTTTCCAAAACTTGATGATCATATTCCAAACTGCAAAGCATGTCAGTTTGGAAAGCAAAGTAGGAAACCATTTCCCAAGGCAACATGGAGAGCATCAAAGAAGTTACAATTAATTCATACTGACATTGCAGGCCCACAAAGAACGCCTTCTCTGAAAGGTAGTCTTTATTATATTGCATTCATTGATGATTTCACCCGTATGTGTTGGATCTTCTTTTTAAAGTACAAGTCAGAGGTGGCTCAAGTCTTCTGGAACTTCAAAGCCAGAGTTGAGAACGAGAGTGGCTGTAGAATTCAAACTCTCAGATCAGACAATGGCAAAGAGTACACCTCTGAAGCATTCACTCATTTTTGTGAAGAGGCAGGCATCCAACATCAATTATCCGCTCCATACACTCCACAACAAAATGGAGTAAGTGAGAGACGGAATAGATTCATATTGGAGATGACACGATGTATGCTACATGAGAAGAACCTGCCAAAGCAATTTTGGGCTGAAGCAGCAAATACTGTTTTTTTGCAAAACAGGCTTCCCACAAGAGCAGTGAAGGATCAAACAACCTTAGAGGCATGGTATGGTTATAAACCATCTTTGAATTTCCTTAAAATATTTGGATGTTTGTGCTTCACTTATGTTCCATAGACCAAGAAAGATAAATTAGATAAAATAGCACTTCCAAGCATCTTTATTGGCTACAGCTCAGTTGCGAAAGCTTATAAAGTTTTCCAGCCACAAACTGAAAAAATTATTATAAGCAGGGATGTGCACTTTATGGAAGATGAAGAGTGGAATTGGGATGATGCAAAAAAGATGGATCCAACCTTAAAAGAGCACAAGTTCAAGTTTCCTAGCATTGGAGACTGGGAGAATGAAATGGTGGATGACAGTCCTATCAGAGGTACAAGACTACTTTCTGATGTTTATCAAAGATGCAATATTGCTGTGTGTGAACCTACAAATTATGAAGAGGCCAAGACGGATCAAAATTGGATTGCTGCAATGAAGGAGGAGCTATTCATGATTGAAAGGAATGAAACATGGGAGTTGGTTGATCGACCCTAAAACAGAAAAGTAATTGGAGTCAAATGGGTGTACAGAACCAAGCTTAATGCTGATGGCTCAATCAACAAGCATAAAGCTAGACTCGTGGTCAAAGGATATGCTTAAATACTCGGTGTGGACTACTCAGATACCTTCGCACCAGTCGCTAGACTCGACACCATCAGGCTCTTACTCGCCGTTGCAGCACAAAAGAATTGGAAAGTGCACCAATTAGATGTCAAGTCAGCATTCTTGAATGGTTTTCTGCAGGAGGAGATTTATGTAGAACAACCAGAAGGCTATGTCAAGGAAGGAGAAGAAGACAAGGTTTAACTTCTTAAAAAGGCACTTTACGGATTGAAGCAAGCTCCAAGAGCTTGGTACAGCAGGATTGATGAACATTTACAGAACTTGGGATTTGTCAAAAGCTTATCTGAATCAACATTATATGTCAAGCACAATGGAGCTGACATTCTTATCATCTCACTATATGTGGATGACTTACTTGTGACAGGAAACAACACAAGTATTGTGGAGAAGTTTAAGCAAGAGATGATGGAGTTTTTTGAAATGACAGATCTTGGATTGATGACCTTTTTTCTTGGAATGGAAATCAAACAGAATGAACATGAAGTCTTCATCTGTCAGAAGAAATATGCCAAGGAGATTCTGAAGAAGTTTAAACTCGAAGAATGTAAAGAAATGAGGACACCAATGAACTCAAAGGAAAAGCTCTGTAAAGAAGATGGAACAGAGAAGATTGATCAGGCATATTTCAGAAGCCTGATTGGTTGCTTAATGTTTCTCACAGCAACTCAGCCTGACATTTTGAATGCTGTAAGCATTTTGTCTCGGTTTATGCATTGTGCAAGTGAATGGCATCTCAAGGCTGCAAAGAGGGTGCTTAGATATGTGAAAGGCACAAGTGATTTTGGCATTAAATACACAAAGAGCAAAGAGTTCAAGCTGGTTGGTTTCTCAGACAGTGATTGGGGAGGTTCCATTGATGATATGAAGAGCACTTCAGGCTATTGTTTCACACTTGGTTCTGGTGTTTTCTCATGGAGCTCGAAAAAACAAGAAATTGTAGCTCAATCCACAGCTGAAGCAGAGTTTATTGCTGCAACAGCTGCTGTTAATCAAGCTTTGTGGCTAAGGAAGATTTTAATCGATCTTAACTTAGAGCAGGAGGAAAGCACGAAGATTCTTGTTGACAATCAAGCTGCCATTGCTATCTCTCAAAATCCTGTGTTTCACAGGAAAACTAAACATTTTAATATTAAATTATTCTTCTTAAGGGAAGTACAGAAAGATGGAGCTGTTGTTCTTGTTTACCGCAAAACAGAAGATCAGGTTGCAGATGTTTTCACCAAGCCACTGCCAGTTAGCAAGTTTGAATTTCTGAGGACAAAACTTGGTGTTTGCAGCTCCTAAAGCAAGGAGGAGTGTTAGAAGATGTGTTTAGGACTGCTAATGTATATTCATTGAATGTTTCATGTTGTTCCTGTTTTTTTGGTGTTGGTTATTTTTTTTGTTATTCATGCTGGTGGTCATGGCTTAATCTTAGGATTATGATTTTAGTGGGTAGTTATTAATTAGGCTTTAAATTTTAATGTTTCTGATGTTAAGAAATGCAACAGTGAGTAAAGTTTTCTTTGCTTCAAAAATAACAACAAACCGCCTAAGCAAAACAGTACTTGAGAAATGGCTTCGGATACTGCTACCACATTGGAGCAGATAACAAATACCATAATCTGCATGAAACCCTTTCAGAGACATTCTCGAAGTTGAGACTACAGTGTATCATTATATAACCTGGTATATGTTCTACTCATATTGTCTGGAAACCTTATCTACATAAGCGGAGGGATTAGAGATATATTAAGGAATAAAATGCTTAATTTTAAATAGAAAAGAGATTATGAAATGAAGAAAGGCTAAAGCAGAGGGAAACATAGATGAATCATAGACACTCTTTAACACACAATTAATAACCACCACAGATGTTACAAAAACTATTTACCGGAATGTGGTTTATATGAAGTACACATAAAACATTAGTTAGTAAGTTTTTTGCATGTTCACGCATGTGTGCAAGAGAGAGACAGAGACTAAGAGAGAAATATACCATCAAAGACTCCAAAAAGACCAACTATCTCTCCATCAACACCATAAATCCTTGTTTCATAAAAATCTTCCATTGAAGACCTTTTCCCTGGAGAGCTTGCATAGCCATAGCTGAACTTTCCATTCTGACTGTTGCAAGGAAACAGGGGACACTTGGATTTTAGACATCCTCCAAATCATTCCATCATTTAAGAAAAGATGTAAACTTAATAACTATAGACTCCTCATTATCATCAACTTTAAGCAAAACATATTTAAGTGACTTTTAATCTAATAGTTTCTGTGCTTGATCATCTCTTCAAAAGATATTTCTTCATGCATTTCTATTACTTCATTCATTTCCAAACAAAGATTTAACAAAATGTAAATTTCCTATCTTTATAACTTGCATGAGTTAAATCATGACAAAACCATGTAGTTTACTTTCAATGCACGAGATGCAACTACTTTATTATAAAGCCAGAAAGGTCCAAAAACTGCCTTTAGGGATTAAGAAAGTCAGATCCTAAGCAAAACAGAAAACAAAATAATAATTCGTTCTAGCCAGAGTAATACCATAACACGACAAAATGTCATTACTCCTTACTCATAAAGAATGGTTTATTCCCCATGATGACAATTGAGTAATCATCACAATCCATGCATCGACATATTAAAGATTGCATTGCAGGTTTATCCCACATTATGCAGTGACAAATCATTAAAAGGTGAAATCGAAAAGAATTTAACACATCAAGCCGCTCCAAATTCGAGAATATGAGTAGTAAACTTTCCAAATTTATGGAAAGTAAGCATGCATTAATTGCATAATTCATTTGTCCGCTTTCCCTCTATTTTCTTTTTGTTTACTTTTGCTCAAACATAATGATCGCCAGCCACACGCCCTATCTAATAGAGATATATGCCAAGGTTTAACTTAATGCGGAGTATTCAAATAAGCCAGGATCTTTGTCTAAAAGGCAATCAAACAACAGAGGTATCACGAATTTCAAATCTCAAAGGAGATATTTCAATTTTCAACGAAAAGCTACAATTATTAACAGATATTTTCAAAATTCATAGAAAATAAATAACAAAAAAATCAGAATAAATGTACAAAAATTGGACAAAACATGCAAACCAAAAGATATGATGTTGAAACATATGGAATTTGAAAAAAGAGTAACTTGCAACAGCAAAAAAAAAAGAAGTATCAAAAAAGAAATTCTAGATCTAAGCAAAGAACGATGAAAAGAGAAGAAAAGGAAGCAACCTAAGGCCTCCGCCGCTGACCGGTCCATCTTGACTTGAAGATTGCAAAACGGAATTCAGATAGCCCATACTATTGCTTAAGCTTTCAAATTCTCCACCTCTTATCCCTTGTATCCAAATCAGGAAACAACAAAAAATAACCGTGTTTGATAACTGATATTTTAGCCGATGATAGTCAGAAAACAAGAAAAGCCTAATTTTGCATGGTGATGAAACCAAACAGTTTTCACGTTTCCGGGACCATCTCGACATTCAGGTAACTATCAATCTTAACCTACAAAGAAATAAAAAATTTCTGCATAGATCTTAGGATCCCAATCTCATGCATACCATGTTAATTAGAGCCTAAATAAACATAATTAAATCATAAAAAAAATTGAGAGCGATCATATCCAATGCAATAAATTAATTGAGAAGTAGTTGGTTAAAGTGAGATCATTGATAAGAATAAGAATTATTAAATGAAAAAGAAGTGAATAAAAATGAAGGTGACGGAGGAGGGGGAGAAGAAGGTTACCTCAATGAAGGAGAAGGGAAGGAAAGGGAAGAGAATGGAAAGGAAATGCCACAATAAGATTGAGGAAGAGAGAAAAAGAAAAGCGAAGTGCTTAAAAGGCGTTTGAAAAGGGGAGAAAAAGACGAGGCTTCATATAGAGAAGAAAAGAGCAGAGAAGAGAAAAGATGGTTTCAGAGAGAGAAAACCATTAGACTGAAAACAGAGGCTGCTGATTCTCTCTGTTTCATGCTTAGCTTCAGTTCGGTTTTGGTTTGTTGAAAGTAGATGAAATTTAAAAATATGAAGCGATAAAAAAATAATATAGGAGTGATACAGTTTAATAATTTAATAAAATATTTTTAAAAAAAATATTTTGTTATAAATTACAAAATGTAATTTTCAGTATAAATATAATCTAAATATATAAATTATTAAGATTTTATATAACACAAATGGATTATTTGCCAAGTTGAAAACAACTCCATATATTAAAGCAAAATAAAATTGGGTTTTGCTATGAGTGTTATTATGGTATTCTTAAAAGATTATTATATTAAGCAATATTTTTAATAATTAAAATTTATACATTATTATATTTTATCAATTAATTTTAACGAAAACACTCTTCAATAAAATTCAATAAAAATTATTAATTCGAGAGAGGCAAGAGGGAAGCTTATAAGAAAATGATCATTAAGTCGTCGAGAAAATGATTACGTGAGAAAATAATAATATTTTATTATTAAATCGTCCCTGGTCTTTATGTTAGGGTCTCTGGTAATTTCGCTCTTAGCAGTTTAGGTTCTTCCATTTTTCATATATTATTTTTTGGTCTTAAAGGTTGAGAAAATGATTTCTTTTGAATTTAAGTAGATATAATAGTTAACTAAGAAAAAGTTGTTATTAATGGTTAACATGAATGATTAATTGGTTGACTTATAGTTGGAGAAGTAGGTTTTTGTTTAGTGTTTGTTGGGATTAAAGAATGAAAGAATTAGTCAATAAAATTATTTATGTTTGATAAAGATAAAAGAAATTTCTGTGGCCCTGCTTCCATGGCACACAGCAAACATTCAACGCAGACATTTCATTTTTTCTTCTAGGAAAATGAAACATGCTACTTGAATGAAAGAATGAAAGAAAGAAAATTAAACACGTAAACATATAGCATTTGTGTTTCATGATTGATTGAGTTGTTGTCCCCGTACAACTACGTAGAAAATATTTTTCTTAGAAAATGTTTGACATGTTCAACGCTTCTGACAGGGTCAGGTGTTCATATATATATATATATATATATATATGAGAGGTAATTTTCAGAGTATGATTGTTAATTTGTTCTTAAAATTTAGAGTCCGGTTAACGGGCTGTATTGAGGGAAAAAAAGAATTATCATTTAATATGATCGTTAGGTTCATTGTTTTTTTGCCTACTTGTGAATTAGTCTAGACATACCAACCCAAAGAGTCTCTGGAAATTTGTTACGCATGAACACGGCCGATGGGACCTCTAGGTAAAAGCAATGGGTTTCTGGCTTCAATGCAATGTGGATGAACATTGCTGTCCACACCACTGGCGCCAACTTTACTGCTTGATGGAGAGAGCGAAACCCATCAACAACTCTCTTTATAATTGCGTGATTCTGCAAAACTAAAACACAGCCATAAGAAATCAAGATTATTTGCCTCCTTCCTATCCCCCTGCTGCTCCTATCGATGATTAAGAACTATTACCTCCAAAAGTCTATAACCAGCATGGATATTTTTTAACAAGAAAAGCTAATTTAAAATTAATAAACAATTCAGCAATTTGCATATTCGAGATGTGTGCTATACAACCAATAGGTGATAATCACCATAACTACAAATGATTGGACACGGGCAAATACCTGCTTACTTGAGCAGGTTTATGATAAATTAGATTGTTTCAATTGATTGAGCTACTTTCAGGGTGTGGGATTAAGCATGAAGACATCACGAACCTCAGATTCTGAAGTTTTCCTTGCTTTAGTTTTCACATCTAGCCTACAATCCAAAATTCCATCCTGTAGAAAAATATCCCCTGCTCTAAGTATATCCTGCAACAGGAAAACCTGCACCGTTAGACCCTTTTCAGATAGAATGAAAAACAGAAGATCTTCTGCGGCAGCAACAACAGCACGCATATCAAACGACTTCCATTCCAAGGGATGTGAACCGGATGCTTCAGAAGCCTGTTCTGACATTGCTGCTACCTGATACAAGATGAACAGCATTCATGGAAGCAAAGAAGCAAAAAAGTGAACAAGAAACAACAATGGTCTCTATATATTACAGGCAGATACAATTTCATTTGTAAATATGGACTAGTCTGGTTATGTAATAACAAAGAGAGACAGCCTACCAAGCGCTCTAGGTGGTTCCACCTAATGGGTCCATTATTACAGATGAGAAGTTCCCTTAAAGTTTTTCTCATATCAGGGTTTGGATCAGCCAAAAGCCTCCCGATCACAAAAGGGTATGCACTCCCAACAACTTTGAAATCAGGATCGAGAGCTTTTGCTGTTCCTTCTAGTGAACCACGAGCTCTCACCACCAGAGCATAGTTCGGGGGAAGAGAGAAGTTAAAATCATACATGACATCATATAACTGGTTCATTATACTCTGAAATCTATAGCAATAGAAAGAAATTAAGGTTGTCATGCTTTTACATTTGAAAATACTAATGACAGAATTTCCAATATGAAGACAAGTGACCATCAAAAACAAAGAGTCCCGAAGGAGATATCATGTCGACTTTTCAGATATAAACAGAGGCTAACACATGTGGATTTTAAAGAGACTGACAACTCAAATAAATCTTATGCTGCAAACCAATTTTTGGAACCTAGAAACATTTATGTTTCATCATAGGATGGTACAAATCGAAACTTGCTTTAGTTCTGCAACACAACAAGGTAATTATGTTTAAGAAGCAGCATACAATCTTTGATACGAATCTCTCTCCATAACTGCCAATTTCCCTCATTAAAATATACAAATAACACAAACCATTTACAGAAAAACTTGTAGAACTACTCTATCTAACATTAGAGATAGCATTTAGAAGTGCTTATTATGCTTATGTTGTACTCGAACAAATTAAAGAGAGGAATAGATGAACTTAAATTAAGTTGCCTCCATAGATATCTGAAAATAAGGTAAAGAAACTACAGGCAAAAACCTGGAAGTCTTGAGACTATCTGAGTCCCATCCCCAAAAGATGACTGCAATGCATCTGCCATGGATTGTATATCAACTCCTTCAGGAATAAATCCCAAAGAAAGATAGTCATTTGCCAATCCCAGAGAGTCACGATTAACAAAGTGCACAAGCTGAAAGAAGCAAAAACTTATTAACACAAACACAACATCAGAGAAATAACCATTAAAGATCAGCACCATTTACAAAAGACAAGATGAAGATGCATACAATAACAAACATGCTAAAAGTGTCATAGATGCAAAAGGAGGATTATGACAAGCACATGGAAGAGTAACCAGGCAAAGACTATTTAGAGCTTAGGTTAATAGTTAACTGTAATCTTTCCAAGAATAACTATTACTTTACACATTCCATTATTCTTTTCCTCTCCTACATAAATTAAATACCCTTGTATGCATGCACATGCAACTAGTGAGCCATCTTCAATTAAAAAAAAAAAAAAGGTTTTCTGCCCAAGACTAGGAGGAAAAAGATGAAATTCCAGTTTTGAAATATTATTAGCTCCATGCAAGCGTATGCACTAATTGCTATTCAATGGTGCATGTAATCTTTATGTATCCAGAACAACCATATTTTGAATACCAACAGAAGCATAGAAGACCTGTCATGACTACACATGACAATATTTAAAGCACTGGCCTGGTATAATTATCAAGAGAACAGCTCTTACCACTTGAATAAGTCCTACGCGGTAATGAAAAGGGATATCCCCCATCATCCCAAAGTCAAAATATGCAAGGGAACCACTGCTAGTGGCAACAAGGTTTCCTGGATGTGCGTCAGCATGGAAAAATCCCACCTCAAGCAACTGTCTCAAAGAGCAGTATACTCCCTAACAACCCATCAAAGGAAGATAAAGTCAGATTATATAAATACAGTTAGACAATAAATCAGGTTCAAAAGTAATGGACAGCGTAAGGTCAAAAGCTAAAGTAAACACTGGAATTACATTACCTGGTCAATCAGTTCCCTTCGGTTTAGACATGCCTTCTTCAGGGCAGTTTTGTGTGTAAGCATAATTCCATCTATCCATTCCATAGTAAGCACAGCTTTCCGTATTAGGTTCCAATATATTTTTGGCACTTTTATCCCCTTTGCAGTTTTGTTTTTGATGGTATTCTCATCTTTAGCATTTTGATTACAAGTTTGGTCAGTACCTGTACTCATAAGGATTTGTATGAATATAGATAACCATTCTTATGGACCAAGTGCACCAAAAAATTAAACTACCAGCATCAAATACAAAAACATGTATGAGGATATCATATAACATTATTTTTTTCCACTATAAGTATAAACTACACTCCCAAGCACAACATTTACCCTTAAAAATTTTCTTTCTGTTAATGTGAAGCTGTCCAGTATCTATGTTAATTCCCCAGTATATTATACTAGGTAAGAAAATTAGAACAATCCTACAAGCAAATGACACATCAAAGAAGATGCCAGTTAATGTACTGCTCTCAAGTTAAACCCTTCAATGTTTGTAATTTTGAAGAAGCCTAACCAATTGAATAAATCCCTTATCAATTGGAAACCTTTAAATTACTTAATATATAGACCTTAAGGTCCATAAGCAATTATAAATACTCACAAGGATAGCCACCATATTGAGAGGGAAAGCATTCAGCATTTCTTGCCTTCAAGATGTAATTGATTTCATCAAACATGTGCCGTACCTGTTCATTTAAGAGAGATCTGAAGATGTGCAGAAGCATGTACAATCTCATCCATGAAAGGATCATGGGTACAAATGCAGGTACTGTACAAGAACAATATGACAATGAATAATATAAGCTGCACTATACGCAAAATAGCAAGAATCACAGAATCCAATATTAAAAAGAATCACATTCATTGGCAAAGATCAAAATCTGTGCATATAATTTACAAATGCATATATCATAACTGATGATAGAAATGTATATAAAGTGAGTGGCATATTTACACACTTGAAGCATGGAAGACTCACCATTCATTCACAGCTACTAACAAATCTTTGCAGGCTTTTGCAAATCGCTTTAATTGGCCCCCAATCATATGGAATAACAAGGCATCAAGGGTCAACAAGAGTGACATACCAGGCCTCTGTACTTTAACAGCTACAACTTCTCCAGAATGAAGGTGAGCTGCAAGACTTAAAGCAATGAAGCAAACATCCAACTGAAGTATTCTCCAAAATATAGACCTTTAACAGATGCTATATTGAAAGTTGGAATGTTTTTGACAAGAGAGCATGATACAAGGGAAAAGAAAAGAACAGATATATTGTTTTCCCTTCCGCAGAAATGATTGTCTGACCTTTATACACCTGCCCTAAAGATGCTGCTGCAATAGGCTCCAGGCTTATATCGGAAAAAATTTCAGAAACTGGGATACCCAGTTCAGTTTCAATAGATTTCATTGCGATACGAGTAGGAAATGGGGGAATTTGATCCTAACATTAACAGAAAACTTCAAATCAGAAAGAAAACTAAAGAGCAAATATCAATGTTAATTAGTCACAAGTCTCAACAATATGACCCATAATTGTATGCCTATGGGTGAAGGAATGTTAGTGTACCTGTAACTTAGCAATACACAGGTGGCAATATATCTGATCTAGTGCTCAGAGCCTGCCCAAGCTGTATGCCCAAACAATAGCAGGCCAAACTTATAAGTTTTACTCAGGAGGATTATGAGAAATAAAATGAAAAAATTTTGTTTGGATACAAAAGCAAACAAGAGAACAAATATAAGCATGCATGTCTATACATATTGTCTATGAGCAACCACTGAATCTTCAAACTCCCAATCAAAAGTTGACATCAACTTTCAGAGTTGAGACCCATAATAGAAATTTTCATGCATTTGGTTCCAACAAAACAAAAGGCAGAACTGAACAGTATAGTTTGCTTAAATTTGTAAAACTCTGGTAAAAAGACACTAGATAAACAAAGCACAATAAGTAACTTAACAAAACAGTTATAAAGAAATAAAGAAAAGATAGAGTCACTTGCCTTAACATAGAAAGGACCCAAGTGAATTAGCGTCAAATTTGAAATAGTGTGCAAATTCTAATGAGCTTGATGTGACCCAAAAACAAAGAAAGCTTAGTCATAAGAAAGATATGATAAAAAACATGAGCCAAATAACATGAAATTGCAACATTTTTTTTGGCCAATAGAAATTGCAACATTTAAAACGTGTAAACTTCTGGTATACCGTTAGCCAGATTGTGCCAAGGGTCCAACATTTTAATATGCTCTCATTTGGGGTGCATATGGACGCTTCTGAGAATGATAGAACCAATTCAAGTTATTCTACAGAACAAGTTTAAGAATAAAATTCTTATAATACCTTGGAAGCACGCTGTTTTATGTCTTGAAAATAGAATTGCCAAATCGTCAACTTCAATAAATGAAATGAAATGAAATGAAATGATTGCTGCTCTATACAAAGCAAAAAATGGGCCAAGACCATAGACAACCGAAACACTTTCTGAGATGTGCATTCCTATAATATGCCCAAGTTCACTTTCCAATGATTCTTTCCTCAACTTTGCATACACTGCAGAAGGCCTCTCCCCGTGCACACTGACGAAACCAGTAGAAAATCTGCACAAACAATGTTTCAGGGTAACTGCAATAAACACAAATATTAGAGAAGCTCCATATTCAACATACCAATTTATTCATTAGAACTTATTTAACCAAATTCCAAGAATAAAAAAAAAGTGGTAAATCTCTATCCGCTTACCCATACCGATGCAACAAGTATGGTGGATGCCAAGTATCCTGTGTTCTCGCAATTCCAATATCCATCTGAGCTTTCACAGAAATAGACTGATGCAGGACTATTCCAACAGGTTTATCATGGTGTACTGCCGCACGAAGTATCAGAAATCAAATGACATAAACAGAAACATTCACATCACACTCAAGGTCGCAAAAACAAATTGCAAGACATTTACCAAATAAAAAAAATGATCCAACCAAATAGTAGGCTAGAGGTAAGTTCCAGAAATGCCCAACTCGGTGCTATAAAAAGAGCTTCACAATCCTAAACTTGATAGATTTTTCCCAGAAACAAAAAATACCATAATAATACTAATATCAAAGGAAATTAAGCCCAATGCAGCACTTGCAAAGAGGAAGAATGGTACCAGGGGAGAGCAAAGTGAGACGGCGATGACGGTTGAGAGCGGCGAAGGCATTCCTCATTGGGCGAATCATACAAACCAGTGCGGAAGATGTCACGCATCCATACGAGCTTAAGTTATGAAGTAACCACTGATCAGGCCTGGCTAGCGACAAAGTTTTTCTTCCGACTGCAGAAATTTTGCCACGTTACGTGTCTACGTGGCGCATTAACCTCCGTACACCAACCGCCTCTCTCAAGTCTAGTAATGCACACTCTGCGCCGTTCTTTTTTACTTCTCTTTTTAAGCGTCAGGTCAGAGATGTAAAGCTTGGGCTCCGACAGTTGACCCAACTCCTATGTATTGGATTTTGATTTCGCTGGATTTGGTTCTGAGCCGATGTAGGAGGCCCACTGACGACACAAAATTACGGGTGTATTTATCCTTTCAGATCAGGAAAAGAAAAAAAAAAAAACTCCATGTTATTAGTTAATAATAAAAAATAATAAAAAAATATTTGTACGATAAATCTGTTGTAGGGCAAATTCCAAAAGCGGTAACCGGGCCCGATGAGTCTTTTATCCACCCGATAGCTGGCCAGCCAGCTAGCTTGTTCTTAATTTTCGGCCAAGTAATTCAGATTTAAAGGGGCGATAAGTGCTAGTTTTATTGCCATTAATCACGCTGCTGCTGCTACATACCATACAGCTGTTTGTTCTTGTTAATTGGAATGTTATAATTCCTACTTCTTCATTCTGACCTCAAATCCCTTTTGACATATAATTACATAAAAGGCTTTCCACTTTTATATTGGTAACTCGGAATCACGGTGTGTCCAAAGTTTAAACCGACAACTAGATGTGAAACACTGAATCCAGACAATTGCATGGAATGGGAATATTTGAGATGGCAGCATATATGAAGCTCTTTTTTGAACTGTTGGTGAAATGTTTTCTTTTGATTTTGGTAAGTAGTGACCCAGAAAGAAAGGTTGTCGAAACAAGTAATGATGGTGAGCTAATTAGTACAGTGCGAAAGCAACTTTTTAACCAAAATGAGAGTCACTGATGTGCAACAGTTCATGTTAACCTGAGTCCCTGACCTTTTCCTTGTTCTGTCATTAATTTATTCTCGAAAACAGATTTTTTTTTTTTTCATTAGGTAGGGATCCAATATATGGAAATGTCCATATTGAAGGCAGCTTATAGTCATGGACCCTGCAAGTGTAATGGGGGCATGCAATATTCCATGCTCATAAAAACACACGAGTCATGACTACCGTGAAAAGGAGCCATTGGCACTAGCATTGATTCTCCATTCCTGGAATTTAATACCAAAGCAACCTCACAGTCCAGAAAGGCATGCAAATTTTTTTCTTCCTCACTTTCACAGATATATAGGACAAGAAGCATCCATCGCCATGTGCCTCCGCACGATCGGTAAGCTCTAAAGCTATAGAGTCAGAATTCCTTCAGTAGGGACCCATCAGTAGTACTCAGATTTGCTAAAAGTTTCCCACGATGCTCCGCACCAGATGTAGAACTGCCCCGATTGTAACGGAACAAAGACGAAAAGCAAATGCTTCATCATTTGGAGCCATAATGGACACAGGCCAGGGTACATAAAACTCTAAAGTTACATATATTCATCCCAATACTATTTCCTTTTTGTTCTTTAATTAATTTCCCTATAACAAATCGAAAAGAAAAATGAAATCAACTGGAAATAATAGGCACTTGATTTTCTTGGCACACATGAAGCGAAAATGGGGTAGATACAAATGCATGACCTTTCTTGAGTGGCTAAACATCGGTTAGGTCTTCCCAATGTTGTTACTTCAGAAAGCAAAACGATAAGACTAGTTCTTGGAGTCCAGATTACTCAAGTTTAATTACATTATTTGACTTCAAGTTCTTAAGAAAAATATATAGATAGAAGAGATATATAATACAATGACAGCTTCAATTAAAAGTTTAGATTCATTGCTTTATAAAGCCTAAATCCTTTTTTTGGACCAAAATATCTTGTAACTCCTCAAACTATGAGGAACAGAGTGTAAATTTCCCTTGTGTTCTTTCCTATTCAGCTCCCTCGCCATTGATCAAGTTAGGAAGATTAATCATTAAAATTTCTTTAGCCAATACTCAACAGTACCCAGAACTTGATAATGGACGTTTATTATACTCCATGCTCAAACGAGTCAACTGATCGACTGACGTGATTCAAGGGGCAAATAAATGACAATGAGTCAACGATTCCAGGATATAATTACCTGAGTATTATAACTCCAAATGGTTTCCAAATAGCATAAAAGTGGCTGAAATTAACATGGAAAAAGATTTAAAAGTGATTAAGTTCATATTCTGCCCGTAATTGTTACGGAACAAAGACGTGAACTATTCTTTACGTAAGAGGAGACTGGTAAAGGGAGTGCTTGCTATTGCACGAAAGACTGGGGTTCTTTGACATCCAAGTCTTCGGCGTGTTCCATGACCGGAAAGCAAGAAAACAAAGAAAAATTTTCAATTTGCATTGCAAAGATTTCATATTGATAACGTCCTGTAAATTATTTGATATCTCATCCTATAAATACTTGCTCAAATTAGAATAATGTTGTACACACAAGTGGAACTGTAATCGTAAGTAATATGACCGGTTCCTCAGCGTTTATGGCCATTGGCCAATTTTTTTTCTGCCAAATCCTTTTTTTCTCTTTTCATGCGAATAAGCCATTTGTTTATGGTGCTACTCTGATGGAGACAACCAAGTCACATGCCCCTCCATCCACCTGCTCAGGTTGCTCTCGCAATTATTAAATTATCGAATTTCTACCTTCTTTGCTCTTTATTTCCTTTTCCATCCTGACAAAATATCTGTGCAAAGAAAAACCCTCTTAATATATAATCCTTTTGCGTTCATTTAGGATTAAGATTTTATTAACATAATAACATTCCATTTTTCAGGTCCTGAACGTGGTTTGCGGATAGCCCATCAATATGGACCCTGCTCACCATTTAGCCAAACGAAATCATCCCCTACTTCCAGCCAGATGCTTCTCCAAGACGAACTCAGGGTTCAGGGTTTCCGTTCCACTATGTACGATAGGCGTACAAGTGTTGGGAGAAGAGCGAGACAACACTTTTGGGGCCACTCCGTAGGTGCTGGCAATTATATTGTCACAGTTGGTTTTGGCACGCCTACAAAAAATTTTAATTTGATTTTAGACACGGGCAGTTACATAACGTGGGTGAAAAACTCGCTGTATGATCCTTCTGCTTCCTCAACTTCCTTGAATGCCCCGTGTTGGCCATCGTGTCATTATAACCAGTCATACGTTGACGAATCCTTCTCCTTTGGACTTTTTGTGGTTGATAAGATTATCATACAGCCCTCTGATGTGATTCCTAACTTTGTTTTTCTTCGTGCCAGTAAAGATAGTGAGGGCTTTGGTGAAGCAGCTGGAATACTAGGCTTAGGACAGGGCAGCAACAGCATCGATGACCGATATGGTAATTATTCTCTTATATCCCAAACTGCAACTACTTTTGAGAAGGTTTTTTGTCATTGTCTTCCCACGAAAGAAAACTCAACAGGATATCTGTATTTTGGTAAGGAAGCTCTTGAAAAGTGCCAGAATTCTGGTAGTTACACACCGCTTCTAAGTAACCCAAGTGACCCGAGCCCTTATTATGTAAATCTTATTGGCATAACAATAGGCCAAAAAAGATTGAAAATTTCTTCTGCTGTATCATCAACATCATCATCATCATCTCCAAGCACCATAATAGATACAGGAACTGTCATTACTCGTCTACCTCGTTCAGTCTATTCAGCGCTGCGCTCGGAATTCGAAAAATGGATGTCGGATTACCCTCGTGCTCGTCGTGATAAAATACTGGATACGTGCTATGACCTGCGGCATTACGATAATGTCGCAATGCCGAACATGGTGCTACATTTTGAAAATTTAGATGTAAATTTGGACCAAACAGCAGTTACTTGGAAAGGAAAAGACAGGTCTCAAGTTTGCTTGGCGTTCGCTGGAAACCGTAATGAGAATGACCTCACAATCATCGGTAATCATCAACAGCAGAAGCTGAACATATTCTACAACGTCCAAGATCGGAGGATAAAAATTGGGCCTGGTAATTGCTAATGATACTCAACATTTCATACAGGAATCTGAGCTTATGAGATGACAATAGGAGCCAACTGCGTGCTCCTTCATTTCTTTTGATGTTGTTGTGTTTGGTAAATGTATAAATGTAGTTCTATCATGTCATGTACTTTTAATGCCACTTAGGATGCAATTGCTTAGTTGGAATCAATCTTTATAAATCTTGAATCAATAAGATTTCAATCTTTGTCCTTTTAATAAATCTTGAATCAAAAAAAATTTCATAGTCTAGGAGACGTGCTCTTTGTTGAGTCAATCTTTGGCTTTTTTTTTGGAGCCAGAATAAGTCTATAGCATTTACACTAGAAACTATCTTTTACTCTGAATCACTCTAACCCGGGCAACAAAAGTGGAAAAAAAGTTGACTTTTACGCAGCATGAACTGGTATTATGAATATATGAATATGATTAAGAATTATGAACTCTAAATGTACTCCATGACCAACAAGAAGATTGCTAGGAGATGGCCGCTTGAGCTGGAGGATGATGGCAAGCAATAAGAGAAAAAATTGTTGTATTTCCTGGCAGTTTGTGAAGGCAAAGATCATTTATCTAGGCCAAGTCCCAGCAAACCGACAACGCCAACAAAAAGACCTTGGTTATTTTGACCACAACCGAAAAGAAAGTTGTTGAACTCATATATTAACATTAAGGTTAGCCTTTCTTCGGCAAAGAATCCAATCGAGAAAGAAGAGTCTCTGTATTGCCATAGAAACATGTCGATGATGCGCAACGTGGTGAGTTACCTGCAGCTAACATTTGCGTAGGTGATAATCTATTTATAACAAGAGTAAACCTTGAAATGTGAAGTAATATATATCTAATTGTCCTTAATAAGAACACCAGGTAAATTTGGAAATTAAACTTATTCACCAATTTGGCTAATTCTGCGAGGGCAATTGCCAAGTTTTGCAAGATTCGTATCTCAAAAAATTTTCATCCAACTTGTAATTTTTTTCTTAATTTGGTCTTACTAATTCTCAGATTTGGAGGCCTAACGTTGCCTTACAAAACCATACTGTATTGCTTACGGTAGATAAGTGGCAGCAAACATTTGGGTTTTTTTTCCTCCTGAATTATGGTACAAGTAGCAGATACTTGAACTAATATGCACTCCACTTATGGAGTACTGATAAGTTTCATGCTATATTTCGATTATTTCAATCTTAAAACATTCTTGCTATGATATGAATTATTATTTGACAGCTAACTCGACGATTTTCTTCTCAATTAATTAGCTTAAAAACTTACAGAGTACTGATATTGGTTCATGCGTTGTCGAAATGCAGACCTCAATGCCGCATAGGCAGTTGGTGGCATCCGCGTGATGACAGTTCCAGAGTCAATGATCGCGCCAGCAGTAGTGACAATAGATGCTGAGATTGGTAGTTTTTTGCCATTAACGCTTATTCCAGTAATGTCAATCCCGTAAAAGGATGATCCTTGTGAGATTGTTCGACAATGTTGTAAATTTTTCGAAGTTTGAGAGGCCGCCGTAGCCAAAACTGAGGAAACCAGTTGAGCAGGCGGATGAGGCCAAGCAGTAGGAGAAGAATTTCTTGTATTTTAAGGCAGTTTGCGTAGGCAAAGATAAGTTATCTAGGCCAAGTCCTAGCAAATCGGCTACGCCCCCAAAAAGACCTTGATTGTTTTGTCCGCAACCAAATAGAAAGTTGTCGAACACAACTGTTGATGTCAAGGTGAGCTTTTCTTTAGCAAAAACTCCAACGTAGAAAGACGAGTCCCCATATTGGATGTCATAGACACAAGCTGATGATGGGCAGCCAGGTGAATTGCCTGAAAGCATATAATAAGAGAGAGTTTGATCTATATTTCATGAATTACTCATAAATTTTAAGTAAAAGGCGGTCGAAGTGGCCAAAGGTTGCCATGCGCCATGAATTTCCTCTATGTGAAGCTGCATTTATGGGCTTGAGCTCTGTCGGAGGGGTAGATAACTAGATATGCATTTATTTCATTCGGCCAAGCTTCTTCACAGGAAAATGGGGGTCATATGGAAGTGAAACATTAAAGAACTGAAACTTCAAAATGCCAAAAGCATGCACTTAAGCAGAGCATTGCCACTTCTAATATAATCACTTTATAGGAATACATGCTTTTGTTTTCTTGTCTTTGTGAAATAAAGATGCCAAATTTGATCAAAATTATAGATACCTAGAGAACAAAAGATCATAATAAGAAGACCTTAACCAGGGAAAATCACTGGCGTAAAAGGTCTTAAGTCCCACTACCAAAATGAATTTCTTCATTGATTTATGCACTTCTTTAACTTCAGCACAGTCACAACCCTGCTAACTCAACATCCTTACAGCACCCAAAACAGGAAAATAACAAACTGCCCTACAAAAACCTCAACTTTAAGGCCAATGAAAGAAATTTATAGTTGATATTCACTAACCAAAAATAATGCAATGATCACCATTAACGACTAAGAAGCAAACTTAGAAGCATTGAGAAACACAAATCATAGATATCTCCAAATCAAACAGCTTTTGACATTTATTAATTCCACCCATTCATTTATTTAACCTTTAAACATTTTGATTAGTCAAACACCACAGACAAGTTGAAAGTAGCAGATAGATTACCCTAATCTCTGAAACTGACAGAAACAAATTACACACAGAAATTAGCAGATAGATTCCCATAAACTAAGACACCAACGTATGAGCTAAAGTGATTTGAAAGAGAGGATGCAAACTCAAGAGACAACGCGGCCAACAACCGGATACTTGGCCTCGAATTTCTTGATCCAATCGTTAAGGACACCCATCTCCTTATCGGAGAGACCATCGAGATTGGGGCAGACATCTTCTTCGTTCTTGCTCATCTTCGCAAGAGCTCTGCTGGCGTCTTTGCCAGCGAACAAGGCGTAGGCCCCACCAGGACCATAGAAGGATTTGCCGGCGGTGACATCGTAGATGCGGCCATTGATTGCAATGTATATCGGCTTTGATGGGTCGTTGCCGTTGAATTGGCTAAGTTGTTGGGGCGTCAAATCCATTGAAGGCTCGGTAGGTGTGGCAAGCCAAAAAACTAAAAACAGAGTTAGGAGAACAACTACTAGTTTTGTCTTGCTTTGATCTTACAAATATACTCGAGCAAGATGTGGAACGTGTCTCGTTTTTGCTCTCTTGGTATTTGACCTCAAAAACTGTTTTGCCAATAGCCATTTTATTATTATCCCCCCTAGAAAACATAATGAAAAGGGGAAAATTATCATCTTAGAGATTTTCTTTTTTTGGTACGATCATTTTAGGGAAATTACTCAATGCCCATCAAGGACCTCATCAAGTCCTAGCTGAATAAATAAAGTGCTGGATTTGCAGAGACTTCAATCCCCGCATCCGTGAAAATCAAAAGTTGCCCAAACGTTATCCCAATAATAAGAAAAACTGTTACCCTGAAAACAATTTTTTTATTTTGGACGATAATACACTAGTAAGTCATATGAAAAACAACAAGCCTATGTCTCTTAATCATGCCATGCCACGCTACAGCTACAAGGTCCATAAAATTTAACATAAAATCTATGGTGGGGTTCTTCTTCGTCTCGAGAAGACATCAGGAAAGACTTCCGAGTTCCACCAGCCCTCATAAGTTACTTCCACTCAGCACCTCCGGAAAGTGGTCAGAGAATCAATGATGAACGAGCACATTATTGCAGAGGAATACCCCCGCCCGAATACTCAACCTCCTGAAAATTTGATCCATTTAAAGCTAGAGTTACTAAAAGGCTCTCCATATAACACCATCGATAAAAGTAGCATTAGGTACTCTCACCATTTGATGACAATGGATGTTAAAACAGTATGAACAGTTTTGTAAAGTCAATTCACATGGACTTAAATAGCCATTAGTGGACGTCTTCTCTCCTCACTAAACTGAAATTCATAAAGAACTAATCCCAGGAAATATCAAATGATAATTGCTTAAGACGGCTAGAACTGTTTGTTTTCATAAATCCACAGGCACTAGCACCTAGCATAGTCTTTATCTTCTAAATCCAACATTAACACATGCTACTTTTTGATGTGATGTAATATTTCATTAATCTTTCCCTTCCCCTCCCCCTTCTTTTTCACTTAATATCTTATTGTTGGGTTATGCTGAATTCCTTAGGAACAAGAACTGAACATAAACTTTGCAAGAAGGAGAAGGAAGAACTGATCCACCTGAGCTGGGGGTAAGGATGATACCCAGTCTGATGCATGTGTTGGAAGAAGCCCCAATGTGTTAAGCTGCCAAAACCAAAGAAATTAAATAGGAAAATGCAACATATTAGATAACTCAGGTTTTGTCCTATTTCTTTCTGTCTAACAATCTTGAAAGGGGAATATCCATAAGGAAGTGAAAAAGGAAACTGCATCTCACCTTCCAAACACCAAGTGCTAAACCACCCAAATTAAGGGCAATGAAAAGCAACTTAGGCCCAAGAAGATCTACTTTATTATCTTTAAAAGGCTCAAAAACTGCAAAATCAAAGTGAAATTAGGATGAATGAATTTAGAAATGGAAATTGCACAACCATAACATCTAAAGAAAAGAAAATCTAGCCTTTGGTGGCATTTAGTTGGCTGCAGAGGGAAATCAGCTATTGGTCCTAGACAGAAAGGGCGAGAAATGCCAAGTGTATACAGAGACAAAAACATCGAAGCTTCTATAGAAGTAAATTTGATAGGTTTCTTCCGAATACTAAAGTGGTATTCATTAGTATCTTATGGTTATAAGGGCTAAGTGTTTCATTCTTGGTTAGGGTATCTTACCCACGCTAATCTTTCCTCTTTTGACTGTTTAACCACTAAGTACAAAGTAAATAGAACAATTCATGGAGAATAAAGAACACAAAGGCCAGCTTACCTTTCCCAACCCCTTGAAGAGCACTAATAGGCTGCCAGAGTGCTGAAAAAGTGATACCAATGCTGAAGAGATGCACTGTACTTCCAGCCATCCACATCATGAAGCCCATCATTAGCAAATTCTTGAAAGGCGCTTGTGCCACTTCCCAAGCTTTCTGTTCAAAAGGAAAAGAACTATCATCTTAAATAACATATGTGATCAGTTAGATATTTTAGTAACTACATATGTTTTAACCTTATGAACCTAACCACCTAAAACTGAACTCTTACATAAAGGAACACCTAAACGGGCTAAAAAGTTTATGGATTAGTCACTCTTGACAACAAATACTATGTCAATATGATGCATCAATCAATCACTAGCCCTAAACCAAATGCCAACACTCAACCATGCACCAAGAGAAGACATCTTTGCTTTCCTCTTTACCCTTTCCATAAATATCAACTCAATGTACTCTAAAGCACTTACTGAACTCAAATGTAAGTTAGGGTCACACTTATAGTAAATAAACAACATCAATGATTCATGCATCACAAAATAGATTGTGGCTTGCAGCTTTGCCACGGACCTTAGTAAGTTCTTTTCCGAATAAAATTTGCCATCGGTTATAAATGATGTAAACAGTAATAAACAAACAATTCGTATATATGCTTTTCAGTAAATGTCAGGCAATCCTAAGTCCTTACAAAGCCTCCATGTATAGCTAGAGAAACCTCAGATACTGAAACTCAATTCTGAATGTTCTTTGTTGCAAATGGTTTGAAGAATCAATACGCCCATACGTCCAGAACACTTATTCATGATTAGCAATGGTATTTTCTCTGTTAAATCCATTAGAAAGTAGTCCAAAATTTTCATCACAAACACTTCTATCATTACAAAGTAGAAAACTTCAAGTCTTTAAGATCCAAAAGGAAATCAATTTAAATCGTTAATTAAGAATCTCCTGAGGTACCTGCGCTTTCCAATTGGATTCGGCATCCTTCTTTTGGCGACTCACAGCCGACTCGTCCTGCCAAATTACAAACGTGAAGCCCCCAAAGTTAAACCCAAAAAAAACTGAAAGTTAACGCATTTATTTAAGAAGATTAAAAAAAAAAAGAAAATAAAAGAAAAACAGGGAACCTGATCCACCGAAGCACGAGTGAAGCCGGGAGGATCGGGGATGTCACGAGAGGAAGGAGCGGTGGAATTATCGGAGAAATCGACGGCCCATCTTCGGCCGTACCCCATCACTCCTTTACCCTTCTCCATTTATTTTTTCTATAGGACTGCTTCTTCTGGTTTCGGCTTAGGCTACAATAAGGCTTTGGTACTTGGCTTAGGCTGCCTTCTCGTTGGATTTGACTTTAGATTGTTACTTCTTTTTCACCACATTTTTAAATTAATTTTTTACTAAATTACTACCATTTTTTTTTTGGATAAAATGATAAATTACTTTTATTAATTGTACAAAACTATATAAATTAATTACTGACAATAATTAAATATATTGTATCCTAAATTTTTCTATACTGTTATATATGAAGATATTACTAACATAGTGCATTTTAGAAATTGTTTAAACTAAAAGATAAATGAAATTATTTTATGGTTAATTTACATGTAATAATATTAATAATAATTTCAACTCATGTAATTGGTGTATGAATGTGCAAGTGAGATTGAACTCAAATATTATACTACGGTACATACAAGTAGAAGTAATGAAAATTTGAACTTATCCAATCAAACTGTTAAACTTTGTCCATTCTTCCTCCGAGATTAACACATCTCTAATTTAAAACGGCAAAGTATTGATTATGTTTAGTTAAAATCTTATTGTTCATGTTTTTCCTGTAATTGTCAAATAACAACAGGAGGCATTCAAGCTCCTACACTCCCTATTTTCATGGTTTGTTACATACATAAAACGTTTATGTTCTTCTCTCTCAAACTCACGAATGACTGCTACAGCTCCGATTTAGCCGAAAACTTGTCTAACATGTTAGCTATAACAGAACCTGCAAACACCTGTGGAAAAACAAGTTAAAAGAACAGCTTCACCACTGAATTCCTTTTTAAGCTTGCAAGTGTTTTAATTCCATGTTTTCAACAGGTCGGAACAAACATGAAATTTAAGTAAGTTACCTGAATGCACCCAATGATGTAGACTGCAGAAAAGTGTCGGCCATGTATAACCATGTCAGCTATCATTGTAAGGGGTATTGTCAATGACATTCCAAATGTTGCAACTAATGGAGTTGTCCAAACCACACAAAGGGCCCTGCATCATTTTTTCTTTTGAATAACTAAAAGTTCAAATCACCATGTATATATTGGGATTGATTTCTTTTAGAGTTATTACATTTCAATAACTATCCAAGCAATAAGCCCGCCTAGCCCAGAATATTGTAATTGTTCTTGGCCATGGATTAAGGCGATGAAAAAGGTTTGATGGTTTCAAGACCTAGCTAGTGGAAGCCATGATTCAACAACTAGTTTAAAAGTGAAAGGAGGCTGCTCTACATACCAGAAGTAGTCTGACAGAACGCTACCCACAAAGCCATTAAACAGCACTACTTCCCCAACAGATGCTGAATGTGGAAAGCTAAATGGAGGTTCTATCCCCACAGCATTAAGTGGCCACACTGCAAATAGATCAAAACACTGTGTAAGTTCAAAGGAAAAAAGATATATAGGCAGGAACACTGAAGATGGGCATTTGACAGAAATAAGATTCCAGCCGCGCAATCAAACACAAACCCTCACATCTTGAGAGAAAAGAGAGAACAAAAATGCACTAAGTTACTTGAAATATAAGGAGATTGATAAATTATTTACCAAGCCACCAAAGGCCAAGAAGAGTGAAGAGACCAATGTATCCCAAGAACTTTTGCACATCAACCTTCTCTCCTTCTGATCCAGCAGATTTCTTGAGCAGAACTGTATAAATTGACCAGTAGGTGGAAATAAAGCAGATGAGCACAGAAACAATCTCACCAAATTAAGTTGATTATAGCCACTGTTCAATTTAGATAAATAAAGAGATCCTACCCTTAAATAAGCCATATGAAATTGCTGAGAGAAGACTAAACATATCCCCGGTGATGGAGTGCCTTCTAGTTCTAGGAAACATGAACAGCACATGGTTCCATAAAAAAGATAATTGTTAAACAAAAATGCAAAAACCAGATCACAGAATTAGTATTTATTGCAGGAATTATATCCCATAACTATAAGTAACTCTCAAAAAAGTAGCATGAAAGAATTATGTGAAGAGTTTGACGTATTGTAAAGGAATAAGGAAATATTAATAAATTCTTTAAATAACTTGCTAAGAAAGACCCAACATACTCAGAGACGCTAAGCATTTCATCTGATGCCCATGTCGTTCCAACTGTGGTCATAGCAACACCAGCCATGCTATTAAATACAGCGACCACTTTTGCAACATTTACAGTGTCCTGGCCCAGGAGAGCTCCAAAGAAGAGTGTAAAGAGACCTGAAGTACAGGTTAGGAAAGTTGTACTTGCAACACTAGTATTTGCCAGAGCAGGGTTTGATAAATACTGCAAGAAATCAAAGTAACTTTATTAGTCATGCATCATGATGAGAAATGCATCGATGCTTGCAATCTCGTGGAAATTGAATAATGGAGAGTTTCCTATTCATCAATTCAACTAAACTAATTATAGAAATTTAATTGAATTTGACTGAACTTTCCAAAATTTTTCCTAAAGCAATTACGATGGAAATTCATTTCATATTTATTTCCTCTAACTTGAACAAAACAACAAATATCCAAAAAGATATCACACGATCATATGTTTGGTATCACTTATATTCGTTAGAGATTATAACAGCTTTGATATCACTTATCAGATAAAAAATTTTAAATTAATCAAATTAATAAAAATATAATTAAATAATCAATTAAACACATAAAAGATAATAATTTAACATGATTCGATCTAATGAACCTATATATAAATTGAAAAAAAGATTTACTAATTATTATAAAAAATTATAAACATACATTTAACTCAATCACTCACAAATAATACTTATAAATCATCTTAATCTTTTTAATTTTACAAAATAATCTCAATCTAAATAAATACATATTCTTATAAATTTATGCATTATAATTATATAAATTCTCTTAATTTTTTAATCTATTCATAAATATATAAACATACACATTTATAATCTACTTATAAATATATATACTCATAAAATGTAACTTTTTAATAATTTTACGGGTGTCTATAAACACAATTGTGCCAATGAACCCTAACCCAGCATTATACTTCCAACCCATCACCTCAAAATACGCCAACCAAAACGCTAGACACTGAGAATTGGCCCTGAATTTGCTCTAGAACTTTCTGTTCGATAATTAAAAACTGTGTGGGGACCTTCCCTGATCTTTCATTCCGTATCTTGCAATCATATTTAGCTGAATCAGGGGATAATTTTCAAGCTGATGAATCAACAAACGGTGCAACGAACATATGCGTGAATGACAAGGTAACGAGCCTTGATGTCAGATTATCCTCTTTCTTTCTTTCTTTGATGGGTTTTATTTTTTGTTTTTGCCGTGAGAGTCAGCAGGACAAGACTGTGAGATTGACAAGTTGTTAAATGTCAAAGAAGGATCGTAAAAATCTGGGAGAAACCCGATGAAGTGGCGTTTTAACTCGGTTCGGAAGCTTTAACAATGGGGATGGATTAGGTCGCAAGATTTGTGGCCCCATTCATCTCGAGCCATGTCGCTTGTCAACGCATCCGCACGTGACGCCTTGACGTGTCAACACATCAATTAATTGCCAAAAAACGGGTTTTTTTTTTCAAAACATACTTAACTGGATTTTAATTCGATTGAACCCCAAAATCGCAGAACTTTGATTTGTTTTTTGTTTTATAAACTTTGATTTGACAATGTTTTCTTTGGTAACCCAGAAAAAAAATAGTAAAACTCCAAAAAAATTATCTATTGTAATTGTAGTGATAAGAAACAACTGAAAATTTTCAGCATACTATAGCAAGGTAATGGAACGGGAAAGCAGAAAAAAAATGGAGTAATCGATTATGCTTAATCATATAATCCAAATGGGAAAGCTTGTGAAAAAAAAAATGATTTCTCTTTTCTACTGGAATTAGGTTGTACATGAAAATTGGGGTACAAAATTTCTCTGTCTAACCAGCTGATGGAGATCATGGACAATCTTGAATACGGCCTCAGGCCTTGCCAACTTTAAAGCATTTTGTGACATAGCCTCGAGTTCATCTGCCTTTGGACCAAACCACTGGGCAACAACATTGGCTATCTCTTTTGGTGACTTCGAAAATTTCCCACATCCATTTTCCACCACGTAGGGAACATTGCCAGCTTCCTGTAAAGCCAAAACAAGAATTTATGTTCTTTAGCTACAGCCTATAGTTAAAACTCCATCACAAGATTCTTTTGGAACATTCACATTGACCTTGTAATTATGAGGAAGAGAGTACAGACGGGAATGAAGCAGAAGTTAATATATGGATGAGTGTAAAGACTGCGGATCATTTTACCATATGGATGGCTAAAGCAAACTCCTCACAAAGTTAACGAAAGTCAAACTACATAGTTTTCCTACAAGATCTGGGAAGCTATAAAGAAAACAACCGGGCAAGTTGTATCAGTGAACCATAGTTTCATCTTTCAATAGAGTGAGATACAGAATTTGTTGGCAAATGTTAATGTGCTAATCTCCATAGGATAGATTTCTAGGAGGAAGCAAAGTTGCATCTATGCTATGATGATAGAAAACATATAAATAAGGCATGGCATAAAATTAGAGGTCCTTTCCTTTTCTAAAAGAAAACTTACCTGCCCAGCAATGTAATCATTCAAAATTATTGGAAGACCTCGTATCATTGCCTCAGCAATAGTCCCTGGACCCGCCTATTGAAGTAAAAGTCGTTCAAAATTAAGAAAATGTATTACATCTTTAGACGCATCCATATATTATGACTGCCATTAGAAAATTACCTTTGTAATAATGCAGTCGCAAGCACCCATGCATTCCTCCATTTTGGTGACAAATCCCTTAACCTATAAGATTGTGCAATTTGAGAAAATTTCATATGGCCTACGTTTCTTTATTACAAAAATTGGAATATGGTTTGGCATGCTTAATACAAATAGACATATGCTAAAGAAATTTGACAAATTTTAGAATAAGCTTATCACATATTTAAATTAGTTGAAGGAGAATATTAAAAAAGTCTTCTTATGGTTCTTGAAAAAGTCATCTGGATAGGAATTATAAGTAGAAGACTTAGCAGAGTACACGTACAAATTAAAACGTCAAAAAGAAGTTGATACCTGGACAGGAACTTTCCAATCAATTGAAAGCAATTTGCTAGCAAGCTTTTTGTTGCGGCCACAAATCACAAGGATTTGACCCATTGACTCCCCAAGGTTCTCATCATATAATGAATTTCCGAGTGCACGAGCAGTAGCCTCAATGGGCCCCATTCCTTCCCCTCCTCCCATCAGCAAAACAGCAGGAAGATCCTCATCCATTCCTAATTCTCTCCTCAGCTCAATCTACAATTATAAAACATTAAACTGTTAGTACCATTTGATCCAATGAGATGACGAAAGATGAATAGACATAGAGATCTCAATGGAGATAATAAAATCAAACATATTCGCAGTAGCAAAGAAACAAAAAAGTGGTCTAAGGAAACCAGCAAAGAGAAAATGAAAAATTGCAGAAACTGAATACAATAAACTTGTCGCATCAAGACATCTGATCATGTGTGCAAAATTTTGGGACAATATTAAGGTTCATAGAAGAATAAAATTGGTATAGGGAATATTAAGGTTCATTAGTTTGAAAGGTAACCAACCTTAGGCCGAACAGGCTTCACAAAAGAAGGTCGCACTGGAAGACCATAAACCTTAATTTGGGATTGTTGAAGTCCAGCTTTCAATGCCCTTTTTGCTACCTCTGCTGTTGGGCAATAGCATCTTGTTACAAGCTTATGAAACCTAAAAAGAATATACATGACCGAAATTACACCAAGAATAAGTGAATTTCAAAGTATGAAACTAAGATGTAGAACTAACCACGTAGGATGGCAAGTGCTTAAGTCTGTGACCACTGTTGTAAAGACTATCTTCTTCAGTAGACCCTTTGCCCTCAGAATACGAAGTGGAACATGTTGCATCAGTGGATGGACACTGATAATGATGTCTGGCTGGTATTTCATCAACCCTTTGGCAACTTCTCTATAATAAGAATACAAAATAACAGAATCAGATAAGTATATGCCATAAAACAAATACGTGTTACAGAAATGGCAAAACAAATCATGTAATAATAATTTGTTGTGAGGCTGATATATTTTGTTCTGTTTCATTCACATATCTTCTCACGTTAGTTCAACAGGGTTGAGACAGTCTTCAACAGAAACTCGATGAACGGTGATTAGTTACAAAGCAAAGCATAATAATATAGGAAAACAATCTAAAAGCATCTGTACCAAGAAGACCACAAATTCTCACCTAGCTATAAACGTTGAAGTAGCAGCAAAATTAGATTGATGAACCACCCGAGGAGCAGACATATAATAAGTCATTTTCCACAAGGATCCATGTTTGACCAAGAAGTTATAGCTCTTGGGTAATTGATTAAATGGCCAGGGCGTATGATCCGACCACAAATCCGTAACAAAAACCTGAAATAAGCCACTCTTAACATACAGAAGAAAGGTAAACCAAAAACATAAAGAAAAATAATACTGAAATACGACTTATTGAATTTAGTGCCATTTAATCATAACAAATCTAACACTGCAAAGTACTGATAAAAGAGTTAAACTTTCTTAATTTCCACCTTTGCCCAATACACACATTTTCTTTGCCACCAAACAAAAGGAACCTGACCTGATAATCGTCCCCAAATTCGTCATTAAAAGCAGCCTTAATAGCTTCAGCCGAGGCTCTATGACCCCCACCAGTATCACTCATCAAAATCAGAACTTTTTTGGGGGACTCAGTTTCGATTCCATTCAAAGGCAAACCTTCAACGTCCAATACACTACCACCATCTTCTCTCACTCCATTGCTATCCTCAGAACCAACCCGAACCGAACCAAACCCAATTGGGATTCTATCACAGTGAAATTTAATCGCTCTATTGAACTCATTGACGATTCTCCTAACACTCGAAGAAACGCTGTTTCGAGCACCCAAACTGAGTGAAGCAGCAGCAATAACTCTACGCCTTTTCTGAGAAACTGAGCCTCTGAACTCCGAAAAATACATGTGATTTGGCTTAAATGAATAAAACCCATCCGATTTTGAGCAGTAAAAACTCTTGGTGAATGCTAAGTGACCCAAATGAGTCCCGAGATCGAAGGCAGGGCCCAATTCTTGGGTAGCCGCAGAAGGGTTTTGCATTTTGGAAAGTTTTTTCTAGCTGCAGAGTCGATGAGAACGAAGTTAAACAATTTCATACAAGGTAGTCTTCATCACAAATAAGAACCAAATTTCATTTATTTATATGAAAAAAAAAATTATATATATATATATATGAAGCGAAGAGGAAAAAAAAAAACGAAGGGTGAAAAGCGATGAAATCTAACGGTGCTTTTGCAACCACAAGGATAGGATTAGTCAGCAGATTCCAAAGAGATGCTATGTTTCGTGCTCTCTGCTTTGAAAATAACCAGACCCAAGTTTCTTGGTTTTTTGGTTTACAGGGTTAGCTCCGGTTCGGTTTGTCCACAAGCTTCGTGTTTGGTCCTTGCCACAGTCTGCCAGCCACATCAGAGAACAAGTCCACGTCAGAACCGACGATTTAATTTATGCAAAAAAAAAAAAAAAAAGGGAAAAGAAAAGAAATCTGGCTTTTGCATATTTGAGTCTTTGACCCATTTACGCGTCTTTCGGGGTCAGATGGGCTGACCACTTTTTTTGCCAAACATGGCCAAGCCGACTCGTCGTCATTCACGTGCTTTGATTTGGGTTATCCTATATGGACTTATCATTTATGTGGGTGTTACTGTTGGTTCATTGTTCACGTCATTGCCAATATTCAATGAGTTTACCACAGATTTGCTCCTAAAAATGTAAGCTAAGATCATTAGTTCATAAATTTTACGACAGGACTCAATGGATTAATTGAGTTGATGAAGATCAAATATTTTATTTGTAAAGTTCAGATTCGGTTTTCGATGATTTGTAAATTTAAATTTTTATACATAAAAAAAATTTTACTAAAAAAAATATGCGGAAAGAATATCACTAATGCTTTATGTTTAGCCTTTTTTTTTTTTTAAGAAACAAAAAAAAAGTGATTTATTGATCCAATAATAAGATGATAAGTTGATAGTTTAAGATTTGTCATGTCGGTATCTCCTCCCCACTTTATTTTCAAAAATGGAATTTTATAAGAAAATTGCTAGTAATTCACAATTTACACACGTTAAATAGATGCAACCAAAAAAAAAAAAAATCAACTCTCAGTCCTCACTTTAATAAGAGTCAAGTTTACCGAGTTGACCAATAAACCCAGTTTGTGCCAAACTCCGTCCACTAGGCGTTCATGTCACCATAGTCATACATCAAAAAAAGAATGATAATATATAAACAATAAGAAACAGTAATTGAGCATGTGAATTTCATGGGAGCTTTAGTCTTTAGTTTTTAGAAATATTTTCTAGAATCCCACCTCCCGCACCGTCCATGATATCGATCCCTAGTGGAGCCCCCATAAAATGTTTCAGATATTTCATATCTCGTCTTCATCATGTTCAGTTCATCAGAAAATTCACTGGAAATTAATAAGATACAGTTAAATTGAGTTATGAGTTGACCAAAGTTCGAGTTTAGAAAAATGGTACGGGCTTTTGATAGCCCATGAATGTGAAAAATGCTTATGGGCTTCGATAGAAGTATTGAAAGTAACAGATGGATTCGTGGCGAGCCTTTTTTTTGTTCTGCTTGGGCTTGGACACTGAAAGTTTTGATTATTGGAGATGATACTATGCCACTGAAGCAGTTATTGGATCATGCTATTGACCCAAAAATGGATTATTCCATTAACTGCAAGGTTTAAGATCGTTTTAGAAATCAATTACAACATGAATCAAGAATGGTAGCTTCCATTTTTCTTTTTGATGTTTTGGCGGTTTTATAATTCTTTCTCAATGATGGATGATTAACTTGTTATAAGTCAAACTTTTATCATTATGATTCCCATCAGAAAGTCAATAGAAAGAAAAAGGAAGCAACTAGCAAGTATAATTTTTTCTGGACACACGTGCAAAAGAGTGTTAGGTTGAGTTTCCCATCTTTGTTTTTGTTCATCAGCAGTATGATTTCGTACAGTACTCATAATATATATTAAGTATGCTAAAGTGAAGTGACCAATATATTTCATAAAATCTTTTCTTCATCCTCGTTGGTAGTCACTAGCTATTTCTTTTGGCTTACTACTCGGACAGGATGAATTTGTTTGAGCTTTGTTTATTATTTGGTTAGAAGAAGCGCTGATGACTGATGAGTGGTGACAGTGTAGAAATGAAAAAAGAAAAGCAAAGAGGAAGGATGTAAGCCAATCCCAAAGCCAATTGTGGCAAGAATCCATACTTGAATCATTGAGCTTCAACCAATAATAAAGGAATGGATTTAGGCTTTAGACATATAACATGTCTAATGGAAAGACGACAGCCATATCGCACGAGTAGGGGGAAATGGGTAGAAATTGATATGGGTAATATAATCTCTGAGTCATATTGGAAACGATTTATAGGGGCATACATAACTTTTTTCAGGCATTTAGAATTTCTTCTTTGACGAAAAGCAAAGTGCAGAAGTGCTTCTAGCTTTTGAGGAAATGCTCTCATCACTTCCCCATACGCTCAAATATTCCACTATCTTTGATAAATTTCAAAGGCTTATCATAACAAGAGGAATTGAGAAATGTCTTGTCCAAGCGACAATTTCAAAGAATATTTGCATAACCCCAACCCCTATGATGCCGAGTTAATATTCACGAATGTTTCTTGCAATTTGGAATATTTTGATAACTGCTCGACTTTTCTGTGTGCCTCAATCGCAAAAAACGCCTTTACCTAGAAGTTCTTGTCTAGGGAAATTTCGGAGCAGTTTTCTGATGGACCGTAGGCTGCTATATATCCTAAATTATAACTACAACTAGAGGACTCGTCAAAAGAGGATTGGCTAAACTAAGTGATGATGAAAATCTTGCTGTGGACTCAGTCAACAAGTTCCTTCCTCTTAAATATATATATATATATATATATGAATATTTTTGTGAGGATCGAGTAATCAATTAATCACTTTTATGCTAAGAGTCAATGCACTACTATTGGTAGACATGATGTTTACTTGAAAACTTGGATCCATAAAGGGTTTGATGTACTATATGTTTCACCCTATACTCTCTTGCATGTTACTGGCAAAAATTAGATAAAAGTAAAAGCATGTAAGGCAAGAGCTGAGGATAAATTTAATTAATTCCTTTTTATATGTATAAGAAACTCTCAACATTTTTGCAAGTATATATAGTTCCAACTGCCAATATATGCTTTATTACTTGACAAAAATGAAGTTAATATTAGTACAGTGCATTACGATTATTCCTTCTCCAATTCTATTATGAAAAAAAAAAAAAAGCATATCCTCACGGCCACTTGCAACATTATTTCTAGCTATATGATTATTTTGGGAGGCGTCAACTATATAATTAATTCCTGCGTATTTGATCATTGATTTAAGTCAAAGAACTATGATAATTGACGAAGATCCAGCTAGCTTGCTCTATTTTTTCTACATTTAGATAGATAGAAGGAAATAAAAAGTCCTGGGCTGAAAGCAACAATTAAATGATTAATCCTCGTTGCTCAAGTCCCCATACGGCACGCACAGTTGCATATAACTTTCTCGTCAACGCGGTTTTGTCCTGGTCCTGGGGGCCTACGTTCATATTGCAGCAGTTCTGGTCATAAAGTTAAGGGGATGACTTGACCTAATTATGGAATAAATAAGCGTATTCATTTCTAAATTATATCTGGAGACGCGAGGCATGTCTGGTGGCTCTATAATGCGAGTCTCCATGCATCAAGATTGCCCGTAATTCAGTTTCAATGTGAAATATATGTATACGAGACCCGCTTGCAGTTGTAGACAGGTTTTTCAGTGATTTAATTTATTGACAACTGAAGCAGCACAACAAACAGGATGTATCTAATAATTTGTTTTCATTACGTGAATTTAGGAGAATATGAAGCATATATGTATAATAAGCAAAAGCAATAATCTGAACAAGCCAAAGTCTACAAAGACCCACACGTTTCAATTTTCTTGTCGTAGCACATCTGCTAGCTAGGATAGTGTAACTAACCTCGTCAAAGCGTGTTTTCACTTTGGAAAAATATTGCTGTTTCGAAACAATCAAAAACTATTGAATAATTGAAAATTAAATTATGAAGAGAAATTAAAAGCAATTATTATATTTAATTTTATCTGTATTAATGTATATGTATTTCTCCTAATTGCGCATATATTGTGTTTTTTTTTTTTTCCTATTCAGTATTCTTTACTTTTTACCATCTTATGATATATATACTAACTATACTACGCCCATATGTACCGTATTACCTGCTGCAAATATATTCTATTGATGGTAGTTCAAGTTTCAGCTCCAGGGACTCGGAGCAACTCCTAGATTTTGGAACATATTGTGATGCAAATTTGTGATGGAAGTTTCCTCCGCTAGGGCAAAACACCAGAAACTAAAGCATGAATAACGAAAGAGCTGGCCATCAGCATCAAACATCCGAGTTTCACAGGTGCATGGCAGTCAAAGCTGAGAAATTCTTAGCAAGGAATAATAATATTCATGATTCTTAGGTTAATCAAAGCGTTATACAGTTATATTTCATCTTTCTCAAAGTTCAACTCAATATAAAATTTTGAGAGTTTTAATTAATTACAAGTCGTCTGTATATACATTTGTTTGGTCTAAAATGTTAGAGTCAATGATTTTTTTATAATGAATATGGTATAGCTTATATGTATTTGATAAATCTTAAGTTAAAATTTTTTTTTCAAGATTAACATGTACGAAAGTTTGGTTATAAATTTTTTTTTTCATAAAAATTTATCTATTTTAATGGTTTATGGTCTTTGGATACGCAATGCCTTTTCCAATTCAAGTCAAACTAAAAGTTGAAAGTGGAAACAGGGGATCCAATCCAATCCAATCATTCCAAGTCTCAGACGAAGAAATGGAAAATACGAAACCAAACAAATTTGCTTTAGACCATAACTTCGTTTTGGTGCTATGAAGATCAACGCCAACAACGCAAAGCAATTGGAAACCGCGTGAACAAGTTCTAAAACTTTCGATCGACAAGATACTAAATAGAAGAGTACGCAAGCTGGCCAAAAGACTTATTAGCTTTAAAAAAGAGAGACAGTTGATACTTGCAATACTCAATATGAACCACTTAAATTTACAATCAGAATTTTTCTTCACCCGATCGTGAATAAGTCAAAAACAGTTGCAAGAAAATATTAAACAAAGTTATTAAAGTAATAAATGCCAATCATTATCAGGTTGGCAAAGGATGCCATTACCGTCGGTTTCGTTTTAATCTCCACTGATAATCTCAGGGAAAGAGAAAAACAAACTAAAATAAGAAAAAGGAAGATAAGTATGCAAATTTAATTTTGTAATATGTAATTAACGAAACTAGCCATCCTGATAAATTTCAAGAAACCATGAACGCCCAAACCTCCATGAACAAGGATACTTATAAAACAAACGATAACACCTTTTAACCCATTAATGATCTAAAACCGAAAAAAAAAAAAAAAGTCGTAAGGTTTTTACCATTTTTTTGAACAATAACACAACCCTAATCTCGTTTCTCCTGACTAGGTGAAGTAAGTGGAAAAAGTGTCAGGAGCTCCGGTGGTTGGCTTCCTCTTGGCGTATTTAATGGTGATGGATGCAAGTAAAAGCCCCTCTCTGCAATCGCCTTTTCCTCCTCCGAAACCACTGGAGATGATGGTGATACGGTACCAGAACTGGAGTAAAAGAGTGATTCAGACCCCAGTGGAGTCACCGGACTGGGAAACGGCGACTCAAGGGGGCGAGCTTGACAGGGAGAGCAGTGACTAGGTGAGTGTCGTAGAGTGGTGAGGCCAAGCTTGATCTCGAGCTTTCTCATGGTATGTTGCCTACGTTCTTGGAGCTTGAAGGGTGGACGGCGTGGGCCTGTTGGGTCACCAGGAAGGGAAGTTCTTGAGGAAAGCCTTCCAGGGAGGGTAACAGGGAGTTTCTCTGTGTCGCTGGCGAATCCTGTAAGCTTCTGGACCAGGTCTCTGAAGGTGTTTGCATCAGCCTGAACGAAAGTTGTTGGCGTTGGCGTTGCAGGTGATGATGAAGCTATGGTGTTTAGGTGTTTTTCCATTTCAAAGAAGGGAGATCTGTTTAATTTAGAAAATTAGCTTTCGAGAAGACAAAACTGAACTAAGATAGAACAAAGTAATTTTTGTTGATGGTTTTATACCGAAGAGAAAGAGAATATTTGATGGGATGTTTGTGTGCGTGAGTGTATTTTCGTTGTGTTGCCAGTGACAGGGATGTATTTTCACTACGGGATACTTTGAAGACTATCAGTATTGTATGGGCTTTCCCTTTCCTTCCCACGCAATCTGAAAAATGTATGCCAAATCTGAAAGTTTAACTTCTTCAATTTAATAAAGCATCTTGACGGGTATACATTTCAGATCATCGTCAATAAATACATCTGATATAAATCTTAATTATGGTTATATATTTATAGAATAATAATAAGGTCTTTATTGCACATCTCTTTCAGTAAAATACCATAAAATAAAATTATATACTATTAATTACTAGAATAACATAAAAGGAATCTACACCTTTGAGATGGCCAAAGTCGACACATAAATCATAATCCAAATGTGAAAAGTATTTAATCTTTAGACTTGGAGACTTTAATCGTCATAATTATCATTTTTTTTTTCTTTTTTGGGATGGTGTTGGCGGTGGTAGTACCTTGTTTAAGATCTTTAACCAAAAGAAGGCATTAAAATAAAGTAGGCTTTCATTATCAAGCTAACTCGAAAGAGGTCAATTACTTCAATTTTGATTGCAAAGAAAACACTATTTAATTTCCATTCACCATCCAGCTGATAACCACAAGGAGATTAAACGAATACTGAATGATTTAAATAGTTGAAAAAGTTGGTTTCGAAGGGTAAGTGGTTTCTATCTCTTGTACCATCGACGTGCACCAACCATTAATCCTCCTTCCCCATTGTACTATCACGCACTAAAACCTGTAATCTATGTTAAGGGCAGGGAGAATCCTGGAATTAGAGCAGTGAAATATATCCATATCTGCTATATATCTTATCAGGATCAGGCTTTGAAAATGTTGATCTTAACAAATAAAACGAGAGCATGCTTTGCTTGCCATTTAAAGAATTGTGAAAAGGATTAATTAGACCACATAAAAATTGCGTCTTACCTAATTATGAGGTAGAGTGTGGTGTAGAGGACAATGATTAATTTTGATTTGGTTGGATTTGAATATGATTGACAAGAGTTATGCATGGTAAGTAACATTTTTATTTTTGATTCAAAGAAAGTTATAGTTTGAGATAGGAGAAGCAACTATAGGTATTAAAATTTAAATTCTAAATTTGTTTGATGTCAACTATAAATGATAAGTACCCTTTGATCTAATACAGCTAATTTGATTAACACATCAAATTTTTTTCTGTCCTATTGTAGAATCATCTAGGCATTGTTAATTAAGTGAAGTTGCCTTGTAGATTGCATAGTTAATCAAGTGAAGTTGCCTTGTACATTGATTGAAAGCGAGAGCTTAATTATATTAGGCAACAGGCATGATGGGAAAACATTTTCTAATTGACTCTCATTTGGAAATTTGATACTACTCTTTTTCAACGAATCATCCCCTGATTTGTTGGTAAAGGAACTTTCATAGAAGCAAACATGGAAACCCAATTTAGTTAATTCATACATGCAGCCTAGGCAAGATGGGCCACTTGACTGGGTTTGTTTGGGCCAAACATATTAGTTAAGAATTTAGGTTACTTTGAGGTTCTCAATAAGGGCCAATTAGCATTGATTCCTACTTCTTAAAAAAAAAATGTTTATAGTATTATTTTCTTCATCTTTAAATATTTTCAACAATGAGGAAACGTTAATCTCTTAAACTTTCAACTTTGTTTTAGCATTTCAAGTACATAAAACGAATTGAGTTTAAAGTTGCACAACCTTTTACGACCCAAGAAGAAAACATGTCCTATTTGAATCATGATTTATCATATAATTAATCCTGAAATTATTGTTCTTTCATTAAAAAAAAAAATCTTAAGTGTGGCGCTTGGGCTTATTTATTATTTTTTATATAGAAAAATCATAATTTAAAAATATATGAATTAAAAAAATTTTAAATTTAAATTTATTAAATAACATATCATAAAAATAATTATACTAATAAATTAAATTAAATCAAAAAAATTTATTTATATACTTTGGACCCTAATGTAAATGTATCCGGCTACCAAAGTTACCCCAACCTGACATATTTGCACTTGTTGCCGCTTTGAGCAGGCAAAGCCCGGAAGCCTGACCAATCCAACAAGGGCAAATCGAGTGTTCGATTTTTTTTCTTATTACTTCTCCATCCAAAGCAAGACATGGGTCGTGGGGCCCTTCCCTCGTCCATCGTTATAGTTTAGACAACAGCTCGCAATTTATTTCCCCTTTTTCTTTCTGAAAACGAGGGACTTTTGTTCGGTTAGCCAAATTCCCTATCTTTGAATTTTCTTATATAAAAAAAGGCCAATATCTTTGCTGGTAATACGGGAAATGAAGAGTTGTGCGAGTTGTTACCGGCCAGTGATCGTGGGCAAGTCAATTGAGAAGAAAGACATCAGCTTTGTTTCGATAAATAGAATAGCGTTCGGTGCTGGGATTGTACCCCAAAGTAAAACTACAACTGCAAGGTCCAAGGGTTCAAGGGTTTTGGATGTCAGAGTTTCTGTTGTTGATTCCTATGAGAGCTCTTCCGATTTTGTTAAGCGTATGGAAAAAGCTTGGGCCATCTCTCAGGTACAAATTTTCTTTCTTTAATGTTATTATTTATGGCCTATAATTCAAATCTTTTAGTTTGAGTGAGGTTTTCGAATTGATACGCCCCCAATTTCATCATATCAATAATTTAGCTTATGATAGAATTTCAAATTTGTTGCAAATTTGTGCATTAAAACGCATTTCTATAACTTAAAAAGGAATAAATTTGATTGGATTTATACAGAGTGATTTTATTTTCTTAAATTTTGTGACAAGTGATGTTGGGTTGTTAACATGGGATGTATCTTAGATATTTAAGATGTGTTTGGTACACAATATTATGATATAGGATAAGATTAGATTAAATGATGTGCCTAAAGTTTAGAATAAAATCATTTATTTAAATTATTGAATAATTTTTAAGGATATAATAAGATATATAAATTTAATCTCATAAATTCAAAATAATCCTCTCTATTTTGGGAGGATTGAATCATCTTATACCAATATGATGATTAATTTTTCTTGTAATCCTATCTCTTTTTTTAGATACAAATCAAATATAATATATGATGACTATCATCTTATCTTATTCTATCTATCATCCTATCCACTAAATATGATATTAAATTCTGGAGAATTTCAGTATGGATGGCTTTATCTTATTGAAATCTCTGGTCGAGTAGATTGGGAAATTGGGATGCGGAGTGATCCATCTGTCTTCATTAATTGTGTACAGATTTAATTAACTGGTTTTATCAATTCTATGGTAGTTTCCAAAGTTTCATTAATTCCAGGTTTGTTTCTCCGAGATATTTCCTTCGTTCTTAAAACTTACACTGAGGAGGTGTTGATGTAAAAAATTCTATGAACTTAGCAAATACATGTGCTATAACATGACAAAAATGTTCAATATCCTATTAGTCCATTATGTTTCTGCTGTTTTTAGTTCCATGCCATAGAAAGTACTCTAGGAAAGAGGTCCTAAGATAATGTTGATTCTATTGAAATGCATGGGATTTTGAGAATACATCCTGTTTTTGCAGTAAAATAAAGGATTGTTGTTTATGCTCAACAAAAGGGACTGCATCCCTTTCATGTAGGACGCTTTTGGAAACTTGTCAACTCTTTGAACCTATTAAAGGCTAAACAAATATCCTCTTTTTTGGGTCCTAATATTTTCTTTCTTCATGGTTTTTACAGCAACCAAAGCCAATTGCTTGTTCTTCATGCAACTCCAAGGGGCACGTTGAATGCAAGTGGTGTGGGGGCACAGGCTTCTTTATACTTGGGGATAATATGCTCTGCCAAGTTCCTTCCAGAAATACTAGTTGTGTAATTTGTGCTGGGAAGGTAAGTATATATAAACTTTAGGCATATCTATACAACATTATGCATATCCTTGTTAATCTTTAGCATGCAATAGCACATGCTATGCTCTCAACTGCCCTACTAACTGAAACATTGTTTTCGTTCATGGTTATTTTAGGGATCCAAGTGCTGCTTTGACTGCAAAGGAACTGGATTTCGTGCCAAGTGGTTGGGTGAACCTCCTATTTCCAAGTAGTGGGTAGCTTCTCCATTTTTGCATGTTACCAAGTTAAAATGTTGTTGCCTGTAGGCTGCAAACCACCATAAAATTTGTTTACTATGTCCAGTTGGAATGGCATACCTTCTTTGACTCCAAGTGCAAATCACCCCATGTATTTTTTGTTCATGTTTTTGTACGATCTTGCCTCCATATGAAAAAGAAAAGAAACAATAGTTGTTAATTATTGTTTGAAATTTTCATAATGTTGAATAATTCATTGTTTATCGAGGCAAAATTTATTCTAAAGTCTTATTTTTTATGCATAGCAAGATGATATCACTTGTCAAATTGTAGAACAGTGAAGTGTACAAGAGCACCAAAATACATTCTTTCTAAAGAAGACTGATTAATGCTTGAAATGATTATGCTAAGTGCCGTTTCGAATTGCTATTTCCCTAAAATGCATCATGCCCTTCCTGGAAAAACAAATGCAAAGTACTGGAAGAATAGGACACATACGCATTACAAAAAAGCTAACTATACAAGATTTTATGTTTATTAGTTAATATGTCAATCAACACAGTGAACAGTAATCAATACAACACCTAAAAGCACAAAGTTCTGGGTAACACTAGAATATGTCAACTCATTGTGGATATCTCAACTCATCATCCTTGGGATCACAAGTGAGTGAAAGTTATTCAGTTGCTTTGAACAATAGCTGAGAACAGTAATTTATTAATATCCTCAGACTCTGATTCCTGCGTCTCATCTCCTGCATCAATATTACAAAAATGTTAAAATAAAGACATTGATGCAAATGCATTGATTGCGAAGAAAGCAACTTGCTCTCGCGCAAAACCAATACCTTTAAGGCATGCAAGAGTGTATCTCAAAATTATTCACACATTGGGTTAGGTTTAGGAACCTTAACCAACTCCTATTAGCATGTATAAATTTAACCTCCATGAATAAGAGGGAACAAAACTTTAGCCTGAAATCTTAATCTGAAAGTACTACAATAACTCAATAAGCAATCAAACAAGCTCATGGAACTCCATACATACTCTCCCCCTTAAAAACTCAAAATTTTATGAAGTTCAATGGTGGATTAGCTCCCCAAAAAATGTTTAAATCAAGTATTGAGACTACAGAATACACTATAACAAGCAACAAAAAGCCACTACTTCTGAATCTTTTAGATCCAAAAGTCAACATGTACCATCTAATGCCAAATTTTATAGGGGACAAAACTTAAGTCCTAATTGCCAATGCCTTCTTTTGGGTGTTTGTTTAGAGCAATTTCAGACCACCAACAGTTAAGCCAATCATATATTCATATATTCATATATGCCAACCTTTCCAATCCCAATGTTATATCGCCACCATAATCTCTTTTTCACTATTGAAATAAAATGAAGAATGGTATCTGCCATTATTGAGCAAAGAACCAAACATACCTATTCTTGATCTGACTTGAACTGTCCATTCATCAATGACCTGCATGAGGCAAAACATGAAAGTGGTGAAAACCTTTCTTCTAAACCATATCAGTTTTAAGTGTGTGAAATGTCAGAGTAGAAGTGCCTAACTTTATGACAAGATTTAACTAATGTAGGCTTTATCAAGAAAACCTAAACTACCGATGAAACGTCTAAGCATGGGTGTTTAATCTTAAGCAGAGCCCACCAATACTTTGATCTTGGTTGCTTGCTGGCAAGTGGTGCAACCACTTTGGAGACCACTTGGAAAATAGGCAACCTTAACGACTGCTGCATTGAACATTTGCAGTGGAATTGATCAACATCTTCATCATTCATCAGCATAACCATTAATTATCATGCTTTCCACTATTATAAATACATGCTTCTACTGCTTACAACTAGCATAATGTCCAAACAAACACAGCTTTGAATTGACAAAGAAAGAAGGAAACCTGGTTGAAGTTGGTGAATGCTGAATCATCAGAATGACTGGTAACAGGAATGGCCATTGATGTTTGCATACGATGGAGCAAATTTCTGTTCCCAACAAGAGTTGTCCTAGCCTTATCAATCAAATCCTGAAAAATGAAATTAATGAATAAACAAAGGTCAACTCCAAATATCACCATGTATCTCAACTTCAAAATACTTAAACTTTTAAAAGAAACCCCCTCTGAAATTCCTAGATTAAAAAAACAAAACCTGTTTGGCTGATAAAAGCTCACGGCATTGCTCAGTCAAGCTCGATAATTCTTCCTGTATCTTCTTTATTCGAGACACCAACTTCATAGGATTCGCCTGCAATCAACGCTCAAAAAAACCCTAATTGAGTTAAAATTTCTTTCCTTTTATTTTCATTTTCCCCATAGAAAGTAAAAATAAGATAAATGAAAATGAAAATTTAGGAATCTAAAATGGAATTTGTAGAATTTTGACTTACACTATCAGGATAAATTTGTTGAAACTCCTTCTCGAGCCTATACTGAATCACGAGGAGATCATGGTTTGCTTTGGTGAACAAATTCACCAAATAATCTGCTGCTTGATGATGGTTTTGTTCCTGATGATTCCGATCACCCATCCTTCCTCTCTCTTTCACCCCAATTAGGGTTTTCTTCTTTTGAATTATGATATTTGCCGCCGCATGCTAATAAAGCTTGCGACTTTTTTCTTTTTACTTTAAAACCACGCGCCAGTTAAGAGCGTGTAGTTAAAAGGTTCTCCCTTTCCCCTTAATTTCACATCACCGCCTGTCTTTAAATATAATTGCGCAATTACCCTCAAAGACTCGGCTTCTCTTCTGATTGATTGAACTCAACTCCAATGCTGGAGTTAAATCAGTGTCGCATTGCTACTTGTTAGTGCTCGCAGAGTGATTTTATCAAGGAACAGTATTTCTCCCTTTTTTTTTTCTCTTTCCCTCTCCTTAATTCACTAAGTATCAAGATAGAAGCAGTTTGTTAATCATCATGATTTGTGAATTCATGTTATTCCGTATCATATTTTATTTAAAAATTATATATTATAATTTATTTTGATATAAAAATATAAAAAATATATATTTTTATTAAACATATATACAATTATTATTAAAATTTTAAATTATATTACATTCTTATTATTTTTTATATAGTGTTCATGTTTTATAATAGTATCATGTTTTAGATTATCAAATATAAATTTATTGAGTTGTTGAATATAATAACGAACCACCTTGAAGCTTTCTAATAAAAGCTGATATGGAAATGAAAAATCAATGAGCTGCTTCGGAGGGGCTGTACGGAGGCTGGCGTTAGTGAAATGTAATTGAGTTAAACAATTAGCCAAAGATTACACCCGCTGAAGAGGCTAAATATGCTTTTCTGTTGTTTGGAAAGAAAAAAAAAGAGAGAGAAGGGAAGCAATCAAGAATTAGCATGGACTGGCATGGAAGAATCTGCATTGAAGAACGAAAGGTATTCTCAAGAAACCAACATCTACATCTTATAAATATATGACGTATGCAACTGTCTCTGAAAATAAGAGGATATGTGTCATATGAGTTACTCTTCGCTAGTTCTGGTCAATCACAATCTCCTGTGTACTCTAATGAAGTTTCTTGTGTTCATTGCAATGGCAGTGGAGCATGCATAGACTCCACCCAAGCACAAGGCTGCAGATACTAGGAGGAAGGTCTTCCACTGTCTACTGGATGCTAGAATTGCCAAAGCGGTGAACACTAGGGCCGCTGCAGTAAGGCCATTTTTCCAAGCCGTAAAAGCTTTGACCACGCTACTGCAGCCTTTGCAATGGATTACATGTCGAAAATATCGATTAGCCAAATTTGGAGCATGCATTGTTGCAATCCCACCTTTAGCTGGTGAAGATGCTGAAACTCCAGCAATGAGTCCAGCTGGTGCATGTTCTACCACAGCAGGCACTTTAGGTAGAGAAATGGTGCTGTGACCAAAATGGTAAGGCATTCCGTGTCCAACTTTATCCATCCACTTCCTGTATTCAGCAACCCATGTATCTGAGGACCTTAAATTAAGGTACAACTCTTTTGTAGGAACCTTTTCTTTTATCAATACCTCATTCTGGGATGAAAGGAATCCCATATCTTGCTCAAAAACCTTGCTTGCATTCTGATGGAAATACCATTTGGGGAAAATCTTTGCCAATGGAGAACTTTTTGTTCCTCCAAACCTAACAATAAGCATAGACTTCCCTTGTCCAGTTGGCCTACAAAGGAAGAGACCCGTGAAATAGTGTTTTTCTCCATCTTTATCAACAATTTCTCTGTTATTCTGAAGCACACATGGTGCATCAAAGCGCAAGAAGTTGGGCATGGATCCATCTTTTTCTCTACCCCATCTGCCAGCAAATCCCCTATCTGTGCGTTCTGTTACCTCAAAAAGCAGGGGCTGAGCATCTTCCCTTTTTGCAGTCCAATCAGTCCTATCATGAGAGATTGGTATATGTGCAGGATCCATAAGGTTCTCGAGGAGAATGGAGTGATCATATGGAAGTTCATGGACAGTTGAAGTATCTCGAAACCCTGGCCGGGCGAAATTCTCAAACCATGGTAATTTTTCAGGGTTTGGTGGTGTCTTCTGTGACATCCATACCCATACAACTCCTTGGGAATCTCTCACCTCATATGTTTTAAGGCACGCCGACCGAGGAATTTTGGCATCAGCTGGAAGCTGTTGTGAATAAAGTTTATCAATGTGACTGAATCAGAGATTAATGCATCCTAAAAAGTTAAGCTAGGCTAAAGTTAAATAGATGCAGACCTGAGGTATATTTACACATTTTCCATTGCCTTCAAATTGCCAACCATGGTACAGGCATTCAAGTCTACCATCCACCAATTGACCTTCAGATAGCTTGGCTAACCTTAAAATCAATAAGATCTAAGGTCAACATCTTCTTAATATGGAGTTGAAGTTTTCAACTAAACAATTCTAATGCCAAAGTGCATGCATACACACAGAAGGTAAGAGTAATGGGGTTTCACATAGCAGCATGAAAATAAATTAAATTAAAGGAAACTCTTACAGGTGTTCGGAATTAGTAGGTTCATGCATCCTGAAAGTGGAAGTCTTTAATGAAGACTGAAAAATCTATAGTATATTAGGTTCATGAAATTGAACAAATAGATCCATTACAAATACTGTGAAAATCATCATCACAAACTAATTCCAAGTGTCATGCAAAAACAACCCAATTTCATGGAGATGTGGTTTAAATATGTAATAGGATAGAAAAATCCTTCTAACTGAAAGAATATTAAATGCAGAATACAAGCTCAGTTACATTTCCTGAAGATTCCTTAATGCAACAAAGAAATTTAGTGTAGAACCAATAATCTTAAAGACTTAATGTAGGAGGATTTCCTAGCTAGTTTCGCCTTCTATAGAGATCAGCTCATTCCACAATTAAGGCAGCCAAAAACTGAATCAACTTTAGAGATCAAGAAGCAAGATTACCTGTGGGGACATCGATCTTGATAACAGTGAAGCACTCCATTTCCATCTTTATACAAGACGAGCTGCTGATCAAAGACAGTGAGACCAAGAGGAGCATCATCAGGTAAATCCTTGGTGAGGTAAAGTGGGTACCACTCCTCTGTCCAATTATAGTCTGCCATGATCCTATCCCCTTTGCTTTCCTCCTCACTCAATGGATCTACAAGAACCTTATGATCATCACCTTTTCCTTTGCTCTGATCAAGAGAAGCTGCACTCCTCAAATCAGACACTGCATGGCGTCTTGTGTGGTTGTTTCTCAAGTTTACTTGTTTAAAACTAACTAATGGGTAGTTCAAGATTATGTTTGCTGTTGTTAGTTTTGAGGTGAAAAAGGGCTTAGAGAGATAAGTGGTCTGAGGGAGACATGGAATCAAAGATAGATACATGTTAGAATAATTCTGGTTTGGAGAAGGAAGAAGGAAAAGGAAGAAGGAAGAAGGAAGGAAAGTTAAGAGAGGAAAAATGTTTAGAAAACTAAGAAAACAGTATTATGAACATGAAGGTTGGCTGTTGCTTGGGGAAAGGTGCTCTACTGCTAGCCACACGTTCTTTCAGAAAAGAAAAAGCGCAGCCTTGGGCCCTTGGCCCCAATGATCCACACCTTTAGTATTACTAGAACACTTGTTTCATCTAATTTTTTTGTCTTTTAGCTGTACCATTGTTTAACCTTCGCCCAGTCGACCATTCTTCTATGAATTGGCCTTGAACAATAGCTCTTGAAAGTTGAAACGTTGTTATTTGAGCTATTAAATTCTATTGAGTGCTAGCGTACATAATATGAAAGACGAAATCTTTTCCCGTTAAATTCTGCTTTACTCAATTTTAGTATACTAAAATAGAAAAGAATTTACCAAAACTACTTTATTTTTTTTACAGTGGCACTTTCTTTAAAAGTGAAAAGGGCCAAAAACAAGAAACTGATTCACAACATGCCACGCGTCTATCATAGAAGTAGGGAGAAACCAGACCATCCCGTTCGTTAAAAAAAAAAAAAAAGAAACGGGAAAGTGGTTCGGTTTGCTTAAACCCTAGTGTTCTACTTTACAGTTTCCTTGTCCAATCTACAACCTAAAGCATGAAGCTAGCAGTGGAAGGGGTGCATGCATGGAGACCTTGACAAGGTCTATGAAACCATTGAATACATCGAAAACACTCGCAACATCAAATTTGACCTCTTGCTCTGCTGTGGTGACTTCCAGGTTCTTTCACTTTTAATATTTTCAGTTTCCCCTTCAATTCTGACGAAAATTTCTTGTTTTCAACATAAATGTCACTACTTTGAAATAACCAATTGAGATTTTAACTTAATTTTTTTATAAATTTTCCTTTTGGGACTTAGGCAGTCAGGAATGAAAAAGATATGGAGAGCCTTAGTGTGCCCCCAAAATATAGGGAGATGAAGTCATTCTGGAAATACTATTCGGTCAGGAGGTTGCCCCGGTTCCCACCATATTTGTTGGTGGAAATCATGAAGCTTCCAATTATTTATGGGAATTGTAAGTTACCTCTTTCAAGTTGGTTCAAAGTTCTTTCCTTTGTTTTTCTTGGGATTTTAGTCTGATAAATGTTCTAGCTTGGGATTTTGCTACTTTTGTAAAAGTCCTTGAAATGTTACTTTGTGCAATTAAAATGTGTGGGCTTTTTCTTTGTTTTTCAATAGGTACTATGGGGGATGGGCAGCATCTAATATATACTTCTTGGGATTTGCTGGGATTGTCAAGTTTGGCAAAATCCGAATCGGTGGACTTTCTGGAATTTACAATGCACGCCATTATCATTTAGGTTGGTTGATGTTGTTTACTTGTTGTCTGTGTTTATTTTAGAGTTCTTCTAAAGGTGATTATGTATTCAATGCAACTGAGCATCCTATCAACATATTATATTGCATGTTTGTTTAAAGCTGAGTCTCGGTTATTACAGAATTTTGAAAGATATTCTCATATTAACTGATAATACTGCTACTATTATGTGGTGACTGACCTTTGAAACTAAAAAAAAAAAATAGCTTTCCCTTGAGCAGGACATTATGAAACGCCACCTTATAATGACAGTACTATCAGTTCTGTATATCAGGTTCGTGAGTATGATGTTCACAAACTCATGCAAGTTGAGGAACCAATCCATATTTTTCTTTCACATGATTGGCCTCTTGGCATCACTGATTATGGGAACTGGAAAGAACTTGTTTGCCACAAAAAACATTTCAAAGAATGACAATTTTCATATTACCTACCTTTGTTGCATTGACTCATATCAAGCTTATTCAGATTTCTCGTTGACTAATCATGGAAGCTTGTCGGTTGAAAATTATTTCTTAGATTCAGCAAGGAACTCTTGGAAGCAAAGCTGCTACTCGGTTGCTTGAAAAACTGAAATCGTCTTATTGGTTTTCAGCTCACTTGCACTGCAAATTCACTGCTCTTGTCCAACATGAAGAGGGTGGCTCAGTGAAAAAATTTCTTGCACTTGATAAGTGCCTTCCAGGGCGCAAGTTCTTACAGGTGTCTATCATAAGTTTGACTGTTTCCTCTAGGTTCTTTGTTTTGGTCTTTGCTGGAAGCTGATATATGAATCCTGGCTTCCTCTGATAATTTAGATTGTTGATATTGAATCTGATCCTGGGCCTTATGAGGTTCAATATGATGAAGAATGGCTAGCAATAACATGGAAATTCAACCGTGTTTTCCCTTTGACCATCAGACATGGAAACTTTGAGTGTGTATGTATTACATTTTTGTTTAGACCGTGGGCTTTCTCTCTCTGTGTATGTGTGTGTGTGTGTGTTGGGTGGGGTGGACTGGTGGATTATTTAAAAATGTGCAACTTTACATTGAACTCTTTGCTAGTCCTATTACTCCACAAGAACTAGTGGCTGACAACTGCTGTTCTGATATGTAGGAGTAAACAGCTTGACTTGCAAGATTGTCGTCAATGGGTTAGAAGCAGGCTGGAAGACAGAGGAGCCAAACCTTGTGAATTTTTACGAACTGTTCCACTTTACAATCCCTCCTATCCAGTTTCAAACAATACTTTTTCTGGTAAAACTTTTGCGTATCAGTCTGATAAATGTTATGTTGATATTTTTATACTTTCCTTTATGAGGTGCTAAAAGTACCTCCGCTAATTACATAGCAAAGTCTCTCATCCATGTCAAGAAATTTAAGAAATTTTCTATATACCAGTTCCAAGATTTCAGAAATAAAGAATTCGGTTAGTAAATACTTTTGCATACTTATGTCACTTGTTACTATAATGGATAGGACATCTTGATATTACTATTACTATTGTTCATAATCACTGTTCTTCATTTTTCTTCTCTTTTCAGCTAAATTAATTGTTGGTTAGCGAGCATTCCCTTTATTTTGGATTTGCAACTAGCATGGTTGTGACTTTGAAATTCATTTGTGCTTATTTCTTTTAATGTTTTTCTTTCTTTCTTTTGGTAGGCTTTCCCCGCAATTCTTGGACTTTATCTTTCTTGGAATTGCTAGAGCTTCCATATGTTCTTGATAATGCATCAGAATCCAGGGTAGTGCTGCTTCATTGACTCATAGGGGTAAGAATTTTCTCTTATTTATCCTAGTTGGTTTCAGTGCAATGACCCTTTATATGGTATCTTATTGTGATGCAAATTTAATCTAGAATCCTCATGATTCTAGGAATACCTTTTGCTTCTCATGTTTAATATGGAGCTGGTGCTCTCTCATGTAGCTAATGCAAGTCCACAGCTTAATGCTGTAATGGAATAAAGTAAAATAACTGATCATTTACGAACTGATGGTAGACTTTAGGATTTTTTTAGCATCTGCGTGGATCCCATGTGGACTGTAGGCATAATGCTATAACTTTGTCTCATATAGTTTGATTGAACTATCTATTAGATTTTCTTACGGTGATTGATGAATTCAGCATTCTTCCTGTTGGTTCGTTAGATAATTACAGTGATGCCATTCCCATTGAAGATGAGGATGAACTAGAAGATGCAGAAGTTGATAATACAGAAACTGACAATGAAAACCAGTAAGCATGAATGTGCATAATGTTTTTCTCCAACAGCACTGGTTTCTCCAATGAAGAGGTTTGCTAGCGCTGGAAAGGTTGATTGAAATCTACTTATTGGTGGCAGAGCGTTGGGCAGTTATTATGTTGGTATTCCATGAGGCTTTAGTGATTTTTGAAGTTGGCAACTCAGTCTAATGCCCCTTATTATCTCAAATTTCATCAGTATAAAAGCACTTATTCTCTTTCCTGTTTCTAGTGCAACTGTCTTTCAGTTTTTTGTTATTTTCATTAGTTATTTATAGTTTTGGCACCCAAACTTTAAGTAAATGTACAAATTGGTACACGACATTGGATATAGTCCACCACCCAACTGCAAATCACATTGAATCAGGTATGAAGCATGCAAGTATTGTGCTAAATGTAAGTCTTAATGATAGGAATGGAGCCATAAAACCCCAGTTTTAGCTTTAACATGGGCATGATGATTAGTGTTGATTATAGTTTAATTACTTGAAACTTGAATTGTTAACATTGGCTCCTTTTTTCTTTCCTAATTTTTTTTTGTCCAATTAAAAAAGAAAATAAACACGTGCATTGAGCACCAAAACTATTAGGGTAGCCGGGAGTCATGGGTGTACTTCGCTTGGCCAAGCTCGTTTTGCCATTAATCCCTCCGCCCATCATTCCAAAGTCAATAATTCGGACACTCAGGTCAACTTTGAAACATCCATAACAGCCATGCACAATTACTTAAAAATCCCGTACCAAAGATGAATAAATTAATCGATAAAATGCAAAATAATAATAATAATAATAATAATAACAATAATTCATCTGAGACACGTAGTATATTTAGCGGGACATGTCTATCAGCAGAGTAACGGAAATACACTGCTGGATCATTCCTTCCATGTGTTTTATTGTGACAGATGGAGCTTCCTCTGCAGTTTCCTTGGTCTTAATTTCCCCTACACGCTTGGCCAAACCGAGCTATTCCAATCAGGTTGTTTTTGCTAAAGTTATCTGCAAAAGCTCTCAAGTCCCCAACAAAATCTTCACAACTCCAAATTATTTGATTGGCCAGCTCCAGTCTTCTTCCCTACAACTACCAACAAATAAACGACGGAATTTAAGATTGCCAAATATTAATAAATAAAATAAACACCAAAAATGAGGAATTAACTGCAGTAGTGTCGGTTTTAGCACGCTTGGCTGATGGCGAGTCTATGTCATCTACCTGAACACAAGAGAACTAATCACTTACGAGGCCAGTTTCTGGTGTGTTTAATTCCTCCAAAGAAAAAAAGTATTCAAGATAAATAACAAGCAATATTCGAAGACATTGTAATTTCACAAAAATTACGATAGTTATTGGCTTTCAAATGATAAATTGAACAAATCATGTAGCAGCATGTGAGGTCATTTCTTGCTTTTTTGTAGACTGCAGTTCAAGTATTTTGTCGGATTCCGACATCCAGACCTGTGGTAACCGGATGTATGGTACATGCTAACCGCCAGGAGCCAATTGGGTTCTGCCACGTCTGAATATAAACCTTTGATCGAGGTGGTAAGGAAAATGTTCATGTGGCTAATAAATCAACCATGCGACAGCAGAACAGCATTTTTTTTATTTTTTTAAATTAACAATACCAACCATGTCCAACTACTAATTTCTTTCTTTTGTAGAGCATGTTTTTTTTCAAAGAAAATTAAAAACCTTAGTTTTAAAAAAAAAAAATAGAAGAGATCTGATCGCTTGCGAGGGTTTTCTTGTCTGGTTGGTCAAATCATATCTGCTACCAAGACTAAAAGAGCCTTCTGCTACCTTAAAACTACTGTCTCTCCGATCTAGCTTACACATTTAGATCATAGATATTGGTCTTACACTCCTTAAAGATTACTTTGTTAAAAGGGTGTAAGAAAGTTCAATGGAAAAAACTATAACCCCCATTTGGAAATTTTGAAGTTTTTATATTGTCTGTTTCAGAAAACTTTAAGAAACCCACTTTAGGAAACTCTGATTTGTTAAATGGGTTCCCATTGTTTTCAACGCATCAAAATTTTAGAAGATTCATCGTTGTTCTTGGAATCTCAATCAATTCCCTGGTGTTCTGTTGATGGAATGTTCATGTCCTAAAAACTGCGTTGACCGGGATCATTGTTGATTTTAGGTAGAGCTATGGTGGAGGAAGGGAATGTTGAAGCCTGTAAGGAGGCTGTGGAGGAGGATAGTGAGCCCAAAGGATTGTGTTACTGTTTCTGGGGTCCAATTTATTGGTTTAGGATGCTTGCAATGGAAACGCATTGGAGTTTTGTATTTGCAGTTGTATCCGTTTATGGGATAAGCCAGGGTTTGGGTGGAGCTCTTGCCCGCGTTGGCACCGAGTATTACATGAAGGATGTACAAAAGGTACAGCCTTCTGAGTCTCAGGTTTACTCCGGGATTACTTCCATTCCTTGGCTTGTCAAGCCTATTTGGGGGCTTCTCACAGATGTTGTCCCAATTTTGGGTTACAGAAGACGGCCCTATTTCATTCTATCTGGTAAATTATCCGTTCAACCTTTTTCTTTACCTATTTATATGTATTGCCATCAATGAAATCTCATTCATATTGTTCCCTTTCTGTCTTTCCAGCGGAATTAGAAGCTTGTCAGGTAAATTTTAGGTAATCTAGATCTTTGCTTTGTAAAATTGGAGCTTGTGTGATTATCAACTTGCTTCATCTGTGTTACAAAGGTTAATATAGCCATATCATAGTCTTTGCCACAATGATAGTAGATATTCTTTCATTTTTTTTAGTGGATATCTACAATCTCTGTGCATAATGATGATCCAATCTCCTCTTTAGTTACTTCTCACATTTCAGAAGTAAAAAGTTTAAACTTCACTGCATTTTTCTAGTTTGTCATTTTTACTAAAATATTATTCTCTCTGTGTCTTTTTATGCTTTCTGCTTATCTCTAAGTGGTCATTCTGTATTGAGAAATAGTGAACGTTTATAAAGCGTGAAAGATGGCATGTATACTACTGTTTGTGTTAATGCGGCAAGACTTCATTTTTGTTCTGAGTGATATAAATGCTTTCTACTTCGGGAATTAGGGAAAATAATGAAACAAAAATCGAATGTTATATGATTACATTATGAATAGTCTTCTCCTTCTGTTAAACCTTTTAAGTTAATTTCAGGTTTGCTTGGTTTGGTCTCCATGCTTTTAATATCATTGCACAGCAAGCTGCATCTGGTTTTTGCCCTGTTGGCATTGACAGCAGGAAGTGCTGGGGTAGCTATTGCAGATGTGACTGTTGATGCATGCGTAGCACAGAACAGCATTAGTCATCCTTCCCTTGCGGCTGATATGCAAAGCTTGTGTACTTTGATGTCTGCTATTGGAGCTCTAGTGGGATTCTCTATCAGTGGTGTTTTTGTTCACCTAATTGGCCCTAAGGTTGGCTCCAATTTAACTCTATTGTCAGTTTCGGCAATTATACTTTATTTTTCCATTCTTTCATTCAATAAGTTAACAGCTTCTTCGCTCTTCCTTGGCAGGGGGTCTTTGGATTGCTGACCATCCCGGCTGCCCTTGTTTTTTCAGTTGGGATTGTTCTTGCTGAGCCCCATGTGCCCAACTTTGCCTACAAAGAGGTATTCTTTGGCTCTTTTTGTTGAATCTTGGTTGATCTTACATTCATATTGTAAATTCTCCCCTTGCTCAGGTAAGCCAGAAGTTCCTTGATGCTGGCAAGGCTATGTGGACAACGTTGAAATACCCAGAGGTTTGGAGGCCTTGTTTATATATGTACTTATCCTTCGCAGTGAGCTTGAATATAAATGAGGGATTGTTCTATTGGTACACAGACTCGAAGGAGGGGCCCTCTTTCTCTCAGGTATGTGATTCTGCAGTCATGTCCTTCAATTCTTAAGACAACCAGCTGTTTATATTAATTCTTTTGGACTTTGCATTTGAGGAATAAATCATGACAAGTCCTTAAAAGAATACAAAGTTATCACACAAGAAATAAATCATGACTGTAGATTTTAAGTTGGAAGAGCGTTACATGCACTTTCTAATGTTTGATTTAAAGAAATGGGTTACACTGTAGTAAAACCTGTTTTTCCTCTTTCTTATGCAGGAGACTATTGGTTACATTTTCTCAATTGGTGCAGTGGGTGCCGTCTTGGGGGCAATACTCTACCAAAACATGCTGAAGGATCACCCTTTCCGGGACTTGCTTTTCTGGATTCAGTTATTTTTTGGTTTGGCAGGAATGCTAGATCTGATGTTGGTGCTGCGAATAAACTTGAAATTTGGGATACCAGATTATCTCTTTGTTGTGATTGGTGAAGCGGTAACTCAAATGATTGGACGACTCAAATGGATGCCCCTTCTTGTACTGAGTGCCAAGCTTTGTCCTTCAGGTATTGAAGGCACCTTCTTCGCCTTGCTCATGTCAATTGATAATGTTGGGCTTCTCTCATCTTCGTGGGGAGGAGGCTTGTTACTTCACTTGTTGAATGTTACTCGGACAAAGTTTCAAAATCTCTGGCTGGCGATATTGATCCGAAACATATTGAGGCTGTCTCCGCTCTGTATCCTGTTCCTGGTACCCAGAGGTGATCCCAATTCTTCCATTCTTCCAACTGAAATGTTGGGTACCAAAGATGAGACTGAAGCTGAAGAAGACAAGAACATTGAATTGGTCTCACTTGTCAACAGCGTTGATGGTAGATAACTTATACAAGAATCAAAGGTGCTAATTTCTCCTACTACTGTAACTACACATACATCTGGAAGGGAAAATCAACTCAGTTAAAATCAATGGATGTCGATAAGAATTTCTACGAGAAAGGCTTGTATCATCAATTCTTACACGTCATTTGTTTCCTATACGAATTTTCTTGCCGAATCAAGTTAGATACTACGCTTTAATGAAGGAAATTATTTCATTGTTGCACTTGTTTAACTCTTAAAACTAGCCATGTACGTCAAAGGTGGGTGGATTTTGCTGTGATCTTTTGACTCTGTTGAAATTTGATGATTTCATGTATCTACAAGTAGATCTAATTATTTATATAATATGTAAAATATTAAAATTTATATATTTTTATTGTGTTTTATATGAAAATTACGTATTATAATTCGTGTAGATATGATAATATAAAAATATATTTTTGATTTTATTAAATTTATATATAATTATTATTAAAATTTTAAATTGTATCATTATTATAGTTTATTTTTTTATTGTATCATATCACTCTATCATATTTTAAATTATCAGGAGTAACTACGAGCATTAAACTTTTTTTTTTCTTTAATAAAAAGTGGAAACTAAAGGTAATCTGAAAAAAAAAAAAAAACCGAAATTCTTGGGCTATATCGCATTACGATGTCCTTCTTGATTGAGTATCGGGCTTTGGGTTTGCCTGGATTATCCTGCTCCTTTAATAATTGGGCTTTATTTGGGCTAAATGGCCTTTTAGTTGATTGGGTGCAGATAATTCACGGGCCAACCAGCGTTCTTTGTTATAAATAAACGGATCTGGCTAACGAGCCCATCATTCAATAAACAAACTCAAGAACTATGGGCCAACGGGTTTTTTGAGTACCCAAGGGGGTCCAATTGCAGTCAGTAGAAATAAGATAACGGATGGGATTTACGTTTATCATCTTCCTTTATTAATTGGGCTTAATTTGGGCCCTTATGGGCTTATGGCTGATTAGGCCCATAGAATTTCTTCTGCCAGGCGAGCATTCTCTGTTATAAAATAAACGGATCCGGCTAACGGGAACTGGCATTTATCAACAAACGCAAGAACTATGGGCCAACGGGTCTCTTAGTGGACCAAAGGGGGCCAATTGCAGCCATTAGAAATAAGAAAACGACAAAAAAAAAGAAAAAGGAAAAAGTGAACGACGGGTATTGGTTGGTCATGGTTGGGTGTGTAACCAAACAAGAACAGAACGGGAGAAAGATTAGAGCTTATTCCGGATTTAGGTTAACTCTTCACCGTCTCACTATCACCATCTCTGGTTTTCTTACGCGCCAAACTCTGCAATTCTCCATCCCTCTCTCTCTACTTTTCAGGGTAGATAAAACTTCTTTGACCTTCTTAACCTTTCTATATATATATATTTGTTATATTTTCCTGGGTTTCATTTTTTTTTAATTAAAGGGGTTTCTTTTTGAATATTTGGGATTATATGTTCTGTTATGTGTTTCAAAGGATTGAACTTTTAAAACCCATTTTGAATTTTTTGATTCTGAAACTAAATTCCCAGTCTTTTCTATGGTTGGGGATGTTGATTCATAGAAACTGAATGCTTGTCCACTTCTGTTTCAAAGTGCAATAGTAGTGTATAAGTTTTCCTTTTTGTTGCTTGAAAATACAGAGAGATGGGTAGCCAAATCCCTGCAAGTAATGATCGTACGAGGACATATTGGACACCTATAATGGAGCGCTATTTTATTGATCTTATGCTGGAGCAGATGCATAGAGGGAATAGGATTGGGCATACATTCAGCAAACAGGCCTGGACAGACATGCTTACCGTGTTCAATGCAAAGTTTGGATCTCAGTATGACAAAGATGTCTTAAAAAGTCGTTACACAAACTTATGGAAGCAATTCAACGATGTGAAGAATCTTCTTGGTCAGAGTGGGTTTTCTTGGGATGAATCTCGACAAATGGTGGTAGCTGATGATTATGTCTGGAATGCCTACATCAAGGTCCATCCCCATAGCTATTCAGTTATATATATCAGATAATTGTCCATATTCATTATAGTAAAATGTTGTATGATACATGCAGGCTCACCCGGACGCTCGATCCTACAAGACAAAGGCAGTACTGAATTTCAATGATTTGTGCTTGATATATGGGTATACAACTGCAGACGGAAGATATAGTCGATCTAGTCATGATGTGGACTTTGATGATGAAGTCCAAGGATTAAATATGGGTGTGTATCAGTTTTATAGCATAAACCTTGACTCTGCTTGTGGCTATTGCTTCAACTGAAAAGCATGTGATTCATAGTGTAGCCTTTTTTTTTTCTGGTTATGTTGGCTAATGCTTTCTATTAATAAGAAAGAAGAATGAGGAGAGAAAACTAACAACAAAGTAGTGAGTTCAATCTACTGTGCTGTTTGACTGGATAAGAAGTAGAAGGAACTCAGTGCTTGAAGTTGGGCAAAAGAGTTCCTAGACCATTTGTGAAGCAGTAAATGATCCCATATTACCTTTTGTCTAATCCAAATGTTCTGCAATTAACTATTGAGTCTTTCCACAAATCTGTAGTAGGTGACCAAGTTGCAATTTCTCATAAGCTAGGCCAAACTTATATGGTATTTTGGCAGTTTGTTTTCCTTTTTATTCTTCAAAAATCTCTTCTTAATACTTTAATGGTACAAATAATCTCTTTGTTTACAAAACTGTTTAACTATGGGAAAAAGGATTCTGAATCTGTAATTTGACTGCTTCTTCATTTTGTATTTTTTTATATGAATGGATTATATGCTAATGTAAGAAAAATGCTTTCACTTACGTGTTCCCCAATTTTTAGGTGATGCGATGGGTAGCTTCCCCTCAATGAGTAATGAGCATTCACGAACTGAATGGAATGCAGAAATGGACCAATTTTTTATTGAGCTTATGCTTGACCAAGTAGGAAGAGGCAATAAGGTTGATAATACATTCAACAAACAGGCATGGACAGACATGCTTGCTTCATTTAATGCTAAATTCGGTCCTCAACATGGCAAGAGGGTTTTAAGACATAGATACAAGAAACTGTGGAAGTACTACAGTGATGTGACAGTTATTCTGAAACAGAATGGCTTTTCCTGGGATGAAACACAGCTAATGATCATGGCTGATAATGATGTTTGGGAGTCTTATATTAAGGTATGGGTTTCTGAAGATGTTTTCATTAATCTCACTAGCACGTTACCTTTATACATATAATATGTTAATAGTAATTGACAATTAAATGTAGGCACATCCTCATGCACGAACATATAGAATGAAAACCCTTCCAAACTACAACGATTTGGTCCTAATATATGGTGAAGCAGTTGATGAAGGAAGTCTTAATAATTTGCCCCAGGAATATGACATCTCTGGAACAACGGCTGGTGAGTATGAGCTTTCTAACAGTAAATTAAATTCACAATGATTCTAATGTTTGCAATGTATTATACATAATGACATCTAGTGTCTGCTAGGGGAGTGATAATGTGTCAATTGGAGATAAGGAAGCTCATCAACTGATTATTTGTGTTGTTTTCAATTCAGTTTATTTTTTAGTATGAACCATGCTAAGTTTAGGGATCAACTATGAAAATCTGAGTTGCAGTGTTCATCTCAAACATGAATCAATTTTCACATCTTCCTTTTTCTGACCTACCAGATTAGAAACTAAAGTTATGAAATTAATGGTACAATGCATTTAGATAAATGTTTCATGTGATTGCCAGTACAGTTCTTACATGAGATCTAAAGGTTATTTGATGAATGAACTTTTTCTCCTTTTTTTTTTTGTTCTTTTGGTCTGAGTTTTCTTCCGAAGTTAGATCTTTTAATCTACAGGTGACGGGAAGGGAAGTGTGACTCCTAGTAGTGATCGTACAAGAACATTTTGGACGCCACCAATGGATCGATATCTCATTGACTTGTTGCTAGACCAGGTCCATAGAGGGAATAAACTTGGACAGACATTCATAACACGGGCTTGGATTGACATGGTTACATCGTTCAATGTCAAATTTGGATCTCACTATGATAAAGATGTTCTCAAGAATCGATACAAACATTTAAGGAGACTGTACAACGACATAAAGATTCTTCTCGAGCAAAGTGGGTTCTCGTGGGATGAAGCAAGGGATATGGTAACAGCTGAAGATAGTGTTTGGGATGCTTATATCAAGGTGATTTCTTTTCCTTTATTGTTGATGATAGTGTATTAGTTCTGTTGCTTACCTGAAATACATGCAGTCACATCCAGATGCTCGATCATACAGAGTTAAAACTGTGCCAAGCTATCACAAATTGCGAGTAATATTTGGACAAGAAATTTATGATAGAAGATACAACAGATTGGCTCAAAATGTAGGGACTGATGGCGATGTAACTGTTTCAATGACCTGTTGTGGTACGTATCATCTGTTATCTGGTTTTGTTTTTTATTTGTTGGTTAGCTTTTTCATTTTTCTAAAACTAGGATTTAGCATATTTCCTAAAAGATAGAAAGCCCAATATACTTTCCAAGATGATAGAGAAGGGAATGCTATAAGAATTGTTTTAATTTTTTATTCAAGCATTGATGCATCTTTTGTATATCCATGATCTCTTAACATACAGGTAATGAAAAAAATGATCATTTTCCTGGCAGTATTCATCATCTTGGACTTGAATGGACAGCCCCAATGGACCGGTTTTTTATTGACCTTATGTTAGAACAGGTTTGTGAAGGGAATAAGATAGATCAGGCATTCAATGAACAGGCATGGGTTCATATGGTTGAATCATTCAATGAAAAATTTGGGCTTCAATTGGACAAGAACATATTAGAAAATCAGTACATCTGCTTGATGAAACAATATGATGACATTAGTGATCTTCTCAATCATAGTGGATTTGTTTGGGATGAAGCTAAGCAAATGGTTGTGGCAAGCGATGATGTTTGGGAAGTTTACATTAAGGTGTGTTAATTACTCATTTGGTTTATCATTTAAGCCATCACTCTCGTATTGATTTTACAATCATGGCATAACATCATGTGGTTGGAAGATACCCATGTACTATTCTCTTTTCCTCTGCATACCTCTTTTAACAATTTATATTCTTCTATTCCTTTTTAGTATTGTCAATAGCATGTTGTTTACACTTAAGTTTTTACAGGAACACCCGGTTGCAGTGTCTTATAGGGATAAATTCTTGGGCATTTATAGTGATTTGTGCAAGATATTTGAAGATAAAGTATTAGATGCAACATCCAATGGTCAGGTTCTAGGTGTGGAAACTGACCATGGTGCCCCAAAAGTTATATTGGACAGAGCATGTGGAAACCTACAAACTCCTGGTGGGGACATTCATTTATCTGATCAACAAAGAAAGCGATCAACTGCAACACTAGACTTAGGACCGGCAAGCAAAGCACAAAAAACGGACCAGGAGATGCAGCAGATGCTTTCCAAGATGGCTGGTGTAGTCACAAGATTAGCAAGTCAGAAAGGAAATAAGAACAATTCAACAATAGAGAGTGCAGTTGATGCACTTCAAGCTCTTCCGGACATAGATGATGAGCTTCTGTTGGATGCTTGTGATCTATTGGAAGATGAGAGAAAAGCAAAAACTTTTTTGGCATTGGATGTTACATTGCGAAAGAAGTGGCTGCTTAGAAAACTTCGCTCATAGCAGCAGCCCTTTCGATGTTTCAATTCTTAGAATATTGATACTTCCTTTTCCTTTCCTCGATGGGTAGAGTATCTATTCCAAGTTCTGCTAGTAGCTTGAGTTCTTGGCTATGTCTCATATGCATGGAGGCAAGGTTTTCTGAACCTGGTCCCACAATTTTGTAGCATATACATGTAATGAAAACATGCAGCATTATAAGATATCCCCCTCAAAACTAGTAGTATCATTCTTTTATAGACATACAATAATCTAATGTCGCCAAGGATTCTTTTCCTTTTGCCTTTTTTCTCTAATGATTTTGAAATTGAGCGAAGTGTTGCTTTGGAAGATTTCTAATTTTCTTCGAGGAAAGACAAATCCGAGAAAGAGAAAGGCATTGGGGACTAGCTTGAGGGTCTAAAGACAGTAAATATTGTAGGTAATTATCTTGATTTTGCAAAATGCAAAATATCAAAGATATCAAAGAGAGCCATGAAAGTTTTAAAGCAAGGGAATTAAAAATACATTTTACTACAATATGGTTCAACGAGAACCAGATTTCCACTCATGGGGCGTCACAGATGGAATTTTTGCATTTTACCATTGTTTGAAACCAATTTTCTCTGAAGCCTCCAATACAAACCAAGTCATCTACTCGTCTCAAACCCATTTTACCCAGATCACAAACCAACTGGGTCAAGATTAGTCCATTAGCTTACCCAACTAACGCTGAAACAAAGCGTACATAAGGTATGCCACAAACTTAAAATCTCATTTTATTCGCCTTTCTCCTATCCCTCTCTCTCTCTCTGCCTCTATCCCTGTCATGGTCATTCCTTTCCCTGCTTCCACTCTTTTCACGACGGTCTCGCTCCCTATCTCTCCCCCTTTCACTTTCCAGATCATGAGACCTATCTCTATCCCTGTGCCTTTCAGGGTCCTTTTCTGAACCATTTTCTCCAGCCCTTTCTCTGTTTGATGATTTCCGTGGAGGGCTCTCACTTTGACTTTGACTGCGATGCCGCTTTCTTGAAGAGTCACGCATATCATCCTGCCTATCTCTCCTCTCCAAGGATATTCTTTCTGCAATTTCAATAATGTATAAACTAATATCAGGATATACTTTCAACTTTGATAGGTACATAATTATAAGGCTTTCAAAGTATCAATATTGTCATATGGCAAAATGACTTACTTCTTCCCGAAATATTTTCACTTGAATCAGATAAACCATATTCAGATTCTAGCCGTTTCCGATGAATTGCAACCCTTCTCTCAATATCCTCAGCATTTTTATTTCCCCGCTCCTCAAGGGATTCTCGATATTCTATCAAAGCAACCTCCAGACGTCTCAACTTTTGCCTATGGTATTATAAGCATAGTGAAGCAATATTAAATTAATGATCGCATGAGCAAATGCTACTGCACAGAATTGATAAGAACATTTTGGCTTGTTTTGTGTGGCCTTAAGAAATGAGAATTCATCATTATAAAAGTACCATACCTCTGCTCTTCATTCATTGCACTTTCAGATGGAGCTGGAATGTTTACATCAGTTCCAAACTCCAATTCATCAACCTTACTAGGACCATCACCAGCATTCTCACTTCCAGAAGACGAGTAGCTCAACCCCAGACCCTGAGTGCTTCTCTTTTCTTCATCATCACTGTCATCATCCTCTCTAGCCCATTTAGAGGCTGGCCAAACAGGATCGATTTTATCTTTCTTTGTGAATACGTTTTGCTCAGGGTGGGAGATTGGAAGTGTTTCAGCCTGAGGAACAGACCCTTTGCGTTTTGAATGGATCTCATCCTCTACATATTGAGTCCATCCAGACAATTCCATAGGCTCTGGTTCAGCATTTGCATCTCTCTGACCACTAGGAAACCTACTAGAACTTGACTGAAGCTTCAACTCATCATCTAGTTCATAACTCCTCTGCTTTTCTGCATCTTCCAGACTTAATAGCCGTGCAACCATTATCTCTCTACCACCAACAAGAGACAATCCATTATGTCTACAACGTCTTTCCACCTCAGCAAGTGGGAGATCCATTAGCTCCTTCATAGCAGCACCTTTGCCCATTGCCAAAGCAGCATCTTGATTGGCCTTAATCCCATCAACTACATCTTCTGAGCTAGTCTTCTTTTCAATTTCTGGTGCATCACCACAAATAGAATGGAATGGGGCCACACCAGAGTTTCCTGATCGAAGAAAAGTGGCTCGCAGTCCATTCACATATGCATCTGAAAAAAGAAACCAGTCTGACCATACTTGCAACACTTTCAGAACCCGTTCCTGCAGGAACCAAGAAAGATCACCTTTAAACCCAAAAACCAAAGATAATAAACATACACATAGCCACAAGCCAGTTCATTTTGCAGCTACCAGCAAAACAAACATAATAGGTTTCAGGATAAAAGGTTAACATTATACCTACCTTAAGGGCCTCAGCGGTGATCCTTCCTGTTACACTGCGGTACAAATCATTAAAGCTCTCCATTATATCAGGCAATGCTGCTTCAAATTTGGTACGATATGCAGATGCATTTTTAACAGGAGCACTGCTATTATGAAGAATGTCAGAGACGAGCATGAGCCTTGCAACTTTAGTTGGAATAGGTGTCTCTTTAAGTGTCAAAGACTCAGTCAACACTTCAATTATCTGCAGGGCAAAAAAAGGGGGGGGGGGGGATCATGCATCAAATTTATGTTCTCATAATATTGTTTAAGGTTCAGACTGTGGAATGCAACTTAAGGATATGGAGGATTTTGCAAGTAATCACATGTCGGTACTAGACTTTGAATGTTGTTCCTCTCCCTTGTAAATTTTCTTTTGTTTCTACAATCTAGACTCTTTTTTAACTTTAAAGACAACAATAAAAACATTAAAAAGTTGCAATCCTCAAGAGAGGCCCAGCCTAGTATGAGAGTAGAAGACAAAACTGATAGAACATAAAATTCACTACAGCATGCCGTAGATATAAGCGATACCTCTCCAGCAGCATCAGCATTATCCAAAGCAAAGCCCATAGCTTCCTTTATCTGACTCCTCTCCAATGTCAATGCCCGTAGCATGTCCTCAAATTCGTCCCTTTGTGGATCAGTAAGTGTTCGTTCAGGCTCCACCCGCTGTAAAAATCAATACAATAAAGGATCATTAATTTACTCAAATCACAAAAGAATCCCACAATCAGGAACAAAACATGTTCATCTCTGGAATACCCTGCTTCTTCCTGCAGCGTATGTGGCAGTGGAGTCCTTTTCATGGTCTGGACTTTTTGTAGTTGGCAAAGGAGGTGGTACCCATCTAGAAAAAGAACAAAAAACTATCCATCACCAATATGGTCTAACACAACTTGCGAAAAGAACTTCATTAGAAGTAAAATGTTGGAACATCATTACCTTCCACTACCAGTTATCATGATAAAAGGCTCTGTCCGCCACCTTTGAAGAGTATCACCCTGCAATTCCACAAACATTGAAGCTCTTCAATAATTATTCCTTCTCACATAAATCAAAGCATGGTATTTTATGTTACAATATAACACCAAGGCCTAGGAAGATGCATTCAGATAGCTAAAACAATGGACCTGAGCAAAAGAATATACTCTCCAGACATAGTAAGTATGTTCCTTTGAGCCAAGCTCAAACAAAAAGCTGAATAGAGGATTGCCACGACCCTTCTCCATAATAGCTTGTTCAAAAGCGCATCCTCCATCAAGAACATAAAGAGCCATTGTATCTATCACAAAGCGGAGATGACCATCCTCAGGTGGAGAAACCATTATATCTGGAACATTTGGAGTAAGAACCTGGCATAAAGAAAATTATAAATGTAAATTCAGAATAGAGAAATTAAGAATTACCTCAGACAGGAAGATATATCAATAGTAAATAATTACCATTTTTTCAGAGAAACGAAATGAAGAAGATAATGCAGTTAAGTTACCAGTTCAGAATTCTGATTTGGAACAGATGTGACCGGTGGGCCTGAAGGACCAGATAAGATTATGGAACCACCCTGCAAGTCAGAAAATAAGTTTCAAAATTATAGCATAGACAAGCAAAAGGCAGTGGCTTTTCTGAACCGCCTACTCAAACCAAAGTTATATTACCAGATCCCAGCTCCAAGAGAGAAATTTGGTCTTAACATCTTTCATGCAGAAACATATATGCACTTTATTCAAGTGAGCTTAAATTCTTTGGCAAAAGAACATAACCAACCTCCTTACTCCTGATGGCCATGTGTCCAGGTGGGGGAGCAGGTAATGCTTGGGATGGAAGAGCAACAGATTTGCCCCACCCAATTTTCAACTCATATTCATATACAACAACTCCTGTCAAACAAAACATATCTTCAAGTCATATATCAATTTAAATTAAAAAAACAGCTATATATCACAACAGTTAGCTTCCAATCAATCATAAATTACCAACAAAATCATAAAATGATAAAAACATAGAGCATTTTAACACTTACTAAAACTTGACACTTGGATGTCACAATTTACAAATGCTTCATATAGGATTTTACTAGTAGAAAAAATGGCATCAACAAATTAAAGCATTAAAGACAGCTCGAGAGTCCAGGACATCATGACGCATTCTCTCACAAGATGTATGACACACAATATCTACATAAAGGGTCTGGGACAATACCTTGCATTTCATCTTTTGCAGCTTGTCCATCAGCTCTATTCATGAAAGCCACAAAGCCACAATTTCTTTGCCGTCTACGCTCCTCCTCTGTCCTAGGCCACATAATCTTCACACTAGCAATAGGCCCAAATCTTCCAAAAGTCCGCAGAAGAAAATTTTCATCAACCTATATTAACAAGAACATTATGGTTAGAAGAAAAATTAGCACCTACCGTGTCACAAAGGGGAAAGGCAGCCTAGAGGCAGCAATCTAAAACCAACAGCAAACATACCTTGGGTGAGAGATTTCCAACATAGAGATTTGTAGTTTGAGGATCACCATCATCAAATGATCCAGGCAGTTTTCCACTAGGATCAAAATCATCAGGCAGTTCATCAAAGCGACTAGATGGCTGAGAAAGGAACAACCAAGGGGTAAGATTCATACATCTCTATGGCAAAGAAGCACAAAACAGATAACATGTCAAACAAGATAGAGATATGTTACATGAAAAAACAGAAAAACACTCAGATTATACATAAACCACCACTGTACATCTAAGTGCAAGAAACAAAGGAAGAAAAGGGAAAGATACATGAAATATTTATAAAATTAGACACTAATATTGAATAACAAATTGAATCCCACTGAAACACTTACAGCTGAACTGTCACTATGATGCCCATCACGCCAATGTTCACGGTCCTGATTTCTCCTCTCCCTCATCTCTTGTTCATGCTTCAGTTCCTCCATAAAATGATCAATGTTCCGAGACTTTCCCTTCTCTTTCTCCTTCAGCCTCTCCTCCTCCTACAAATGGCATTGTAAAAGTTTAGAACTAAACGTGAATATAACAAATTGGAAAACTCAATGGAGAATGATATAAATACAAACATGTGTCATAATTTCACTAACAGAATTCACCTTCTTCTCAGATTCCTTTCCCTTGGCTGCCAAAGGAGGTGGTATGAAAGATGGAACATACCTGCAGAAATAGTATGAAAGATAAACTTCCATTTTACAGAAAGATTTCTTTTCACAGTTCCGCCCATTCTTTAACAAAACTTCATTGCTTTTCCTCTTTAATGAACTTTAAAGAAGACCTTCTAGGGGAACCATTATTAAAACGTTTTATGTAAAATTGAAGCATACTAAACTGGCTCTTAGATTTCATTAGTGGACTCATTTTTAAGCAAGTTTTGTTGTTTGTATGTAAGCAACCGGGCATGCCGGAACAGCCTCCTTCAAGAAATCCAATTAAAAGCATTTTAATAAAATTTGGAAGCAGACAGATTAAAGTTTGGGTTATCCAAGTAAGATCTGAAATAAGCTTCATTCTGCTATGACCAGTTACTCATGACTTCAAATTTGCTAAAAAGCACTTTTAACCGCACAAATTGAAATTACTACAAAATCCTAAAAACTAATCTTTCTCAAATGTTATTAACACAGAATGCTATAATGACAGTTACATATTTTAAAAAAGGTAAACCAACATGCTAGAAAAAAATAGACAAGTTGCTTACTTCCCTTCAAAAGTCAAAATAACATGAGATAAGGTAATCTAACCAGCTTATAAACCCCACCAGTAAAGAAAATCATTCATGCAACTAACCCCAACTAGTTTGTGATAAATTTTAATTAAGGGCTGCCTTCCTGATCTGAAGTCAAGGACAAAACGTCCATTTATTTTCCATCTAACACAATGATTACTTTGACAGTAAATTTGATCTAAGGTTCTATATTTAGCACCTATCCAAGCCATAAAGTTTAAGCATAACAGCAGGGAGGACTGACTTGATGACATGATGGCATAATATGATATATGTCAATTGAAAAAGATTTGATGGCCAAAATTGCAGGATAACCATTCATTTCAATTGATCTTTAACAATTAAAAGGAATCACGTTCTAATACTTTTTCCTTGCTAACTCTAATTACACATCGCAGTTTGTCAACTGAAGTGAAACTTTCGAAGTTTCTTCTTCATTATGCCAGAGGTAGCCACAACGTATCATTAACTTCCCATACAGTTTTCATTTGAAATGCAGATTATGACTTAATAAGCTAAAAAAAGGTAACAATTCCACAATGGAGTCGCAATTATGAGTTTAAATTCAGAAGATGATAAATAACAAGTATTTCTTTTTCTAAACTAGAAAAGGACCCCAGCTACTTGAACCTTTTCTAATTTAATGGCATGCAAGTTGGAACAAACTGCCATATGGAAATTTTTCATGATATTATAAAAGCCTTTAAAATACAAGGCTAGAATGAGAATATGACTATCATCACCATGTAACTTTTCTATTTATGATGCCTCACCAAAAGAGCATTAGCATTGCAGCATGGTTAATCAAAAGCAATAATTTACCTACTTCCCTTCTTTGGAACAGACACCCCATCTTTGGACTTTTCACCTGCCATCCGCGAATGAATAAAAAAGGCCCATATTTTTATTAATGTGTCCTCATGATATAATAGAAAAATCATTCTACTAATCCATAGTGCAAAACAAAAACATTGACATTTAAAAACTGAGACAAATACATTAAAATTGATGCTGAAAACAAATGTTGAGCCTCTGAATCAGACTAACCTTCGGAATCAGACTTCAATTTCTCATTGGGATTGATTGTTCCACCTCGAACAAATGCTTTCGACCCAGGCGAATTATCTCCTTGAAAAGAAGCCACAAACTCCTCGTATAATCGAGCTGTTTCATCTTCCGCCCTCTGTAACGAAAAACAATAGCCAAAAATTAAAACTAATTATTTTAGCTAAAATGAGCAAATAAAGCTGAATTCAGAAGCTGGAAATCCGAACATAAAACCATATTAATTAAAGGTTTGAGCTTTGTAGGTAAAAGAACTCGTTGTACCTTCTTCTTGGCTTCTTCCTCTTCTCTGTGCTTCTGGAAAGGCGTTTTCTTGCGCGTGATTGAAAACGAACTCATCTTCAAATGAGTGAATCAAACATTCAAAACCCTAATCATTTAACCACATAATAAATAAATCAACTTAAACCCCCAAATTGATTCAGTCCCTAACATATGGTAAACCCTATCAAAGTAGACCTCCCCTCATTTATGGATAGAGAAGTAGGCGAGAAACCATACCTGACCAAATCGAAGGCTTTGTGCGATTTGAACTTAGAGGATCGATTGTTAGGCTCCGGTCACAGAGAAACGTAGCCAAAATAGGGGGCAATTAAAAAAAGAAAAACAGATAAAATAGCGCTCTTTAGTATAGTGATTTATTTCCTTCCATTAAAAGAATTTGATTTTCATATATAAATAAGTTTTGAGCTGTCGACGTTCAGAGGGCAAGCTAGTTGCAAGGTAAATGACGATATTAGAACGCAAGTGCTTAAACGTCGTCGTTTGGCAACCGTTTAAAACCCTAATGAGTAATTACAAGGTTAATGAATAATACTATTTTGCCTTGTGTCGGTAGACATTGGATTCTGTTAATGAGGGAGCAATGGAAAAGTGAAACTTCAATATCATTTCATGAGAATTCAACGAACTTTATTTATACTATTTTTTATTACATTAGAAACTTAATTTAATGAAACCAAAGAAAAACGATTTGTGGTTACCATCAAGCCTTTGTTACCAATTAAAATTATTACTTCACAGGACAAACATCAATTTTGTTTTTTTCACTTACAGCGTTCGAGCGAAACAGAGAACACACAAAAAGCACGGTAACCCCTGCTAGAAAATATGTAACTACGGTACTTTTTTTATCAACATTCAAGATCATGATACCAAACATGTAAAACAATTATAATTAGAATTGCCATACCAGAAATTGCAGTTCCATAAACAAACCCTAAAAATCATCCAAATACTCGGTTAGATGTGATACCGGCGAGTTCACTTAGGCCATCACATATCAACCAAGCGACCAAATGTTATATGATTATACAGGGTCAAGCTTCCTAGACAAAAGTAATATTTTTGCTTAGAGTACAACATTTGCCACACAACACCTTTGCTATTCATCCGAAACTCTGGACAACGCTGCAATGGTTCTCAAAAATATGCGTATAGTGAGGGAAACAAGAGCATAATAATCAGATGAGGGTTTCTGCACTTGGTACACATTTCTCGTTCTATTAAATTCAATTTCAGTGAAGAAGATTTAATGTGCCAACTTCTTAAGGTGCTGAAATACTTTCTGTTTAATCCATTGCCTGTCATAAGGCAAAAAAGCTTGAATAGTGTGATCATAGCTGCAAGCAAGAAACAAAAAATAACATCAGTTATCCCACCAAACCAAAGGAATAATAACATGGATGCATGCAACAAACCTTGGGTAAACGGACTTTGCAAAACTATTGGTTGGAAACCTTTAAGCTTCCAGTAGGACACATGGGAAACACACGGTTCCACCTATTCAAACTGTCCAGACCAGCACAACCCAACAACCCAGTGCAAGATGTTGTCTCTCATATATGTAAAACCACATTCATCTTTTAATGCATGATGATTGGGGCATTCACAGTATCCAAGCAATACATAGACTGCCCATCAGCCAGACATATCCTAGAGTCTTGGATAGTCTGACAGCATATCTATTGTTATAAGTTGGACAAAACTCATTTTTCAGCAGAAAAAGATATCTTCCCTGGTGACTCATAGACTCAAAACACACACTTATTCCTTAGGTTCAGGTTTCACATGACAAATTCATGCCTTTGATAGACAGTTGTTAGGACACTTGATGGGCACATGCTCAGTAGAACATGCAATATAACATACAATATATGAGAATGACCAAAGAAAAAAGATGGAGGAAGAGAGAGAGACATACACAAGGGCGCTCATATCTGCAAGGCCATCAATAAAATTGTAAAGATCAGCAATGTCATACGTGATGTTTCGTGTTGCTGGATTTATTTCCTTGAGTTTCCTTTCATATAGTCCACATATACCTGCACATGGCAAATAGCATAAACCGTTAAATTCATCAAATCTTTTAAACGATGGAAAGGAAAAAGAGAGCAGATTCCTCTGGAGAATCATGTTGGAACCACTCTGAGTCATTCAACCAAATCATTCTCTTAAGGCAACTCAAAATTTAAATAATTTTGAACATACATCCCAGAGGAAAGAGAAACATAAGTACAATCAAATCTAAGAATCATTTTAAACTCCAAAAAGGCAAAGTCTATCGTGAAGTAGAAGCTTTTTCAAAGAACACTAATGTAGTAGAAACTTAAGATTTCATTTCAATTCAGATTAGAGTTCCTATAGGGGAACAATGAAGAATGCCCTTTATAAAATGTACCCTACCATAAAGCTCAATTTTGATTGTTTGTTTTCCAGTTCTAAACCCTATTGTAACAACAAACCATCATGACAACACTTGCTATCTTTTAGGCCATAAAATTAACAGCTACTCATAATAATCACTGTCAAAAAAAAATATTTAAGATGACAAAAAAAAAAAACAATCTAAGAGAAAATTAAAAAAAAAATACCATCCATAGCTTGACTTATGGAATCATAATCCATAAATGTTCTCGTTGCTCTGTTCTGCGAAGTTTGCATCAAAACAATGGTGTGCTTGTTTGCCTAAATTCGCACACAAAAATAGAAAAAGGGTGATTAAAAAACACCATTGACCATATTAATCCAATAAAAACTACTATTACTATTAGAATACGTTTGAGCGTCATGAACACGCCACAAAGAATCAATCAATCAACAATTAATATCTACAAAAAGAACTCTTAAATCGTGTAATAATAAGAAGAAAATAACTATGATTTGCCCAGTTAAAGAACTATGTCCCCGTAGTTTTGTATTAAAAAGAAACTTTTGACGAAACCCTAGTTTTGAGATAGAAAAAAAGAGATTTTTACAAGCAAAATAAGTAGAAATGGAGAAAAAGAAGAGGAGAAAGAGAGGAATTACCATGTGCTTTGATGTTGGAGTGGAACTGAAAGAGGTATGTCAAGAGAATCTGCGGCCGACGTTAAAGTAATGAAGGAAGTCCCGAAAACGAAGTGATTAGATTATGAAATCATTTTTAAAAATACATTTTACTATTTAACAGTAATAAATAACATTAATCTTGATTTTTTTTCATTAGGAAAAGCACTTGATTCCTTTCTATTTCATTGGTCAACCTTGTTGACTTTTCCGCTCTCTTTTTTTTTTCTATATATATATATCCAATATGCTCAAAATAATTGTTTTTTTTAATCAAATTAATTTTTAATAAAATAAGAAATTAAATTTTTTTAAAAAATTTAGTACACAATTTTAAACAAATAAAAATTGAAGTTACGTTTGTTCAAAAAATTCAAACAGAGGGTGTATATATTAGTAACTAAAGTGTATATATATATATATATATATATATATATAGAGAGAGAGAGAGAGAGAGAGTAGTAATAAGCGGTTGGATATATGAGGCCGTTGAATTTTCCATTATTTTATTTTTCAGTATTGCAACAAAAAGATGGAAATTAAAGAATTAGTCTGGGAAGCCATGGAAACTTGAGCAGTGGACTCTGGAGAAGGGAATTTTAAAATTCTTGACTTATGAGCATGATGCAATCGACAGTTGATAATGGTTTTCCTATAATTTATAAATATATAAAAGAACAACAACTAGACTTCATCCTTGGTCATTCATAGGGACAAGCTCCAAGCCCTCATTATGGGAGGTTACAGCCGATGTTAAAATATCTGGCGGAATCAAAGCATCTGACTGGTCAGCTTTGGGGACAAGAAAAATCAAACCTAGAGTCGCAATTCTCATAATGTTTCTAATGAGAATAACCATCCACAGGTTTGTAAAATCTGTCCTGGATACATCAAATATATGAAGAACAACTCCTCCACCCCATTTGGAGGTCAGGGAACCAAGGCTATCGATGCACATTAACAGTGCAAAAAATGTGCCTTCAATGCCTAGAGGGCAAAGCCTTGTGCTTAATACAATCATGGGAATCCACCTTATTCTGCTTATAATTCTTGAGACACATTCTTCCATGATAACAAAGAAGTAATCTGGAATTCCAAGGACTAAATTCCATCTAAGGATGAAGATCAGATCCAGCATTCCGGATGTGCCATAAAGGAGTTGGGCAAAAAAGAGTAGGTTTCTGAATGGGATGTCTTTTAGTGTCTTGTGATAGATCAATACCCCTACCATTGAAGCCATTGCACCAATTGCATATATGACCCCGACAAATTCCTGCACTCAAGAAAGCATGAGATAAAGAAATGTGAAAGGGATATGGTAGTCGTTGAGTGTTCTAATTTTAACTGGGATAATGAGAAACCTGAGAAAATGCTGGTCCAGCCTTTGGATCAGTGTACCAGTAAAACTGCCCTTCATGAGTACTGATACTGAGAGCCAAAGAGAGGTACATGTATAGCGATGGCTTCCATACCTGAGGGAACTTGATTGTCTGATGCATGCCCCTTATGGCCACCCCTAAGGTTTCCATTGCCTGTATAAGCATCCACACAGCATAGATACATCAAGAATTGGAGACAAAATATTAGCATAGAGATGTTTTCTGGCTACAACAAGTATTCATTGCTTCTCAATCTGATGAAATGATGGATGGAATGTTCAGAGACAGAAATGTTAAAGTCTAATGGCTGGAATATGTGGTTGTAGATAGCCCTCCTCTCCTCATGATTAGATGTCAGTATAATTAAACATGAGATGCATGCAAATTAAAGAGACCAAAGAAGGCATATATTCTTCAACATAGAGAAATTGGTGTTTTGGCTATGGGATGGAAAGAGAGGGATCTTGATGTTGATATCTGAACTTTTTAAGAACTGCTAATTCCAGAATGGTAACATACTATGAATAGATTAAGTTAGACATTCATGTACAGATAATCTACCTAAAAAAAGAACTCGTCATTACATCTTCAAACATGATTATAAAAAGCCCTTGGATACAGTCTACCCTCTATTTTAAGGTAATAGGAGTGGTTAGCTTTTCAATAATCACTCCTCCTTATGCGTTGAAAACTACATAGAAAGCATAATCCCCAGAAACCTCCTAAACTTTACAGGATAACTGCGAGTTTCATAATCTAGGCCAACCTTTCTTTTCTGTCCTTTTGACCACCTGGGGATAAAATTTCCAGATCTTACATCTGCACTGAGATAATCCATTTGCTCCAGTCTATTAAAAATTACCAATTGCCATGATCTAGATTGATTTGGCTGAATGTGTGCTAATTGGAAAACCAATAATTGTGTCTTCATTATTTTCAGAATCCAACAAGGTGGAGCCTCACGGGTCGAGACTTAAGCTTCGAACTCGCGCGGTTCCAGGATCCGGTCATTCACCCTTCCAGCATCTCAGATCAGCCTTTCGTCACGGTTCACATCCTTGTGAGTTATTGTCCGCTCTGATCTCCTCTGGCCTCACGATTTTGTCCTACAAAAGACACCTCACAAGACGGAGGTGGTATGAATCTTTATATACCCCAGTGACCCTCCTATTATGTTTGATGTGGGATTTAAGACTCTTCCTTAGATCCGTGACACGGGCAGTTTCATGGCGTGATTTAAAAGAAATGGCTCTAATGTTTTACCAAACTGCAACGACATAGTATTTGCAGGATAATTTATCTGAAAAAAAAAAAAAAAAATCTAACCTTCTGCTTCTCAGAGTGAAGGCCGGAAGATTTCCTTTCATAAATCACAAAGCCCAACAATATGATAAAAACTGGCGGGATAGCCAAAAGAACCAAAGCTCCCTGCAACAACCATATATGTTAAAAAAAAGGGACAGAGAACTTTGAAACCAAGCTAGGAGGTAATATAGAAGAGTTTTTACATGGTTATAACTTTGGTTTCACTAAAGACTATAATCAAATGTCAAAATGATTAGTGCTTGAAAATTTGAGAATTTAAGATGTTGAAAGCAAGCAAAAACTAACAATTTTTAAGGTCAAAAACCAGTTCTTCTGGCCATTTTCTCAATCTTCAGCCACATTTACTCAGTCCTAGATAGTAGCTTCTAAATTTTCAAATTGCTATGGTACGGATATCTACAAGTTGACAAAAAAAAAGGAAAAAAAAAAGAAAAAAGAGTTAACCTGAGCTCCGAGATGGTGAACAAAAAACCCACTGGTGGAGTAACCAATTAAAGCCCCCGCAGAGGAGCAAATTCCACAAAGGCTCTGCATATCTGGAGCCAATGATGGGACCTCAATACTGTTTCTTGCAATACACGCATCAATTGTAACATCTGCTATTGCCATGCCTGCTGCAACCCCTACCAAGCAACCCAGTGCCAAAGCAGCAGGCAAGTTACCAGTAAGAGCAACCATCAATGCAGAGGCACCCCCAAGAACACCAGCAACGACAAAGTATGGTCTTCTTCTATAGCCTTTTATAGGAAAAACATCAGTGAATAAACCCCAAACAGGTTTCATAATCCATGGAGCATAGTATAGGCCTATGTATACTTGAACCGCTGACGGCTGAACTTTTTGAACATCTTTCCAATAGTAGTCTGAGACTACTTTGAAGAAAGAGCCAGAGAAGCCTTGGCTGAGGCCATAGACGAGGACTATGCCAAAGATGAAAGTTGAATCTAGCTGGGAAGATAGCATTTGCAACCATTGAAAAGGCTCAAGAAAGACTGAGAAAAGACTGCATTTCTTGCAGATTTCTGCCGAATCAAAATTGCTCTTGTTTGAAATGCTGGCGGAATTTTGGGACGGCACAGATTCATCAACAAGTCCCTCTTTTTCGGAGGAATCCATTTTTAAAAAATTAAAGGAGCATGGATCTGCATATGGCACAACAGATTAGAGAACATGTGAACGTTTACTTTAGGATCTCATACATCTACGACCTACCCCAGTTATGCCATACGGGAATTATATTATTGTTCAATATGGCGCAAGACTCCAGGCATTCGCCATAGTTTACTAAAATGCTGCTATTATCTTTCCCTTGAAAAATTTTTATCCTTCTACACGGTCAGTCTCGGAGTAGTTACCTCACGGGTAACCTCTTTTTTAAGCACCAAAATCCGGCCTCCAAGTATAGTGGTACTATATATTTAGCAAAACAATATAATAGAATATTATATTAAAATAGTCAAGTTGGTTTAACTGAACTATCAAACACGTCAAGCTTTTTTGTTCTGTCTTTAACCAGATAAAAATGGGAAACAAGAAAAGTTATACAGCAAAAACGTTAAACCATAGACGACAAGCTTGTCCACTCCCTCCCATTAAAGGAGGCCAAGTGACCACTACCAAACCATCTGATCGGATTAGTTGCAAATTTAGCTGCACGGCAGCAAGGCACTTTCTAGTTAATAAAGTGAAAATTTCTGAAAATGATATTGGAGATAAAGTTGTTTGAGTATTTTTTATATCCACGTTTCAGAGAAACCCTTTCTGCAACTCTATTCCTGGAGGAAATTATGAGAACCAAATGAGAAGAGGTATCGGAAAAGGTGAGCAAAATAAAACAACTTTTGATAACTGTTAAGGAGAAATTTGAACAAATAATGCAAATTAAATGCATACCGTGTCTAACCATGGAAAAGAAAAAAAAAGTACATATTGATGTATCTAGCAGAAAATACCACTCCTTATTCCTTTCCTGACTGAGAAATTTACATGTATCTACTTATTTCTGTCACTAGCAGTTACTCTGGCTCAAGATTCATGCCGCTAGGAGCTTTTGAATGTCTTTCTGCACCACATCATGAGAAAAGTAAAATTGGTTAGTTGAATCCTGTCTAGATAAAAAAATAATAATAATACATGTTTCTTAAGGTGCGACTCAGGATCGGTGTAGTGCTTCCTTTAAAACAAAGGACCAGATATAAACAAATCAAGGATCCAATAACAACATAGAGTCATATGTTGTCAACTTGAGCCCACAACAATATGCACATATCTATTGTACTGAGTGTGAACAAGCGTCAATGTGTCAGCATAGGAAGTGCAAACAGGCAAGTCCAGAACAAACTATTTTCAATCCGAGGCCAAGCAATGAATAAAATCAATGCAGAAAAGCAACAAGTTCCCACCCACCAGATAACATAGTGCTATCACTCAACAGTGAGCTTACTACTGAATTTGTCATCCAATTCAGAATTTCAAAGGAATCGGTTTCCATGATCTTATAGCAGATTTTAGGTTTGATTGTAACACCAATTCTGATACCAGCCAAAGCTGGTAAGGCATTATTGTTCTCACCATTATATCAGACAAGAAAATTGCCTACAGCATTGGCATTCCAATGCCCCAGATGCAGTAACAGAATATGTTTTATATCAATCAAATATCCCAGCCACCAGTTTTTATCAACATATCTACCAAGGGATGGCTGGGAAGAGTCATTCATGTCAAACTGCAAAAAAATGATTGGGTCTAGTAAAAATGTTATAGTGTTAACATTGATGTTCCATTACAAGCCTTAGCATATACCACTATCTTAAAGCGTACTTATTATTATGTTATGAAAACGTTAGTGCTTCAATTGCTTTGAGATTAGCCTGATTGGTAAAGAGAAGAAGGATACAAACCTCAATTTGGAAAGGCGATGTTGTTGGTGGATACCTCTCCACAATTTTGCCCTTTTTGTCCACCAAGAACTTCTCAAAATTCCACTTGATCAGGTCACCAAAAGATCCACCTGCAGAGGACTTCAGAAATTGGTAAACAGGAGCTGTATTTGGTCCATTCACATCAACCTGTTTCGTAAAACTTCCCTTTTAGTCCTTAAAATATAATCTATATCACAAATGCTATAGTCAATAGCAAAGCAGCTAGACACACCTTGTCAAATATTGGAAATTCTGCTTTAAACCTGGTACATGCAAATTGTTTAATCTCAGGATTTGATCCAGGTTCTTGTCCCCCAAACTGATTGCAAGGGAAAGCTAAAATCTCAAATCCTGTCATAGAGTTGCATGAACAGATCTTATTAAACATGATAACATTAATTAAAAAAAACAATTATACCGCACATAGAGTACCAAAAAAGCAATTATACACAAACAAAGAAAACTTGGCTCACCTTGAGTCTTGTATTTCTCATATATGTGGGAGAGCTCAGAGTAATTTGATGTCGTCAAACCACTAGGAATCAAAATGAAAATTCTTCAATTAGATCCCAAGTAAAGGACAGAAAAAAAGACTAAAGGTGAGCAAGCATAGGAAATACTGTAGTTATCTTGAAAGGAAGGCAGTACCATTTTGAAGCAACATTGACAATCAAGAGAACTTTTCCCTTAAATTTGCTAAGAGAAACATCCTTCCCATCAATATCCTGCCCAAAAAGAGAGAGAGATCCATTAAAAAAAGTGAAAAGTATTATCAAGTTCCATTTCCATGATAAAATATTAAAAGTCAAAATCTTTTCCAAAAACTATGATAATATATTGAAGTCAAAATTCTGCTAAATTTAGCGACAATCTTGGAACTTTTGTTCAACATAAACTAAATTTTATTAACATTATGATCCATAAAACTAATTTCAGAAAGAAAAGGAAAGAGAGCTCTTCTCCAAGATTGTACCTTCACAGTATAGTCGTATAGAGTCTTCTCCTTAGCTGCTCTAGCATAAATCCCTGAAGATCTAGATTTGAAGACAAACCCAGAAGATCTAGATTTGAAGACAAACCCAGAAGCAGTAAGCGACTGTAAGGAGAACCCATGTTGCAAAAAGGCGGATTTTGAAGACCCAAGCGATGATTTGGTGGAAGGAATTGAGAAAGGCATGGAAGGCCACAAAGAAGACGAAACTGAGTTCTTTTTGGTTTGAGAAAAATCATGAGGAAAATGAAATGTTGCAGAGAAAGGCATGGAAGCCATAATTTTCTTCCTTTTTCTTTTGTATCTGTGTAACTGTCTAAAATGCGACTGCTGGTTATGTATAGTTATAGCAACAAAAGGATTAGACTGTTTATCCTGAAACTGTGAAGCCAATCCAATGTGACATTTGTCTGACAGGATTTTGTAGTGGAACTGCTCCTTTAGGCTGTTGTGTTTGTTTATGTCTTGTTCCACCCTCTGGTTTGTACTATTTTCTGTTTGTACGCTGTTAAGATGTTCTGTTGGGCACATTGGCGACTAAAATGCGATAAGAACAGCTAAAAGGCTCCCCAAAGCAAAGTATAGTGTAGTAACTAGTAAATGACATCTCAAAATTTAGAGGAGTTTTTTTTTTTTTTTTTTTAACAAGTATGGTAATGGTAATAAGAAAGTATTCAACTATAGAAAATAATTTTCCTACAAAATATGGCAGGGATGTGATTTAGTTAGCCACTTGAAATCATAAAAACCTGCATGGTTGGTTCGTTCTTTCGTTCGTGAAGCTTCAGCTGCTGACGAGTGGCTGAGTTTTGAGGAGCGTGGCTCCTGTTGGGTCAATAAAATTGTACTATTTCTATGACATATCCAAGTTCGAGGAAAAGAGCCCCATCCCCCCGAGAAACTTTGATGCATTCGGAAAGTCAAAACCATGACTTTACAATTCAACAAAATAATGATCAAATTTCCAAAAAAATACTTTAATATAAAAGTATAATCTTATATACGTTATAATACAAAAATATCAAACTGTCTTTGGATTGGTTGGACAAAATTATGGTCATAAAATTACAATTCCATATCAATTAACATAACAGACCAAACTACAGATAAGCTCGAGAAGCAAAAATTGAAGCATAAATGATCCAAGGCTCAAACGGTAGGTCATTGTAATATTTAGAAAAAAAAAAATCACGTAAGAAAATAAAAAGATATCCAAAATATTTTAATGAATTTTTGAAAGGATTAATGTAATTAATAGTTGTTAAATTATAATAAAATATTTAATTTGATATTTTAAAAGTTTAATATAATATCTAAAATATAAAATTTTTAATTAATGCAATATAACTGATAATTAATTTATTTTAAATAATATATGAATTAAATAATTCTTTAAATAATATATTAACTAATGATATCGTCTTCCAAGAAGTGCAGAACATGCTATAAAAACTACTATAAAGAAAATATAAAATATGAATGACTGGCTACATCAACAACAGCTGTTTGGTCCATCTTTCTTAAATAAATACCCGAAAGATTTGATATAACCAGTTGGCCGTCTCATTACTTTAATATCTACTTCTGCAGATTTTAGGTTCAATGTTATAGGATTTTGGTTGAATATTTTAATCCGGTGAGTCTTGATTTGGTCAGTGATCCGGTGATTCTTTCAGGCCTTCCTGTATTTAATATTCAGAAATAAGAGCTAAAGTTATGGTTGTAAAGCGTAAAATAATAACTTTACTCTCTTTTTAACCCAAAAAATTTAAATCCCCTAATGGAATTTAAAAAAAAAAAGTACTAAAAAAATGTTAAGGCTTAATTGAGATTTAGTACTACTGTAACTTTATTCTTCTTTTAGGGTAACAAAGGAACAGAACTTCCTTGTGCTTGTTTAAGAAAATAACATTGGTTTTCTTTTTAATAAATATTCTTAATGTGGTTATTGTGAATTAATAATTTGTGATTATAATTGAACTATGTCAAAACATTTCGTAATTTCCAGTAAACCAAATATGTGGGATCAGACAGGAAGATTGAACAAATAGTTTGAAGTTGAAAGCGGAGCCAACCCAAACTACCCAAGTCTAGGAGAGAGAAATGGAAAACTTGAAAATGGCCCCGAGAGTCCACCAATAGTCGGAAGCATAACACCCTTGATTTCAAAAGAATTGATCTTGATTGAAAAGAATCTAATTTATTGTCTCCCTCTCTTATCTCGTGTTCTTTGTTTTTCTTTTCTCTCTTTGTCTGTCCTTTTCTTGAATGTTTCTGCTTCTGTCACCCTAAATATCTTGTTTTCCATTTCAGATTCTGAGAAAATTCTCCTGGGTTTTTGTTAGTTTTTAGAAAGGACTCCATTTTTTATACTTTCAAGACATTTCCGGTTTCTACCACTCGCCCCTGTATCTTGTTCCTTTATAGATAATTTTTAGCTGGGCATGTAAGGACACTTAAAACTCTATAATAAACGTAATTTTTTTAACCTTTTTTTTTTCTCTTTTGAAGCTTGCCTTCTTTAATCGACATGTATCAAATTAGCAAAGCAGTGATCTTTAGTTGTTTTACCTTTAGTTTGATCTTAGCAAAGCAGTGATCTTTAGTTTATTGCCTCGTCTTAGCATTCAATTTAGGATCTGTCTTGTATGTTTCTACTTATTTGTCTTAGGAGTTTCTGTATTTCTCTGATTATTCTCTTGTCTGATTTCTGTCTTTCGTGTGCTTGACAATGTCTGAATTAATGATCGGTTCTCTAAAATATATATCAGCAACAAAGCTATTGGTTCTAATTTTTTTTTAGCTGCTAAACTCGGGGAGATGGAATAATCAACGCTTTGTTTTAAATACTTTTGAAGTTTAAAAACTGACTCAATATGATTGATTATGGATTGCAGACATAGATGGGTGTCTATCTCAGCACCCCCAAAACGGAGAAATTCTCAGAAGATGGCGAGAATGATAGGGTTAGGTATGGTGTATCATCCATGCAGGGATGGCGTGCAACTATGGAAGATGCTGTGAGTAACAAATGAAACCTTTAATTTTCAGTTGTTCTAATCATTTATTGCAGTCTACTATATTGAAACTATATTGTGGGGGGTGGAAGGCTATGTTTTAAGTTTCTAGCAATGAGTTATTCAGAGAAAGTTTTGGTAGATGGATTTAGTCTTTTATGAAACCCCTTCTAAATGGAATTTTGCGCCATTTTCTTTCCCCATTATCGCCTCAAAAACACAAGACATACATGTATTATAATCACTTTTAAAGTTCATTTATCGTTTACAGTTTATATATTATTCTACAAATAACTTCTTAAGTCATTGAAATTTGATTTCTCCAATTTACAAAAATCTCTACTTAGAACTGCAATCAGAGTGGACTCTATCCCCATTTTTTTATACATTTATCTCCTCTCTTTTTCTGTCCTTATAGTTTATATTTTTGTCAATTTGTAATTTGAGTCATTTTGCTGTCTGTCTTCCTTATGTTATAAATATTGTAGCAGTTAGCTTAAGTGTAGATAACTATCCTACAGGGGATGAATTGGATTGTCTCCAAATTCTTTCCCAAAAATAAATTGAAATAAGGATCAATTCAAGGCTAACATTAGCTTACATTATCTTATATTTCTTGCAAATTCCCATTTCTTTTTTCTATTATGGATATGTTCTAGTTACTTTTATTATTTGTTTTGTTAGCATGCTGCGTATCCTGATCTGGATGCTTCTACTTCATTCTTTGGTGTTTATGATGGTCACGGAGGTAAGACTTGCATGGTTCAGGTACCTGTTATGATTGTTTTCAGTTCCAAATACAGGTTTTCATTTGTTCTAGGCCTTCTGAACTTGAGTTTTTTGTTGCTTCCCATTTGATTACGAACCTTTTTCCTTTTATAACTTGAACCAACTGAAGGATCTTTGAGCCTTTTTGTTTTCAATTATTCTGATGAGACGTTTAGGGAATTCACTTTGGTGTCAGTGAATGCTTAGGAATTTTTAACTTTTCTCCTAAAAGGGTCCTCATAATTGCTTTTTGCAACTGTGCTTAATTTTGATACTAAGTGACTACTTCTCTAGATCAGGCTTGGAATAGCGTCGAGCTTTTTTAAAATATGATTAAGAGTCTTAGTGATGGTCTCTGTTTAGCTTTCTGCAACTTATACTATCTCATAACTTGCAGGCAAGGTAGTTGCAAAGTTCTGTGCCAAATATCTGCACCAGCAGGTTCTCAAGCATGAAGCATATGCAGCTGGGGACATAGGGACATCGGTTCAGAGAGCATTTTTCAGGTTGTTTAATTTGATTACTTGATTTAATATTCGTTCTTCAATGTTTTCATTGTTATGGGAGTCAACAATATAATTCTGGTGCCAGAATGATTTAGGGGATTCAGTGTTTAGTACCTAGAAGTAATGACCTATGTTGATCAATTCTTTGATACTTGAAGTGTGAGAGTGAATTTTCCTTTTGTTCCTCTTTTCTACTTCAAATCTTATATTTCATCAAGGTTATAAATCTTATAATTTTCTCTTCAGTATTTGTTATCTAATCAGATTTAAGGCTTTTTAATGGCTCCTTCTTGTAAAACACTTTCAACAAAGATCAAAATGCTTTTTAAGCTTTGAAAAGGTGGGAAAGGAAAATTTTATTACAAATGATAGTGCTTCCATAACCCATCTTACTTTCCCCTCCCTTTTGTGGCTTGAATGCATTTCCCCATTGTTCGTTTTGTGTGTTTCCAACATGATTTACATTTAGTGCAGAATGGATGAGATGATGCGTGGACAAAGAGGATGGAGGGAATTAGCCATTTTGGGGGATAAACTAAACAAGTTTACCGGCATGATAGAAGGATTAATATGGTCTCCTAGGAGTGGTGATGGGAATGACCATGTCGATGATTGGGCCTTTGAGGAGGTATTTATGAAAACAAAAAGAATATACCCATGTTATTGTCCATAACTAGAATGCTGAACAGAATTTTATTTTTGCCACAAACTACGATGGACACCAAGATTGAAGAAGAATAATAGAACTAGCATTGCTAAATGTTAACTCTTAGCTGAAGTGGTGTACCTATGTATTTTACAATGCCAGATGTTGGAGAATATATTTCTATCTTGAACTTAGTTTACACTTACCTTTTTGGGTTGGGGCAGGGATCATAATGTGCAATCTGGGATGGTTGTGATTGCATAATTATAAATCCATAATTTTCCTGCATTAATTTGTTTGTACAATTGAGGCATTTATTTTATTGCAGCAATTTGTATGTAAAAGTTGTGTTTTTTAAATTGGTAATCAGGGTCCTCATTCTGACTTTTCTGGACCAACTTCTGGGAGCACAGCCTGTGTTGCAATTGTGAAAAACAACCAACTTGTTGTAGCAAATGCTGGTGATTCTCGTTGCGTGATATCTAGAAATTGTCAGGTAATATTCTATTAGCGAGATGTAATTAGCTAGTTTCTTTTTGAATGGATACTAAAATAGAGATTATATTTGTTAATCAATTTCAATTATCTACCCGAGCATTTGGCTCAATGGGTGGTGCATGATCTCCCTGCTCTAATAGCAAAGGTCAAATTCCTCTTCTCTGAATAAAAAAAAAAATCAGTTATCTGTGGTTGCTCTGGCTATTGTACTTTGCACTATGGGCATTAAACATAAGTGTCATTCTAGGGAATATTCTTTTCTTTCTGAATACATGGTCTATATTATTTGTTCCTCTATGGCTTCTTTTTTGTAGGCATACAATCTCTCTAGAGATCACAAACCTGATCTTGGGGCAGAGAAAGCAAGGATTTTAAAAGCTGGTGGTTTTATACACGCAGGACGTGTCAATGGCAGTTTGAATCTTGCAAGAGCTATTGGTAATTTTCCTTCCTGCTTGATATCTAGAAACCAAAAAAAAAAAAAAAAAAGAACTAGTTGAACTTGCCACTTCAGTCCTTCGAATTTCCTCAAGAGAGAGACATGCCACTGGGTACAAAGAACTCTTACTTTCCTAGATCAAGTGAATAACATTTCTATACACCCACAGTCCTATGGCAAATGTATGAATCCATGCACATCTAACATTTTTATGCATCATTGGGGGAGAAATAGAGAGAGGGAGGTGGAGAGATGTAGTTTTAATCCTTTGATTCCTTTTCCTGCAGGTGACATGGAATTCAAGCAGAATAAATTTTTGCCTGCTGAAAAGCAAATTGTAACTGCTAATCCAGATATAAACACCGTAAGTATATTATCTGTCAGCAATGTGTCCAGCCCTAAAAATCTTTGGAGCTTGTGGTATCTAACTTCTATATCTTACTAATTTTCAATTAGGTTGAGCTCTGTGATGATGATGACTTTATTGTGCTGGCATGTGATGGAATCTGGTATATATCTAATGTCTTTTCCTTTTAGATTATGTTAGAATTAGAATTTAACATATCTCACTTCAAAATTTTATTTAGTTGCTTACTTATTACTCTTCATGGTTCACTCTAATGGTATCCAACTTGAATTTAGTATCTAATGCCTTTTCAATTTTGAATTTTATATTTCAGGGATTGCATATCAAGTCAGAAGCTAGTAGATTTTATTCATGAACAACTAAATTCAGTATGTGCATAAGCCTCTCTTAACTTTGATTGATATGTATGTTTGAATATTTGTTTAGGCAAATCTGCTAGGTCAATTGAGTTCAAGGTCATTCTATGCCTTTTTTTTTTAATGTTTGTGTACTTCGTATGAACTCTTGCATGCAACGCAGGAAATCAAACTTTCTGCTGTTTGTGAGAGAGTACTTGACAAGTGCTTAGCACCATCGACAGCCACTGGTGAGGGCTGCGACAATATGACCATGATCTTGGTGCAGTTCAAGAAACCAATCAAGTCAGCCTCAACTGCAGATCAATCCTCCCATAACAAATCAGTTGACACTGAATCAAAGCCAGAGGGAAGTCGAGAAAAGTAGCTGCATCTGTTGGTGGAGGTATCAGATCCTGTGGTTGAAGAAGATACGAGGACCCTTCATTTTCTCAAACATTGGGATATGCATTTGTACACGGCTTAGGGCAGGAAAGAGTTGACATGTTAAGAAAAAAATATGCTTTTTTTTTTAATTTTTTTATCATTAATGGGAGTGTTTTTCGGTCTGACGATACCACAATATGACAATTTAAGTAATAACATGTACGGTTGGTGACAATAAAATGTTTTTGGGTTAACGGGTCCGTGGAATTTCACACTTGTTTGTTTGTTTCTTCCTTTCCAAGAATTTTAGTTTCGTCTCCTTCCAAATGTTCTGAATTCAGATGAGAAATTGTTTGCAATTACAGTTGGTTGTAGTGCTGCTTGCTTCTCATAATGATAAACTCATCCGTGAAAGCCTATCTTACTTTGTTTGGGCATTTTCTCCCCTTCATTTCAGGTTCAGCAGCAGGAGCACAGGAATTTGAAAACCTTGTCTGACCAAAGATCAGCCACTCCTTAAGTCATCATTCTAGAATACACGTTTGTAATGCAAAACGTACTTCTCACAGGTTACCAGAAACTAGACTTTTAAAAATTAGACTCTTACATTTCAGGCTTTGCCAGTCAAATATGATACACCACATTGAAAGACTAAAAATTTGAAAGAGGATTTTTTATTCACTTTTGACAAATGACCAATCCACTATATTCATATATGCTAGACTGAGCAAATTTGCCCTGATTTACAGTTAACATTGAAGAAATAAGTGAAAGAGGCAATGATAGTAATACTCTGTTGAAATGCCAATCCAAAGTTTTTCAGGGGTACAGTTAACTCTTGTCCCCACCTCAGTTCACTGCTAAACTGTGTGTGAAAACATTACTTATTATTCATTAGACCTTCAAAGCCACCTGATCTTGCCATGAGATTTTCTTCTTCCCAACTCTTTTGCCATTAATCACACAGTTTTTGGGCTTCTTCTCCTTTCTCAACGGGGCCTGAACATCTACTTGACTTCTCCCACCCCGTTTCTCATGAACCTGCAATATCAAAATAGTCAATAATTCCAATATTTCAACAGATAATAGCACAACAAGTTCTAAATCTATATACATATACCAAGTTGATTACCACATTTGGGTCTAAATCTGGAAGAGAACTCGGTCTTCTCTCAACAGCTTCATTGATGCCGTAATTCTTAGCTATTTTGCTTTGCAAGTAAGGGTTTTGTGGTTGAACAGAATCTTGCTGTCGTTCATATTCTTGAGACTTGATCATTGATAAATAGCTGTACCTCTGTCTTAAAAATCTAGAATTCAAGAGTTCTTCTTGATCAATATTTAGAAAATTAAAAAATCCATACAAATTCAGGAAATAGATATCATACCGAACTTCAGCCAAAAGGGTTTCTCGCTTCTGGTTCACTGTCTGCATTTTTTTCTTCTTTGACACAAATTCCTAGGAGTGATTGACACGAAAGAATAAATCACTAACTCAATTACACAAATCAGTTAGAATCATTATAACTGAACATGTAAACACATAAACACTCACTCTATATATTCTGTGAGAATAAGTTTTGATCAATTCCTAACACAACCGTCTCGCTTAATTGAGGTATAATCAATAATCAAGGGAAACTGACATTTGAACAATTAGCAAAATTCTATCGTTCACCAGTTGGATTAAGTAACTAGTAAAATTGTAGGCAGAAACAAACTCAATATCAATATCCAACAAGCTACAGCACCGAACAAGAAACTAGAATCTATGATTTGATGATAAAAGAAGTGGTGGATGATCAAAAGAATGCAGCCTGTTTAATCACATGGCACAACTAAACAGAGTAATTGAGACAAAGGACTAACCTTTTGCAATTCCAAGAACTCCTGCAGTAGGTTTTGATGCTTCAATCTCGCCCTAGCTTCCTCATCAACAGAGTTATATTGCCGATGAGAATTTAGAGAAGACCTTTTCATCTTAATTATCAAAATTGAGACCCCAATTAAAAAAAAAACACAATTAAAAAACTTATCAGGAAAGTATATCAGATATTTTGCAGAAAACTCTGAAGCCCTTCTATCTTTGCAAAAAAGAAAATCTTTTGCCCTAAAATTTATAACCCAGAAAACAATCTCCAATTCCAATTAGGAGAAGAAGAAAAAAAAAAGAAAGAAAATTCCAAGAACCGAAAAAAGCCCTTGTCTTTATTAGCTTCTTGACGATTCCAAAACCAAAACTTGGAGAGAAAGTAAAGAACAAGAAAATCCAGGATTGAGCCAGATAAGGGAGATAGAAATGGGTAATGCTAATAATAATAAGGAAGAGGGGGAGGACAGAGAAAGTTGGGGTGTATCTGGTCTGGTATTCCCGAAAAGGCCCATGAAGAACGGGAGAGAGTTTTGAGTTGAATGAGTGATGGAAGATGGGATACAGGAAGGGCAAATGTGGGAATTAAGAAGTTTTTCTTTTTAGAGAGAGCGAGCTCTGTGGTTGGAGGACAATTGAAGACATATCTATCCAGCTTTCCTTCTATCTGTCTTAGCTTTCCATGTTTCCTTTTTATTTTTTTTTTCCTTTGTATTTTTATTTGGCAGAAAGGGGGGATTTTCATTTTGTATTTGGTTTTGTTTTTCTCCTGTGCGGTACATAAATTTCTGGTCCATCTGGGCCATTTTAGACAGAGAAAGATTTTGTTTTGGATGATTTTTGGGTATGGAAGCATAAAAGGCAGGAGATAAATGGCTACTGTTTGTTTGATGGGGTTGCAGTTGCCAAAGAAAGAACCTTTACATGGCTTAAGATGGTGGTGTGTTGTGTAGTTTTGGATAAGCAACAGCTACAGCATCCCGCCTTAAATTACTATTATATCCTCTTTGGTTTGGCCTTGACACTTGTCGTAATAACCATATTATTTACACATGGTATAAATATATTAATTTTTTATTGTACTATGATTTTGACATTTCTAAAGCATGTCGATTGCAGTGACATCTTGACATCAAACAAAGTCCAAACTCCAGTTCCGAAGTCTCGTGCAATGGAATGAATTTTGTCCGAGAGATTCAGTTAAATTCGGCGTATGTTTGTTTCTTTAAGAAAAATCTGTACGAGAAAATGAAAGCACAGTGTTTGTTCATCTGTACATGTGTCTTGCCAGATAGGTTAAGTCGTTAAGAAAATTATTCAAGAAAAGTTTTAGTACTCTCTAGTGTGTTAAAATCAAGGTAAAATCTTTGAACTGCATCTAATGGAAAAAAAAACGACACCTTATTTTTTTTTCTTGAAATTTCATTGCCTCTAGTAAGTTGTTTAAGGACAGAAAAAAAGATACCAACAAACAAGGCATCTGGTAAGCTGTCCTGTCCAATGCCTGCAGGACAACCCCATATTTTATTGCTCTCCACCCTCCAAATATGTGGTTCCGGGCAAATCAGAGCCTGTTTAAGCCACTTCATACCAAGGAGGGGAGCTGGAACACACAGCACTAGAAGTTGACATGAAAATCCCTCTGCCCAAGTTCAAAATTCCCTAACTTTTACAGAAGTAACATTAGCAAGATGGATCAAAAAGAACAAGAGAATTGACTATGGAGAAAATACTAATAGTGTTCATATACATATTAGACCAATAATATTATGATCTAAAATTTTCTTTTCTTTTTACATGGAAGGACAATGTAGGCCAAGGCAAAACAGATGAAAGGTTACGTATGCCATCTGCAGCTAATAAAATTATTGTATTACATCACAAAATCATACACACATGATGTACATTAAACATTCAGTCTCGTGGACTATAGCCTAAAACCTTCAAATGCACCTTACTTGCAACTTGAATAGAAGCACCAAGGAGATGTACATTAAATATTCAGTCTCGTGGACTATAGCCTAAAACCTTCAAATGCACCTTACTTGCAACTTGAATAGAAGCACCAAGGACAGCTGAAACTGCCGCAGCTAAAATAAATTCCACTCTCTGAACAGCTAAAATGCCAGCACATCCATTGCCAGGATAAGCAAAATCATCATCAGCTTATTACAAAATTGAATCTGAAAATATCTTGCTAATAGTGGGGTTTCCATTAGGGTAGAGCACCAGCTAGACTAACCAAGCCTGACATTCATGCAAGGAACTTAATCACTGGCTTTGACATCAAATTGTCAAATTTGCAATAATTGTTCTGAATCTGTATGAGAAGAGTTGAAAAAGGGAAGTACCTGCCACACTTTGTAAGCAGATCAGCAGCCAGTTACAATGAGTAGCATATAAGCATCCAGATATTTCAACTTTCAAGATTGATTAGGAAGCTGAGCAAACGTTCCCTCGTTGGGGCTGCAGCCCCCAACCATCATCTGTTTGTAGACTGCATAGGCGTGGTCAGAATTTCCAGACACACTATACCCTCGAATAAGAGCATTATAAGTGAATACATTGGGTTCAAGACCCTTAAGTTGTAGTTCATTGTAAAACTTCCCTGCTTGCTCCACCATTCCAGCTGTCCCAAGATTGAGAATTAAGGAATTGTAAGTGTAAAGATCAGGACTTATACGCCTATCCTGCATTTCATCAAAAAGAGAGAGAGCTTCCTCTATCCTTCCCGACCTTCCAAGCCCATTAATCATAAGGTTATAAGATACCAAGTCGGGATCAAGGCCAGTTAACTTCAGTTCCTCAAAATAGTGCAAAGCATCATCTACTCTTCCCACCAAGCAGAGGCAGTCTATAAGAATGGTGTAGGACTTCAAGTCTGGTCTTATCCCTTCCTTAACCATCTTTTTAAATAACTCACAAGCACTATCTACATCACCAGTTTTTCCATAACCATTTATAAGAATATTATAAATAGCACAATTAGCTTTGCATCCATACTCTGCCATCTCCTCAAACAATTGCTTTGCTTCCTCAAGTCTTCCCAATTTCAGAAGTCCATCTATAAGAGGACCATATGTACAGGGAGTTGGACAGAAATCACCACTTATGAGATCATAATACATATTCATAGCCTTTTCTATGTTGTTTGATTTTACAAGACCAGAAAGGACTATATTCTGAGTTTTAGTATTAGGCTTGCATCCACGACAAATCATCTCTTCATACACTTCAAAGAGTTTATCCATATGACCAGACTTCCCACAAGCATCAAGCAGCAAGTTATAGGTAGAAGTATCCGGCGCACAACCGATGCTCTTCATCTCCTCAAAAAGGTCCCAAGCCGTATCAGTGGTATGGACTTCAAGCAGTAGCCCACCAATTAACAAATTATATGCTCCTGGCGTTGGGATAACCCCCATATTTTTGGTGAACTTCGCAACTAAATCTCTTGCGAAAATGGCTTTCTTATGCCTACACAAATTTCTAATTAGAGGCACCAAAACAGAGTCATCCTTACAGATCTTATTGCACACCAATGTCTCAGCAAATAAAACAGCTTTATCCATTCCAGCTTCCATCAAAATCCCACTCATTAAATCTGCCCAAAATGACCTGTTCCTATCAATCCCATCCTGATAAACAAAGTCCTGGGCAATCTTGAAGGCATCCATAACCAGCCCATCCTTGACAACCCCAGGAAGAAGGGTGCACAAAGTCACATAGTCAGGGTAAAGCAACTTCTTCATCTGATGAAAGACCCAAATTGCATCATTAACTCTGTTTTCTTTAATAAAGCCATAAATAATAGTGTTGTAAGTCAGAACATCAGGACTACAATTCCATGTCATCATTTTATATAGCATTTTCAATGCCAAATCAACCTCATCATTCTTGCAAAGGCAATCCAGCAGGGTGTTGAAAGTTATTGTGTTAGGGGGACAGCCATGCCTGGTCATACTTTCAAACAATTCAACTGCCTTTTGGACTTGACCCTCTTTCCCTAATCCAGCTATTAATGTGTTAAAGGTCACAACTGAAGGAGTAAGCTTCATGTCCTTCATTTTATGAAACATTTCCCATGCCTCATCTACTCGGCCAGCCTTGAAAAGCATGTCAATCAAAGAATTAATGATAATTACATCAGGTTCACACTGATTTTCCAACATCTCAGGCAGCAACTTAATGGCTTCATCCACTTTCCCAACTTTACCATAGCACTTCATCATCATGTTATAGGTCACTGAATCTGCAGCAATCCCACAACTTTTAAGTTCATTAAAAATAGCTTTTGCTTCACCAAGCCTTCCCGCTTCAGCAAGACTATATAAAGAAGCATTGCAAGCAATAACATTAGGAACAATTCCTCTAGCTTTCATCTTCTCAAAGGTCGCGAGAGCTTTGCCATGGTAGCCAGACTTTCCATAATAGTTAATGAAAAGGATGTATGTATAAGCAGTAGGTTTAATGCTTAGAGATTCCAAATTAGTAAAAAGCTCCAATGCCTCATCAACCCTATTTACCCTCAATAATCCACAAATTAATGTGTTATAAGTATGAAGATTGGGGGAGACCCCTTGCTTTCTCATGACCTCCAACATATCAAAAGCTTCCTCTAAATTTCCGACTTTGCAGAAAGCATTGATAAGTATGGTAAAAGTAACCACATCAGGAGCATAACCATCAGCTTCCATTTCGTTCCAATATTCTTTCACCAAGTCCAAGTCTCCATAGTCACTGGACTTGTCCAACAAAGTAATATAGGTTATTCTGTCAGGTTTATGATTGCTAGCTTTCATCTTTAAGTATATTTCCTTTGCTTGATCAAGTCTCTCACTATTACATAGAGCATCAATCAGAACAGTATAAGTAACAACATCAGGCCCGCACCCCAGATTATCCATTCTCTTCAAGATCCCAAGTGCCTCATTGATTTTCCCAGCCCTACCAAGCACTCTAATGCATATTGTAAAAGTGTAAACATTTGGCTTCAATCCCAGAGTCTCCATCTCTTCTAGCAAATCCATAACTGTTTCAATATCCCTTCTCTTCCCAGATGCTACCATAAGAGCTGAATAAGTCTTAAGACTAGGCTTTAGACCTTCAGAGACCATTCTTCTATACACCTGTAGAGCCTCCCTTGAAAACCCAGATTGAAGTAGCAAATGGATCAATCCATTATATGAATATGCATTCAGAAAAAACCCAGCATTTCTCATTCTCTCAAGTCCATATGGTGCTTGACGAAGCCCACCTCTGATATCAAGACCCTTAAAAACAGTCAAATATGTATTCAAATCCCTCTTGATGATTTGCTTTTGCATTAATTCAAACACAAAACGCATATCTCCCACCATTCTATGAATTCTCAAGACTTCAAGCATATGATTACAAGTTTCGGTGGTGTGAACAACATTGGGCAACTCTGCAACTGACTTAAAGTAAGAAAAAGCAGATTTGGGGTCCGGAATCGACCTGAGAACCCTCGAAACTTCCTCAGAAGACAAGCTATATTTGCATTTCCCATTTGCTACCACCATTTCAGATGAACTTTTCATTACATAGAAACCCAATTGCTGTTTTCTACGTTTCTTCCAGGTCACCATACAGCCATATCGCAAAACCTTTAAATTTCCAAGCTTTCTACCTCCAAAGGACACATTTTTATGGCTAAAAGCAGAGACTTTACTATCAACTAAAATACAACTGTAATTGAGACTATTGCAGCAAGCAGTCATTGAGCAAAGTATTAAAACAGCTATGAAAGAGTTATTACCAACAAAACGATGATCATGAGCAAGTAATCACAGATGGGTCACTTTTCGCATAACTGCTGTTCATTGCATTTTCTTTGAAAGAACAAGAAGACGTAAAGATAGAGAAAAGGGCATTTGCTCTAACTAAAATATCTGATTGGAGAGAGACAAAGAAAGATTGGGTTCAGCGTGGTTGGATATTTAAAGTAGAGAGGTTTGTCTGTTTTAATTACAGGAACTCCATGACCGCACATTTTAGGTTTTTAGGATATTTTCAGCCCATTGGCTTAGTTAAAAAAAAAAAATATATATATATATATATATATATATATATATAACTTATTACAACTCCGTAAGTATTACCATAACAAAGAAAAAAAAAAGCCGGAAACAAACATAAAAACATCATAGTAAACCTAACTGCTGTTCTGCCGCCAAAAACCTCTTTGGCCTTTCAGCCCTTGCAATTCATTAAGGCATATTTCTCAAAAGTAGTTGGCTCCAAGCAGAGAGAGAGAGAGAAATAGAGAGTAAACTTTGAATCTTGAAAAAATTTGGGAGGCGAAAGAGGGAGCTCAGTAATCCCAGAGTTCGTAATAAATTCAGTGAAGACAATGCTAGTAAGCGTTGAAAGTCTGAGGACCCATTTGCTCCACTTTTTATCTCTCTCAGACCCTGATGTCCTTGCTCAAATGCCCCCTCTTCAACGCGTTCGGGCTTCTCTTCTGGCTTGCTTTTTACTTGTATTTCGGATTTGATTTTAGTGTGAATTATCTCTTTTAAATGCTTAAACTTTTGTTATTGTGATAATGGTTTCTGTTTGTTTTTTTTTTTTTTCAGTGAGGTTGAGATGCATCGGAGTGCACCCAGATGACCATCCCATTAAATCAGATCTTGTATACCACTCTGCATTTATTTTCCTTTCAAACTTAGATTTTCAATTTTTCATTATGGGGGTCTCTTTGTGGGAATTAAGTACAAGACGAGCGGTTCGTATATTTTGAATTCTCAAGCAGCACTCGTTTCACATGTTACCTTTTTTCACATGGATTCAGATGATGACCTGCCTCCGAGATCATGGGTTTTGTTTTTACAGTCTTTATTTTTTCACAGTTATGTTCTTGATTCTTTTTGCCTTTGGTAGGGATAAACCAACTTTTTGAATTCTCAAGCAGCACTCGTTTCACATGTTACCTTTTTTCACATGGATTGCTTTCAGATGATGACCTGCCTCCGAGATGGGTTTTGTTTTTACAGTCTTTATTTTTTCACAGTTATGTTCTTGATTCTTTTTGCCTTTGGTATGGATAAACCAACTTTGTATATATAACTGAGTCCTATAGAGAAATTCCATTAGCCAACCTTTTCTTTTCACATTACTGAATTGGTTTATTTCCTTCATTTTCCTCTTCTGACCCTGATTCGTGCTGTTATTGTGTTGATGAAATCTTACAGGTTTCTGGGTCAGTTGCAACAGCTATCAACAGGAAACAATTCAGTACGGATTAACATATCATTAAAGTAGGGTAAACTGATAAGTTGTAATCTCAACTACATGTAAAAAGAATGAAATAATCTCCCCAACAATAATGGATAACAAAACCCAAACCATCTCTCAAAGCCAAAAAAAAAAAAAATCCAGTCACATCTCAAAACAACCCGAAAACCAAAACCCCCAGTGTCACCAAGAAACCAGCCTTCAACCCTGTAGCACTGCTTGTAGGAGCAATGGCGGGACCCTCAATTTCCGCAGGAGAAGGTGCTGGGGTGATTCCAGTGTACCTGTGCCTTGGAGACAACACAACCACAATCAATTTCTGGCCTTGCTCACAGTGACCCTCAGCTCCACTGATGAAGTAAAATGGCCCTGACTTCTCGAGCTTCACCTTGGTGCTTCCGTCCTTGTACTCTGCTATTGAGTTTGAGGTATTGCAGCTTCCATAAGCCTCCTTAGTCACTTGCAGCACTGAGTCTTTGCCACCATCATATTTCCATACTGTAATGTCAAAACCCAAAAGGAATTAATTAGAAAAAACTTGAGAAGAAAAAAACAGTGCCACAAAGTGAAGTGCAGCATTCTATTACCGAGAGAGTCGCCAATGCGGAAACGGGAAATTTCAGCCCATTTGTTGAGCGAGTCTGATTCAGAGGATGGGATCTTCCAAGCGTCTGTCTTCCCACCAACCAAGAATTCTTTAGCTTCCGTGAAGCTTAAAAATAGAAACAAGAGCACCAAAGAAAAAGTTAGCCTTCTTGAAAAGGCTGCCATGGGAAATCAAAGTTTGGAGATGCTGAGCAGAAATGGAAAGCGAGGAAGTGAAGCGAAACTGGGTAAGCTCCTGTAGAAAAGAGAAAGGTGAGTTGGGACTTGGGAGTAGTGAGTCAGGGTCTTACTGTATTTATACAAGTGAGAAACTGAAAAGGGGAGGGAAACTAGCCGTTACAAGGATGGTGTTAAAGTTGGCCACGTGGCCTTCTGGGCTCAGAGTCTCTGACCGACGGTCCCTTGGCCGTTGTAACGGTTAAATGGCATGAAAAGGGGGAAATGGATCTTTAACGGTCAAATAGAGAAATCCCTTCCCTGGGGTCTTTAAATCTTAGATGTTGGTGCCATGCCTTTGGTTTTTTACGTTTCTTTTATTAGCAAACAACAAATAGTTTTTTCAGTAAAAAATAACGTTTGAAGTCCCCATTAATAAATGTGAGCTTTTTATTATTCACAATATTTTACGTTGTTGCACCGTTTTCTAGTGCTTATACCATGAGCTTGCTTAAATTGGTGATAATTACAATACGATAACCAGTGCAACCATACCAGCCCCACTAGGCCACCACCACCGGTCGTCAAGGAAATGAGGCAATTCAGAGGAAAATTACACAATATTAACGTTAGCCTGAACTCCTTCGATTCAAGTAAGCTTTGAAGCTCCAGCTTGAGCAGCCGACCGGAGTAGTTCTCAAGTTAGCAGATAGCCAGTTCCAACGTTCGAAACATCATCTCTTAGCTGCTGGGGAGCTGGTCGTCCTATGTATTTATAGATTGGATAAGCAGCAGTTCAGTCTCAGCTAATTCTACCAAACTGCTGCAATATGTTCGGTTCCAGCTTTCTATAGTTACGAATTTATTCATATTTTGACTACTACTACAAAGATTCTTACTGGTTAATACCAATACTTAACAAATCAATCAGCAAAAATATTTTGCATTTCCCATAAATCAACGAATACAGTGGCGCCTTAATATTTACATAGCCCTTTTTTATGTTAAAATTATCGGGCAATTTTTTTTTCCTCATCCTGAAAATACACATAAAAAAAGTTGGTTGATTAGCTTAGTCATCAATTCTGCTGAATTTTTCACAGCAATTTCCAATACAACAGCAGAGAATGTTTCACAAAAGAATCTCAACATACATTAGGAAAAGGTATTCTTCAATCAACTATAAACATGAACTCAGTCCAAAAATGTGTATTAAAGTTTACATCTGAAAGCATGATTATATCTTAACCTGGAATCTTAACCTAAGACAATGATCTTTGAAGACAACAATGTCATAAGACATATCCTGTTTCACACATTAATCGATCTTGACAGATGAGTAGATAAGCCTCGTAAACCAAAAGCATGCAAAAAATCCAATGGTGCCGGTTAGCACAAAAAATGAATATGAAGCAATTAGCATGTATCCAAAGTATAGGAGCCCAGAAACCAGCTTAGTGATCTCAAGCTTCGTGAAGAAGTAGAATGTAGCATAGAGGAAGAGGTACAAAGCTGAGGAGCCCGATGTCAGATATGACCTCCACCACCAGAGATAATCTTCACTGCATAACTGGAAGTAGCAAAGCACAATGGTTATTTCAGCACAAGTGATAAGGAGGATAACGAAGACCAAGAACAAGAAGCCAAATATGTAGTAGAACTGATTCAGCCAGATTGAGGTAAGAATGAAGAACAATTCGATGAAAACGGCTCCAAATGGAAGTATTCCTCCAATCAGAATAGAGAAAACCGGGTTCATATACCAAGCCTGCTCAGGGATTTGCCTTGGAATTTTATTGGTCTTCACAGGATCCTCAATAGCTGGCTTCTTGAACCCAACATAACCACCCACAAAAACAAGTGGAAGTGAAATACCAAACCATAGGAGGACCAAAGCAAACATTGTCCCAAATGGCACAGCCCCAGAAGACTTCTGGCCCCATATAAGAGCATTTAAGACAAAGAAGATGGCAAAGATAATGGCTGGGAACATGCATGCAGTCCTGAGAGCTATTTTCTTCCACTCTGCTCCTTTAAGCATTTTGTATATACGGCCAGAGGCATAGCCAGCAAAAATGCCCATGAAGACCCAAAGTAAAAGCATAGCTGTCATAAGACCGCCTCGGTTTGAAGGGGAAAGAAATCCAAGAACAGCAAAGATCATGGTAACAAGTATCATGCCCAAAAATTGAACACCAGTGCCAACATAGACACAGAGTAGATCAGAATTAGATGGAGGTCTGAAAACATCGCCATGGACAAGCTTCCACCCAGTCTCTTCTTGGGCTTCTTCCTGGGTCTCAAGTTCGTTATACTTAGAAATGTCACGGTAAAGCGTCCTTAGCATAATCATGGCTACCATGCCCGAAAGGAAGAGAACAATCATCAAAGAATTGACAATTGAAAACCAGTGTATTTGGTCATCACTCATTAAAAGATATGCATCCCATCTAGATGCCCACTTCACATCACTTTCCTGAAAATCAGCACAAGAAGATATAAGAATATTAGCACCTCATAGATGAATGAGGTCAAAACCTTATTTCAAGAAAAGTGATCCAATAGAGAAAATTTTCCAAATAATAATTTGCCAGCAGAATTTACTTAAAACACAAATGATTGTAAACTGTAGGGGCTTTAGCCCATGGTTGACATTCAAAAAATTAAAATAGCAACTGTGAACCCCTAAAAATTATTTGCAGTTGACGAGCTAACCTGGTATTCAACACCATAGGTGAATATAATTTCCTTGTTTGCTTCAACTTCTTGAGGAGTGTTAGAATTAACAACTGTACGTTTGGTATGGGGGTCACATGTTTTTAAATGTGATTTCTCACTCCATTTCCCTTCATATTCATGTTTAATGCTGCATTGTTTTAGAATATAAAGAAAATTCCATCAAAATTTAATACTATAATCACAGCAAATCAACAATTTTACAGTATGCTAGAACTCAGAGGAATTAACCTGTTCGGTTTAACCTCAAATCCCACAATTCTAGCAGAATCAGTTTGCAAATCCCTATGATACTTGACAGTAAATGCCAAATGGTTGTGAATGAAATATTTTTCCTCCTTGCTCTGCATGTAATCAGACAAAGTAAGCATGCATAGTAGCTAATACATCCACTAAGAAAGGAACTTTGGTTTCTATTAGATTATTATGTTACCCCACTGTATTGGCCTTTGAGCCCAATATGGTAGCCAAGCTGATAAACAGTAGGAGAATCCTGATCTGATCTTCTAATCGGAACAACAAGGGGGAGGTTATCCAGGATCCTGTCAAACAAATCACAAATTAATTTAGAAAAAGAACCTTGAGAACAATCATTACAAGAATGGCAGATGAATTCCATGTCCGAAGAAACAAATAGCATACATATTGACTCGATATTCATCATCAATCTTCTCCTTAAACAGCTTTGCAGTTTTGGCATCAAGTGTAATCCGGCAAAGAACAGCACATATTTGTGGCTCTCGCATTTTAAACTGCATTAATGCAAGTCAAAGAGAACAAGTTAATAGCCATAAAATAAACAATGTGGCCCATAATCATCAGAAATACTAAAACTGACCTCATAACGAGAGTTTTCAATACGGTCACCACGAAGCACTTCCCCAAGATTCTCTGCACTGTCAACTATCTTTTTTGGCAGACAAAAAGGAAGCGAATAATACGAGTAAGGAAGTTGAGTCTTTATAGAAGTCAATTTGTTCACTTTCACCTTCAAAGGATCTCCCTGCAAACCCCAACAAAAGAATCAATAACTAAACAAGACCATAATAATTCCTCAATGAACACCCCAAATATCACAGCACGTAGCGAGAACCTAAAGTGGTTTAATCAAAGTAATTATCACTTAGGTAGCTAATCACTATAAAGAACAAGCATCCTTCCCTTACAACAATATGTAAATTAAACCTCTTTTGAAAATACAATTCCCAATCATAGATCGAAAAGGTTGACAAATCATAGGGTGAAATGAAGCTAATTTGTTCAAAAAAACCTATTCAAACAACCTAGCCGAATCAGAAACAAATCGATAAGAAAAGTGAATTATAAAGCCTTCTTTTCAAATACCAACATAGAAATTTCTCATTAATTTCCTTCCCATATTGATTCCTATATGAATCCTATCTTTCTAATATAAAACAAACAGAGGTTAAAGTGAAGATACCAAATTAAAACCAAACCAAATGAAACAAAGCAGATCAAGCACGAAAGAGAAAGAAAAAAGGAAGAGAAGCAAAAAAGGAGACCTTCTGGAAGTCCTCGGGGGCGACACCAGGGAGGTAGAAGCAGTAAGAGCCGTGGATCAGAAACAGGAAGAGAATCGCCGACATCATCGTCGTCGATTTGCGCACAGATCTCGATCGAGAATCCATTATGAATGTGGAGAAACTCTCTCAGGGAGAGAGGGTTAGATCTGGAAAAACAAAGAACGCGTGTGTTGGGGAGTGTAATAAGGAGACAACAAACTTGCAAGAAGAGATGCTGCGGTTGGGCTGGACAGGTGGTGGGGGGGAACTAGCCAATAGATCGCGACCGTGGCTTGGTCCTGTTTGTCCTGGTACGGTGCTTTCTAGTGATTCATTCTTCTGTTGCCACGTGTGTTCCCTCTTTTTGGGTTTTTTAGGCTTAATTCCCAAATAAACCGCAAAACTTTACTTCAAAATGCAAACAAGCCCTCGATCTTTTACTGTATAAAATTAAGGTTATAAATTTTTATTTTGTTATTATTATACTTATTAAATCTTAAAATTAGATGAAAATGTCTAAAATAAAATTTTTAAAATAATATTCTTTTAAATATTTATTATTTTACTCATCTAAATTAATTTAACCAAACATTTTCAACAAATTCAATCATTCAATTTAAAAATTTATATAAAAATTAAATACTTTATATTTTCAATATTCTAATTACAATAAAATTAAAGTTCACAACCTTAATTTCATAAGATTGAAGGGCTATATGCAGTTTAGAATAAACTTTGAGGACTTATTTGGGTATTACAACTTTTTTTGTGCGC